GCAGCTCCATGACATCACAAGGTGGAACAGAGCATTCTGAGCTTTGGAGATTAAGCCTAATTAAAGCCACAGGCAGCGATGATGACCCTTGGCCCTTGCCCCGGTATGCCATCCTCTCTTCCTGACAGGTGCAGCTCATCCACCAGAAAAATTACATAATGTACTTTTAAAACTGGATAATGTGAATGATTCTAGAGGCAAAACTATAAAAACTAGGGCAAAGGTTTCATTGTTTCTTCTGATCAGGAGCATGTCAGTGAATATTGTGCAGAGTTTCACAAATGAACATGAAAGTAATTTTATTTTTCCCCATATTAAGTTTTGTGCATTTCTATAGGTGGCGCTGTAGCACTGATAATTGTATTTGACATATCTGTTATATATATTGAATCAGGGTCATGCAGCGTGTAACTGATAGAAATTTCAGCACAATCGGACTTACCATGTGTGTGTAATAATTTTTAAAATATTTTTTGCCCCTGCTGGTCAACTATTAAAAATGACCCATGTCTGTTATATATATTTTTGCTCATAATCACGCATAGAACTTAATCCCTGAATGTGGTACAAATCCGATAATGTTGACGTTTCATGTCTATGCTAGGGGGCGATACAGTGTTTACTTTTCATATGTTTTATAGTGTATTATAATCAGACTGAGATCACGCATTAGTGACTCAAATTTCAGCACGATCAGACTAAGCATGTGTGTGTAATCAGTCTTTGCACCTCTGCTGGCCAACGGTGAAAAATGCCCCACGTTCGTAATAGATATTTTTGCTTGTAATCATGCGTAGAATTGTATCCCTGAATTTGGTCCAAATCCAGTAATGTTGACGTTTCATGTCTATGCTAGGGGGCGCTATAGACTTCTAGACTTCACTTTTATTAGCTTTCATATTTCATTACATTCAGGACTGTATCACGCATTTGTGATTTGAATTTGAGCTCTTTAGGCCAATGCATGAGATCTCATCAAAGAAACAGGAAAGGTGTTTTTCGCTGGCTTGCTACGGACGATTTGTAAGGAGTATCCCAAAAACAGCTGATCATTTTTGTGAACTTATCTGTCTGTAGATGTGACATGTCAAATCTGAGCTCATTTGGACCAAACACCAGGGGCTTTAATCTTTTTGCAGACATCCAAGTCAAAACGGCAGCGAATGTTTGATCCAATATGGCCGACTTCCTGTTTGTCATAGAGGCATGCTCCAGTTCATCTTTTGGCTTGCCTCATTGTTCTCTATCACTGTCCTGAATTTCTTTTGCCTATGACAAAATATGCTTTTTGGCTGCTCAATTTTTGCAAATTCCAGGGGCGCTGTTGAGTCGGGTCATTTTGGGCATTGTCACCATGCCGAATTTATCAAATTTTTCGCCGGACTGGTCGATCTGATACACGGTTTAGGGACTTTTTGCCGATATTTAGGCCCTCAAAATCGCAATCGTTTGCAAGGAAAAATAATGCAGGATTACTCAAACTTGTGTGAATGAAACAGAACACAACTCCAGCTGTGTTTTTGATCAGCTGACATTATTCTAATATGATGAAAATCTCAGAAGAGGAAATGTTACGTGATATTGGACCTTTAATGGACTTGTAATTACTTGGAGCCTGTAAACAAGCACCACGAAAAGGCATCTGATAAAGCATGTAAAACAATATTAAAATCACAATACCAAGAGCACCCAGACGACCTTTGATTATCCCACACAATCCTTTCCACTCCGATTTTCAGTAGGTCCCTTAATCCTTTTGCAAATTGCTCCAGCTTAACAGTCCGCGTTGCATTAAAAGGGGTAATTTAGAAGAAAGAAATCGGACAGCTTATCCCCGCCAAGAATAACTTATGCATCTCATTACTGGACAAAGATTGGAGTCATTTCGATTTTATCCTCCGCACTGACAGATTGAAGGGGTTGGTTCAATTAGCCGTCCGCGCTGGTCGTATAGGAAGTCAATCAGCTCGTCCAATCACAACGCTTCCTCACAAGCCTCCCACAAGTGCCACTCTACCACTTGTTATGTGGTTCGCTGGCTTGTTCAGGGATTCACTTGATATAGCTTGGTTTCCTGTTATAAATGTATGGATAGTATGACTTATGTTATATGTTTTTTTTAATATGTTGTATATGTTTTTTTTGTTTTGTTTTTTTGTTTGTTTGTTTGTTTTGAGTGATTGAAGGAGCCGTTTTTGATTTTTACTGTGAAAAACCGAGCTTGCTTTAGGTATTCAAATTCTCCTAATTTGTATCATATTTGATACACATCATTCTGAGACCTCTGCCCACCCACATGATCAGTATTTTTTCTGAAAAACCTGTTGTATACAATTAAATACTTGTCAGCTGCCCCCTAGTGGACTTTCCATTATATTCAGTAAATAACAGGCTCCGAAGAGACATTTTCAAAATGGCCGCATTGGTGGACGTGACTTTCTCTGTTTTTGGAGGAACAACTTGGTAAGTTTTGAAACAGTTAGTGTAAGAATTGCCTAAATATTGTTAGTGATTCTCCAATATGAACATTTGCTTTCTTAGATTAACCTATGAAGTCTTCATATTATTTTCATTTTGTAGAAAAATCATGTTAACATTGTATGTATCAAATTTGATACAGCAGGTATTTGTGATTATGTAGCTCATCCATCACTAATGTATTTTATGATACAATCTTCCATTCAAATTTAACACCACACAATTTTTACAATTTCATAACTAAGATTTCACCTTAAAAACCATGTTTTCAGTTGTTATTATTATTATTGTTGTTGTTGCATAATGGTTGCTTGTTAGGGTTGCTTGCTTAAAGGGTTAATCGGAATCTTGATGGTTTTAATTCCAGCGACTTGCAAGTGCATACTATTGTTGTGTCATTGGGCAAGACACTTCACCTTTTTTGCATGTGTGTATGTGCTCAGTTGTACTTACCTTAAAGTTGATGGTTCCATTTTGGGTACTTGCAATGGGGGAAAGACACTTCACCTGTTTTTCCTGTGTGAATGTGGTCAGTTGTCCATTTACTAACCCGAATCTTGATGGTTTAATTCCTGCTATCGATATTGCATACAGCTGCTGTGTCATTGGGCAAGACGCTTTACTCATCTTCCCTGTCAGAATGTGCTCAGTTGTTATTTAACCTGAATCTTGATGGCTTAATTCCAGCTATTGACAGTGCATATAGTTGATGTGTCCATGGGCAAGACACTTCACCCATCTTGTCTATGTCATTGAGCTTAGTTGTCTACTAACCTGAATTTTGATGGGTCAATTCCTGCTACTGGCACACAAAAAAGAGGGTATACTGCCTGCTTGTCTCCATGGAGATTATTACTTTGCCTGTAATGTTCACTATTTGCTGTTTTTGTTGCAAGAATGTGCCTTGAAAATTTGCATTTTTACTGTGAGCGGGGTCGCCTCTTCACAGATCTGACCTGTACTTTCAAGGGTTTCAGCTTTCTGTTATATGCAACTTTTGAGGACTTTTTCCTTATTCAAAAGCTATATTTTGTTTGAAATTGTTAATCACTATGGCAACAATCCTCTTTTCTCATCATTCTGGCACTCATGATCTGGTCTAGTGGAGCCACCTGCTTGTGTCCCTGGAGAGACAAGTTTAATGCCATACTGAAGAAAGCAATAATCTATATAGAGACAACTCCAGCAGAAAAGTGTCACAGTGCAATTTAAACTAATATTTTTGTATATTTCTTGTCTAATATAGCCATGCCAAGCACAAGAGTTGGTTTGTATTCCAGTTTCACCTCTGTATTGACTCTGCCTCCTCCCTGTTTGGTTTTCACATCATCTTCTGCCCCGAGCATTAAAGCTGCAACACAAATCAGCAATACTCTGCTCCCACCTCTATTCGTGCAAATGCTGACAAGTACTTCCCGATTTTCTATTCCTTTTGTTAAATGCATTCTACTAAGACTGCTTTGGTTAGATGGACCAAAAAACTGTCTGCAAGATATAGCATTTTATCTTTATATCATTTAAAATTAAAATGAATTGTAAATGAATGAATAAATGAAATGTATAAAATGTTATTGGTGTAGTTTACAATCTACAGTATATGCACTGTAATCTGACCAGAAAAACTGATTTAGTTGGAATTATAACAAATGATTTGTGTGCTCAAACTAGTCTCTCACACATAAAATTACAGTCACAAGCTAGGCAGCATTAACTAGCAGTTTTTCAGTGTTTCTCACCTTTTTTGTTGAAAATCACCTAAACTGGACCATGAACACTCATTTTGATCACAGGCTCCTGAAAATTTGCCTGACCAGCTTAGACCATACACGCTTTTAGGAGGTTCTGGTAGGTCAGGCAACCTGAAAATGTGTTGTTAAAACCCATTTTGAATTTTTTTATTGGCAGTTTTATTGATTGACAGACTCTATTAGAACCTTAAAACCTTAAAATCTTGTGTTTGCTATTGTGTGTATTGTGTCTCCATGGTAACTGCAGAACATTCCACCAATAGAGATGCATGTAGAACACCCCAGGGTGCTGTCACTGTATCAATAGTGAAACGTGATTCATTTGAAAATACACCACTAGTATGTGCTAAAATGCCTTACCTTTTTGATGCTAACAGGCTGCTTTGATTACAATGGAAATGGACAGTGTGCGCAATGGTTCTCAGGGGCCCATAGTTTGCCCAAATTAACAGGTTCCTTATTATTGCCCAATAATCCTGCTAAAATGTATAAATCTTTAGTTCAAAATCATCAGAAAAATACAACTAACATTTTATTTTACAGCTTATGGTGAATAGCCCCAACTGGACATATTTTAGCTTTAACTGGTTAAAAAAATATGTGAGCCACATTAGAAATGATGGGTGGACTCCACAACATATATATTACATTTAGCCCTGAACATAATCCATATTTAAAAGGATCATGAAAGATCACTGGTGAACAGGGTCAGAACTGGAATCACACCTTCAGAATAACAACTATGAAAAATGTAAAATGCCACACAGACAAAGATGAAATTCAAATAAGCTTCAGGTTTAATGTAAACATACTCTTGAGTGCCACACAATGCAACATAGCAGACATATAAAAAGGTCAGATACAGTGATGGTAGACGCAGTAACAGTGTCAGTGGTTTGGTCTTTACAGCCGTGGCTCCTGCACCACCTGTGTGTTCTCTCTGTAGGCGAAACAGGACGGAAATATCCCAGTGACGCCTGCACAGTGCCCCTCCAGCCACTCCTCATTCACTGTACACAAACATACACAGAGCATTTCAACAGCATTCAGTTACAGGCTTAAAAATAAGTGTCTAATTATAAAGCCTTCTATTCTTTGTGAACCAGGAAGTGCACTGTTAACATGCTTGTCATGGTTATCTATACTGTGACTGTAAAACCCCGCTCTGGCCTGTGAAAGTTTTGTAAGGCACATAACTCATCTTAATTCAGTGGTGATCCTGTATTATATTGTGTATTTCAGCCTTTTTAAATGACTTTTTAGCTGTCTTTCACATCTAACCCTATATTAAATGAAAATAAATGAAAAATAAATTAATGTAAGTGAGTTCAGCAGATGGGGCAAGGACTCCAGTTGGTAGCAAACTAAAGAATATAGGAGTTTTAATCTGGCTAAAAGCAATATTAATACATGAATGAAACAAAAGGCCTGGAGTTTTCAAATTGGCTGAATGTGATCCTCCCCTTAAGCTGTGTTCAGACCAAACACAAATGGCACGAATAAATCACGTCAAACGCCCCTAGTTTGCCGCTTGAATTTTTTGAATCATTTGCTTCATTCACATGTCCAAGTCACTCGAGTTTGGGAAATTGGTTGTGCGAGTAAATCCACACTATTTGCTCCGGAAGGATCAAGTGCGGCTGCACAGTGTCCTCTGCATCTGTTTTCATGTGGAAAAATGGCAGACTTGGACTACATCATGCGGGATGACCAGACCGGGACCAGACCAGGACTGAGACCGGGACCAGACTGGGACCAGAGCGGGCTCCGAGCTTCGACGGCCTGGCCAGAGCTCGGAAACCACGGCCAGAGCCCAAGGTAGAAACCCACGGCCAGGGCAGAGCACACAGAGGCACGGAGCTAAGGCTCAGAGCTCACAGCGGGGTCGGAGCTTGGACCTGAGGCTCGGAGCCTGTGGCCGGAGCTCAATTGACACTGGGACCAGACCCGGACCAGACTGGGACCAGACCAGACCAGACTGGGACCAGGCCAATTTAGTCCTGGTTCAGTCCTGGTTCAGTCCTGTTTTGGTCCTTGTTTAGTCCTGGTTCAGTCCTGGTTTAGTTGTGTTTTAGTCCTGGTATAGTCCTGTTTTGGTCCTGGTTCAGTCCTGGGATGAGTCCTGGTTCAGTTCTGGGATCAGTCCTGGTTTAGTCCGCCTGTGTCACGCCTCCCCAGTGGCTCTTTGGCCTCACCTTTTGAAAACCGCTGGTATAGGAAATTAAAGATGCATTGTGTTACTTTCCTGGTGGAAGGTCTGTCAAATGGTTTTCTGCATGGCAATGTTATTTCTTTGTCTGCAATGTTCCACAGTATGGTATTAAACCTTTCTATCTTCATAGAGACTAAACCAGACCAAGTTACAGGTCAGATCTGTGGAAAGCCGACCCCACCCACAGTCAGAATGCCTGTTTTTCTAAGTATTTTTGATCTATAAATCCACCTCTAATTGAATAAACATAAGGTAGATCTGTTTAATGTCACACTGTGGAACATTTCAGGCCATAGAAACAAGCAGTTGATGTACCCCCAACCAAAGTTACATAGTGCACCTTTAAATCACTCATTTTCAAATATTAATACTGTGATATACTTGCAATTTGCATAGAACTAGAGGTACTTTTCTAAAAAATAACTGCATATAATTAACACAAATACTGCATAAGCTGTTGTAAACTATCTAGATAAAAAGTTAAAACTGAAAGGCTAGAATAACTGAAAGCACAACTTTTATATTTGCCTGATAATATCGAATTATTATATCGAAAGAACCAATGAACCATCTCTGAATTCTGTATCCCATTTCCAGGGACGTAATAAACAGACAGCTGGGAGGCCTTACAAGCGTCATAAATGTCCTAAATGCTCCATAAAAGTGAAATATTTTTTATACTAGATACCCAAACTCCCTGTAAAAATAACCATGACTATCTGACTATAATCTACAGGCTGGATCACTATCTCCTGACATCTCACCTTCCCCCAGGATATCGATGGTGTCTCCTTCACTGAACTCCAGATCTTCAGGGCCCTGTGCCGTGTAGTCGTACAGCGCCACCATCTGGTACATGGCAGAACGGTTCTCCAGTGGATCCTCCTTCTAAAATACAATGGTAAGAGAGCGCATTTGTATTATGTGTATGTTGATAGTAGTAACTAGACATAACAGATTCAGCATTTGATAAGTTGATGCATACAAGGTTGGCAGTTTCATCCTTTGAGTCCGTGAGCAAGACAATTCACCGATCACGAAACTTTAGTGTGATTGTATGATGGTCAGCTGTGCCACTGACAGACACAGAGTAGCAGCCACACTTCCATCACTGTGTTCAGGGCAGCTGTGGCAACTTCAGTGTGATTGATGAGTGTATGCTAATGGATCAATTTACCAAAACTGATGCTGGCAGAGATGGGAAGAGTAAACCAAATACAGATACTATAGTGAATATTGGTTTGAAGATATGTAATATGTAATTTTAATAGCAAGTATTTTGTTTATAGTAAAAATGCTGCAAAATGACTTGAAATTACTTAAAAAACAAAAAAAACCTGATACTTAAACCTCAATTAATACACTTAATTGTATGACATGAAACTATCTATCTCCATGGAGAAACTTTCTATAACCATGGCATCATCCAGGTGACACACTGCCTCCAGAAAGTCACATACTGTACAGTTGAATTTCTGTTAAAATTGCCTGCTCATTCATACTGATATTGGATATTGGCACTGATCAAGAAAAAATGGTGAATTGGGTATCAGTTCCAAAATATCAGTTCAGCTGATGTCGCATTTGGGCACAAAGTGATGTGAGAGTGGCCGATTTTGGCCCAGAACATCTCATAATGTCTGAACCTATGAGTATACAAAGTTGATATGTGGTTATTAGAAATATAAAGAAGAGTTATATATCACAATGTGAGCAAATTTGTAACAAGTTTTCAGTCCCTGCACTAGTTAAAATCAGGTACTGGCAGATATGGTGCTTGACTTAAAGCCAAAGCATCAATATGGGTATTGGAAGTGGAAAATGCTGGACAAGTGCATCTTTCTAATGTTAGGGCTTTAATTGACAAAGTCCAGACCTGGCACCACAGATGGACCCTCCCGGACTGAGCCAGCTCCAGCAGAGGAGAGCCAGAGTCCTGATCCTGGTCCAGAGGCAGCAGCACACGGGAGCCCTGTGCTTTACGCCTGAATGAAAAAACAGAGGAGATTAGAGAACTGCACTTTCTCACGAGGACCATTAACAAAACCATTCCTTTTTCTAGAATGATCAGGTCATATCTCCAGATGGGAACAAGGGAACACTTTTTCCTGCATTGTATTTTACATAAAATGTCTATTATCAACAAAACCCCAGAAACCACAGTAGTACAAAATCAACATTTTAACACTATTGCCTTTAGCTGCTGCCTATGTGTATTAAGTATGAATATAATACAGAATACTGTAATGTCATTTGAAACCTTGCTATGTAAAATGTTGTTCAGGGATTATTGGAAGGGAACCCAAATACAAATTCAACCTAAACCGTCTAAATGCTTTTGTTTGATTGTTCCAAATTAATTTGCACCATATTCTTTTTTTTTCTGTTTAATTAATTAAGAACAATAAAGAAAGACAACTTGGTTGGTGGGTTAGAGAATAGAGTAGTGTTACACCATCTCGGCACATTTGCATGGTGTATACTGTGTGTACCCACCCACGAGAGTGTAGCTGGGTCAAACTTTTCTTTATACTTTATATTTTTAAGACGCTGTACCTGATTTTTACTGTCTTAAAAACAGAAATAGTTCATTTTAAGCAATTTGCAATGGTCCAACCTTGTGCATTATTATCTATGTTGAATCTATAGATGCTTTTCACAACTCTGAGAGACCAGAGTGGAGCTGTGCCATGACGGTAAAGCTAATATCACTTAACACTCATTTCCTGATTATCAGACCATAAAATGTTTTCTAATTAGATGTAGACATTACACAGTGGACTGATTTTGATCTCAAGAGCAGGTAATACAGTATATCTGTACTGTGGCTCAAATACATGGAAAAAAATCCAGTACAGACCCTTTAATCTTTCTTTTGACTTTGGTCATTATTTCTTTCTCCTCTCCTCTATCAGAATGGCCTTGCCCATAACACTGGTATTTTCCATTTCCTTCAACTTCTGTGTCTTGGCTTGTAATAGAGTTTATAATGTGCTTGGTCCTGTGGCTCTAGTGTACCAGCTTCATGGTGCTTTCACTGACCCCTTCTGTCCCTACGGCATCTGATTCACTGGCCCTCGTTTAATGGCATTTTTTACATGAGCGGCACAGATACAGGGGCCAGGGGGTAGTTTTGAACAAAGAGAGGGGTATTTTTAGAATTGCACATGTGAATGTAAGCGGATAGAAGTGGGCTGTGTGAAGGGATACTACAAAATGGAAGGTCTAAAATGACTTCAGAATATTAGTTTGAAAAGTTACTTAATAAATTATTTGCTTTAATATATTTGAAAAAGTTTAAACTATTATTAAAGGTCTTATACTGTACAAAATTGACTCTTGTGAGCTTTAAGGCATGTTATAATGTTACCTTCTCAAAAACATAGCAAGTTGTATTTTATTTCATTCACACATATTTGAGTAATTCTTTATTCTTCGTCTGTCTATATCTCCAAACTCAAATCTCTGTTCCACCTTGTGATGTCATGAAGCAGTAGTTTTCAAGTTACAGCTACCTATTGCCTTTAGTTCAACAGAGTAGTGACAATTCCAGAGCTGAAATTATCCAAACTTCCTTTATTACCACATGACATCACAAGGTGGGACAGAGTGTTTTCTATTTGAGAGAAGAGCTCAGCTTAAGTATACAGGATTTGTGTGTTAAACATGTGTGAATGAAACAAAACACAACTCTTGGTATGTTTTTGAGGAGGTAACAATATTATAACATGACTTAAACCTCACAAGAGTCTATTTTGTGTAATATAGGACGTTTAAGATATAGTTATTTAGCGATTTTCTGATTTGTTGCCATGTAGAGGAGTACCTAAGGCGTATCGCGGATGGCGTTTGGCCCAGTGTCTTTGCGATGGTCTCTCTCAGATCCTGGTACGACGAGTCCAGAGGCACAGACAGAGACAGGGTCTGGGTGAAGTGGACTTTCACCTGCACTGGACCTGCCTCTGGGGCTGGGGGGACATCTGACAGCTGGGGAAATAAAGGAAAAAAATATATATTAAAGGAAACATATTCTGAACAATAACATACATAGCTCATTAATAAATAATAATAGAAACAGGTTAGTTGATTTCCTGTTTGATACTGCAGAGCTAACAAACCTCTGCAGAGTGGCATTTCACCATTGCAAGCATTGCAAGTGTTTCACAAGAACGATTACATGACATTTTTGAGCCCTACATGTCTGACCCGGAGTCAGATTTGTTAGTGCAGTGAGATAGGTGGCGATAGGGGGTAGATGAAAATATTTTCTGAGTTTTCAAGCTTTGAAAGCAGTTGAAAACAGGACTACTTAAACCTGCATGAATGAAAACTACAGTAAAGATGGGGAAAGGCTAGATGCGTAACGATATCCAAGTCTCACGATACAATATTGTCACGGTACGATATTTATTGTGATATTTTGTGGAGGCACACAAAACTATAAGAATGCTACTTTTTCCTCTAAAAATGCCTTGTCAAGACTTAATCCAAAGAATTAAAATTTAAAAGTGCTTAGAAGTGTTATGTCTTCATGTAGTCTACACTGAAACGGAGAAAAGGATCATGGTCTATGTAGTTCCCTCTGTTTTTTTTTTTGTTTTTTTTAGCTATTTCTGGATTATTACTATTCATTTAAGCAAAAAGACTTGTGATTTGATATATTGTGATGGTCCACGATATTATTGTGTGACCTTTGACGACATGGCGATGTTGAGGTTATTGTTACAGTCCTAGGAAAAGCATTATAATATCTTGTTTCCACCTCCAGTTGCTGTCTCAGGCTATTCCTATAAAGGCACTTACTCTACATGTCATCATTATAACATTTCAACTGTTCCCCTTAACCTTCATTGAATAACTCAATTGCAACAGCACAATTATTACCCTCCCCATGCTCTCCCTCTTATCATATTCACCCCACTAGAGAGGAATCAAAAGAAATTCAGCATAACAACGCCAGACTTTCAGTTCTTAACTTTGTATTTTAGTTCAGTGAAGCATTCATGTTAGGGATGTAACAATAACTGAAATATCGTGATATCGTATCGTTGAAAGTCTCACAATAATACCGTGGGGCGTCACAGTATATCAAATTACAAGTACCTTTGCTTAAATGCATTTTTTTTTTTTTACAGTAGTGATGGTTAATAAGCATTGGGAACTACATATCCCATGATTCATTTCAGCGCAGACAACATGAAGTTATATGTTTTTCACTTGAATTCTTGGAATTTTGATGGTAATAATTCACACCAAAATTTTAAAAGCAAAAAAGCTTCCTATCTACAATTATATCAGCCTTTCCAAAATACCGCAATAAATATCGTACTGTGACATGCATATAGATTTGGATATCGTTACATATCTAATTCATGTAAATGGTCACTTTTCTTAGCCAGGCTGGTGCCACCTAGTGCCTCCGCTCAATTTCATTTCTCTCCAGCAACTCGGTCAGGAATTAAAATACAATAGGTGGTTCGCAAAAACCCTGGAAGTGCAAGTTTGGGCACCAGCCAATCAGCGAAGGGCCATATATTCAGTGTTGTCAACGATTCCAGAGATCGAGGATTTAAAGCTGGAATAAAGAGAATGTTTGGTGAATTTTATCAAGGGGAAAGATGTTATTGCCCTACTTCCACCGGGATTTGGGAAAAGCTTAATATACCAGTTACATTACACACATGACTACCATTGGCGATTGGTTAAAAGATAAAAAAATACCCATCTACTGTCGAGCGAATGAATTCTAACACTGTGAGGTCAGACGGTGAAGTGAAGTGAAACCGGCTGATGAATCAGGCTACACTTTTGTACTTTTAAGGCTCTCAAAGTACTTTACATCAAGGAACCACTCACCCATTCACACACACACAGGCACTGGGCTGAGGTGGGTGTCTTGCCCAAGAACACAACAGCAGTATTTATCTGTAATGCTGGAGCTGGAATCGCACTATCAACCTGTGGGTCAGTGAGTCTGACCGCTCTACTAATGATGTTTATGTTGATAACGGAATCCAAACTACCAACCTCCGGAACAGGGGACGAGCACTCTGAACTGAACTTCTATCGGTGATGAATGTAAGCCTTTTATCATCATTACTGAACTGCACACGGCTTTTCAACAACAACAAATTGAACTGCTATAAAGAGAGAACAAAATATTAAATTTGCACTTGTAACCTTTTGGTGGAGGATACGAAATCACCTTGTCTCCATGGGGATGTCACTGCTTTGCCTGGAATGTTTTACACTATGACGTTGAACACATCCGTCAACTGTCATTTATTTAATTAAGGGTGTTTCTGATTGTCAAAAATAATATGAAAAACATTGCGTGCGATCATTTGTCTTTGGCATAGTGGTGTCACTGCTTTTCTCCATGGAGACAGATACGTTTAATGCCATACTGTCGAACATTATAGGCAAAGCAGGTGCCAGAAAAGTTACGCAATATTAAATAATGCTTTCAACTTTAAACTGTCTGTAAGAGCATTTTCATTTTGGCTGAGACACTGCTGTAGCCATTTCATTAATACCGCAATTTAGTTTTGATTTCTCTTCTCTTTACAAGAAACACTGTGGAGCAAAAACAGAGAATTCCAGTAAAACAGAATTGCCTATTGACTAAAGCGTCTGAATGAAGACCAATTTGAATTCAAACTTTGCACACAACCCACAATAACTACTTTGTCATTGTCAGTGAAGAGTTATTTTTTTAATACAGGCTCAGAGTAGAGGTAATAAAGTAAAAAAACATAGACTCCCAGGGTTGTCAAAAGTATCAAAAAGTCACTAGACACTAATCAATACTAAAACTAGAATTGAAACTAGATACTCATTTCAGCAAATATTGATACTAAAAAAGTCACAGGACAGAAACAAACCTTTCCTGAATAGCTTTAGTACAATCTTGAGCTGTATCAGAACAAGTATAAGAACACACAGACTAGTATATACGCCCATGGACCACTATGGAACCTACCTGGACCACTGAGGGATTACACAGATATAAGGCTGCATGGTAATATAAAAGAAAGTACTATGATTTAAAGTTGAAAATCTCATTCTAGTATTTATAATCATCATGGTATCAGAATTAGTATCGAAATCAAAGAAATTTTAGTATCGTGAGAACACTACTACTGTATTTTTCGGACTATAAGTAGCACTTTTTTCATGGTTTGGGTGTTTCCTGCGACTTATATATAAAAGCGTTCACATTGACAACCACGAGAGGGTGCTCTAGGCTGTGTGTGTCAGTATCTGCTACTCCTATTACTCCTGTACCACTGTCATTTCACTCTACTATGTCTCCTACAGAAAGAGCCGCTGTCCTGACTGGTATCATGTCATTCGATCGCACTATACCACTTAAAATTTTAAATTTAATCAAACATAAAGACAACCAAAACTATCCTGTCGGGATTCAGAAAGGCCAGAATAATTCTAACTGGAACTGACAACAGAAGATGCTCAGAAGTGACACAGAGGATGAAGAATTCAGTAATTTGGAGTAAGATGGAGAGTTTGGTAAACTTGTTCTGTTATGATGTTTATGCTATAGATATCTGAAGAACATGTGACGTTAACAGCCTGTTGTTCTCTATTCTATTGTTTTTACTATAATTTCCCTTTCAAGATGAAATGACGGATCCTGGTCTCTGATTTTATAAAATGTGCGACTCATAGTCCAGTGCGACTTATGTTTTTTTCTTCTTCATTACACATTTTTTGGATGGTGACTTATAGTGCGACTTATAGTCTGAAAAGTATAGTACAACTTTTTTGATTTGGTTCTTAGAGCAATGTGAGAACTTTGCCACTATCCAGGCTGCGTATCTTAATGTATATTCTTATTGTACATACAGGAATTGTCATGGTTCATGGTTTGTAGTTGCTGTTTTTGCTTATTTTAGTGTATCTGTAGTGTTGTGTGCCCTTGGCGTTTTATTTTGACATTTGTCGTGTCTGCTTGCAGTTTTAAATTTTACTTCCTGTTTTGATTGTTTGCCCCCGCCCTAATGTGTTTCACTTGTGTCTGTGTGCATTTATACCCTGTGTTCCCCTCTGCCCTTTGCTGGTCCATTGTCACTGTCAGAGTCTCATCTTGTCTCTTGTCATGGCAGTTTAGTTTTGAGTCTTGGATTTTTTTTATTTTTTTTTTATTTATGGATTTTTAGATCTTTCTTTGTTATTAAAGAACTTTTACAGCAGTCCTGCATTTTGGGTCCTCCCTCTGTTTCTACCTGACAGGAATACGTTTACAAAGGTAGACCATGTAACTTTTTGCTGGGGGATCTCCATGAACATCTCAATATTTTGCCTCGAATGGTCCAGAGTATAGCATTCAACTCAGTCATCTCCCTAGAGTAGAGAAAAACAGGTGGCACCACCAAACTAAGTTACACGTCACAGCTGTTTATTGTGAGCAGGGACACCTCTAAAGATACTTGTTTCTTTGAGTAATGAAGTAGTGACAGCTATGATATCTCCATGGAGACAAGCAGGTGGTCATAAAACTTACGCAGTGCACATTTTTCAGTAATGTTCAGTTAAATGATGAAACAGGGAGAACATGTCAATTCTACAAAGACAAGCCTAGACCAGTCTGGGAGTCACACCAGCAATCTATCTGCTCATACAACTCACTCTGCCAGTACGTCACCAATGCTGCCCACACACAAAAATGTCAAACTTCCTTTAACTTTCTTCATTTCCTTCTCTTGCACTTAGAGGTGACTTGTATAATGCAGTCATAGATGTCACAATTCATAAAATACAAACAGAAAATGCTTTGTCCTTTAATGTCTAAGTGAGTAATCCAGGACATACCAGACAAGCTCCCGCTGGGCTCTAAAATGCATTTATTCAACCTAAGACGTCACCAACAGGCTAAAAATAGAGAGAAAGAGTCTGCAGTGACTGTAAGAGGAGACAGGCTTGTGAAAGATATTTATTCTGCTTATGAAAACTTTGGGAACAGGTTGCATGTATGGCTTAAAGGTGCACTCAGAAAGTTTTTGGTCGGGGGTACGTCACCTGCTTGTTTCCGTGGATATGTCATTGCTCTGCCTGGAATGTTCCACAGTATGACAGCTCTGCCTTACATTTATTCAATTAGAGTTTGTTTTACTGCTCAAAAATACCTAGAAAATGTTTGGTCTTCGTGACAATAGAAAGGTTTCATGAAGTAAAAAAGTATTTCACAGATCTTCCACCAGACAAGTTACACAATGCATCTTTGAAATAATGTAACCAAGCAAAGTGTCTAGACTAACACTAGACTAACACTAACACTCTAGACTAACACTAGACTAACACTAACACTTTTGGTCAAACAAAATAGTTGGATTAGTGGCTGCTCCCTCTGAAGGTAACATGGCAAATTTATTCAAGTACACTGCAAGTTGCATTGTATCGCATTTTCCTTTCAGGTCTGGCCATACCTCCAGAGAATTCATTATAACTTAGGGTGACACAAGCTATAGATTGGGTTATCGACAAATATATTTCAACGCGACCTAAGCTGTATGTGTCCTTGCTTTGGCAGTGCAATGAACAAACTCTCCAACACAGCATTTTAAAAGAACTGTATGTAGCCTGTACTCTTCTTTAAAAAAAACGTTTTAAAAAGTGCTAGTACCTTAAACTGCAGATGCAAGTTTTTCTCATTAATGATTGTCTGCAGTTTCTGGGGTTTAGGTAGTGCAGAAAGAGGCATTTTATGTTTAAACCAACTGGATTTCTAGCCAGGCTGACACTACCTAGTGCCTCAAAACTTCATTTCTCTCCAGCAACTAGGTCAGGAATCAGAATACACTAGATGGTTTGCAAGAACCTCGGAAGTTGTAGACCATGCAACGGCCAATCAGGGAAGAGCTGTGAAGCCATAACGTCAAACTTAAGCACTCGTCTGGGTCCCTTTTGTGGGACAACACAACAGTAAACAAAGCGGTCAAGATGGATGTAGACGAAGTCATACATTTTGTGTTGGTAATGATTCCCGTGATCGAGGATTTAAAGCAGGAACAAAGAGAATGTTTGGTAAATTTTATTAAGAGGAAAGACCTTATTGTCCTTCTTCCTACGGGATTTGGCACATTACATACGTCACAACCAAATAGCAGCGACTTGTTAAATTTAAAAAAAGTACCCGCCTACCGCCAGAGCAAACAAATCCTAATGCTGCGAGGTCAGACTGTTTCCATAAAGTGAAACCGGTTGATGAATCATGTTACTGGATTTCAGCATTGTGTAGTCTCTCCATGGCCTAGCACCAAAGTCCATCTGTGACATGATCGTGCCATATGAACCATCTCGCACTCTGAGGACCTCAGGGACCGGCCTCCTGCTGGTGCCTGGAGTCAGGACTAAACATGGGGAGTCACCGTTTCAGATTAATGCAGCTAAAACCTGGGACAGTTTTCCTGGAGATGTGACACAGGCCTCTGCTTTGACTTAAATCCCGGCTCAAAACAGGTCTGTTTAGCTGCATATGACTGAAAGGTTTTCAGTCTGCACTCTTCTCTGTCATTATTTATGTTTTCATTTGTTTGTTTTGTGATTTTAATGTATTTCCTATTCTGTAAAGCACTTTGAATTATTTTGTGCTTTGTGCAAACTTGCTTTGCCATTGAAATTAACAACGCAATTGAGTGACACATGTAAGGCTCATCCTGCTTTCTGTTTCTTTCTATTTAATCATCTTGAGAACCAAAACACCAAATTACAACAAAAACAACTTAGCTGTCATGTCCATTGTTTTTGTAATTAAGAATAAATCAGCATTACAATTGTTATTAAGAGCTAAAAATATCTACCTTATATCTGGGGACACAGATCAGTCAAGCTTAAGCAATTTAAAATCAAGATCTTACAGTATTACTAAGCTACATTCTTCTGAACCTTCTCAAAGGCAAAAGGTACATTTTCTGAACGAGTCTAGTACAGATGTATGGGATTCATAGTGGCACCTTGAATGCCTTGAAATTGCTCTGGATATATTTACTTGCATTTCCTGGAACCTTGACCCAGTGGCGGAGTTAGCAATTTGGGGGCCCTCAGCGTTTTGTTTTGTTTTGTTTGGGGTTTTTAAAATATATTTATTGTCTGTTTTCCCCCATTGTTCTTGAGACATGCACATCTCTATTTACTTGAATTAGGGTGGATTGGAAACTTGTCTTATTAGTTAGGAAGCCTACTAGATAACCAAAACTGAAAGTAGTTTTATTTTTTTGCTAATACAATTATATTTTTGTTTACATCCAATACACATGATTATTATTATTTTTCTTATGATTATTGTTTATAAGTAAACTACTCTCATTTAATGTCATTGAGAGAAAACCAAATTCTTCTGAGGCTAGGTCATTAGTGACACAGACGGCAAACTGGTTGGGGGCCCCTCCTGCCGAATACTTTTGCTTAATGTTTGCACCGCCTCTGCCTTGACCTGGTTGACCACAGTCACTTTCAAAACCTAAACTATAACGCATTTCACAGCTCACACTTATCTGAACTTCAAACTATGTTGATCAAATACATTTATTCGTTTTGATGGAGAATCATTATGTATATAGTTGTATTACCTGGTTGTCTGAGTTTTCTGTCTTCGGAATAGGCGCAGGGTCTGGTAGAGGAGCTTTTGTGACAGAGATGACAGATGGAGAACGAAAGGAATCTGGACGGTGGGCTGCAAAAAGTTGTACAAATAATATAATTTAAAAATGTATTGTGTGAAAAACTTCTTATTTTATGTTTTACATGCCAAACACTGTACCACTAACCAGTATTTTGTGTTTTATAAGACTTGACACTTTCTAGAAAAACAAAGAGAGTGCTGAACTACTCAAATCAGTGTGAATAAAATGAACCGCAACTCCAGCTATGCTTTTCACTGTGAAACGATAATGCTTCATAGTGCTGTTTTTTCATAGCAACTAGTACGAAGAATTTTGTTACAGTAATATGTTTACTTTTTTCATTTACCTCTCGGGGGCGGTACAGGGCTGGGTGTGACCTCTGGACGGTTGGGGGGCTTTAATTCGGGAGGGAGAGGGATGCCGTTAGGAATCCTCTGTAAATAAACAACACACGCACCAATAAACAAAAAACACCAAGACACAAAGAACAGAGATGAGAATAAACCTTAAAATAAAAATATCCAATATATCTTCCCTGCATGATTTGAGCTCTCACAACGGGGCAGTATTTGAACAAATGGAGGAGAAAAGTACAAGAAAATTGGAAAACTATACCCCATACTGTGCCCTCCCAGCCCATCGCCAGCACATTTGAACTAAAAGAATACTTTACATTGTCCCTTTTGCCTTTGGTTGACCTCACATCGACAGGCTCCAGCAGGGACACAGGCAGAAGTCCTCTCTGAAACAAAACCAATGAAAGTTACAGTTGAATTGGCTATGTGCACAGGAACACGCTGTCTGGCTCACTGCGTCTCAAAACTAACCGTCACTTTTAATAAAATTGTTAAAATCGTTTATATATAAAACTATGCCTTATTTGTCACCAGTCTCTTGCTATTTTTGCTACTTATTTAGAATTTATTATTACCATTTATATTTTTTGTGCTATGTTTAGGGTGACCAGATTTTCAGAATCAAAAACTGGGACACCTTTAGTTTGTGGTGGTTGGTAATAATAAAATTGTGAAACGAGTGCGTAATTAAGAAAAACAGTTATGCACTCGGTCCATTCATGACAAACATGAGTCAGTATAGTCACATTTTCTTTGTGTTTTAGTCATTTTTAAGCAGCAGAAAAGGCAAGAACATCTCCATGGAGACAAGTAGGTGACAGACCCTCACCAGAAAAGCTGTATACACTATTAATTAAATATAGACTGAAAATGTTGTCCTGCAATAGTTGAGATTTGAGAGGCATTTTCAGAGCTTGTTAGTGATAATATCTCACCTGTCCATCACAAATAACTGAGGTCATTCCATCTCTGTCCTCCTCGCCAAACAGGAACACCATGGCGCCCCCTGGAACTGTGAGCTGTCCTGGGCCACGGGACATGTACGGGGCTTTCACTCGCATGTAACGAGAGTCTCTGGAAAAGTAACGTAAGAGCAATCACATGACATGATCACATGACTGTAACACAGTAAATACATGTATGAATAATGCCAGTGAAATGTGTAGTTTCCTCTCGATTTGCACAAGGGAAGTTAAAGGTGCATTATAGTATAACTTTTATAGTGGAGTGCAGCCACCTGCTTGTTTCCATGGAGATGATCCACAGTATGGCATTATACGTATCACCCTTGAATTTATTCAGGTGATTTATATTCCTAAAGAAACACCCTGAAAAACATACATTACTGTGAGCAAGGTCACCTCTTCACATATTTTACTTGGTTTAGTGGAGTCACTTGCTTGTCTCCATGGGGATAGACAAGTTTAATTTAATGCACAGTGGTCCCCCAACCTGAAGCTTGGAGGATTGATTCTTGAACAGACCATGTTCTATCGTTGTGTCCTCAGGCAAGACACTTCAGTCCAGTATGGTGTGAATGAATAATAATGGCAGTGTGGCGCTTTGAAGTGCACATTACAACTGTAAGGCATTATTAAGTAACATCAACATCGAGACAAGCAGGTGACAGATCCTCCACTAGAAAAGTTACATGGTGCACCTTTAAATAAATATTAAAATATTAGTAAATAATTGTTTAACTGTAAAATGAAGGTTATTAGAGAACTCACAAAAAAGGCTGGTAAAGATTTGGACTTTAAAAACACAAAGAAGCTTCACAATTTCCATAAATCAGTATTAAAATATGGACAAAAACTTTAAGCAATTCCAACCAAGTTTAAGAAGATACTCACTGGGCTCCTTCAGATTTGGGTTCATAAAATCCAGGTTTCTAAACAAAAGTAGAAAGTAAAATAATATAAGCCAAAAATATTATGAAATAAATAATGATGGTCTGTTTGTACCTGCAGTCTCAATGGTTCAAATCCTCCAAAGTCATCATTGGGAATAATGGAGGAAATCACCTGCATACAAAGCATTGAGTGTAATTTTATCAGTGCAAAACAATATTTATATCTTTTATTTATTTATTTTTATTGTCAGTTGCACCTTAGCTTTTCCCAGGAAGTCCCTTTCTTTAAGCTGGTCCACTTCACGTTTATTGGGTCTAAAAACTACTCCTTCAGGAATCAAAAGTGGAGCTAGAACTTCTCTGCTCTGTAACATACAAATACAAAAAACAAGATAAAAACAAGTTTGAAAACAGTGAACTTAATGGAAAAAAATAAAATAAATAAATAAATTAACCTATATATGTATTGATGATGTCTCAAATTTATTCCATAATACCCCAGTTTTTCTAACAATTTGACAAGTAGCCTTTTCAAAGTAAATGTTTTATTCAACCTTTTTATTTTTTGTAAAGGTCAAGTTTTTTCAAGCAGTAATTACAGCGTGTGCTTCTATTAGTCACACTGGGTTAATTACTGGGGAAGGTTCACTAAAGGCAAAACAATAACATCTGTCAAATAATTACATGTAAAAAAAAATGATGTAAAAACTTCACTGTGAGGACAAAATTTCATTGTGAGTAGCAGATAGATCTATACATATACGGCTTTTCAAGGACTTCACTTTTGTCCTGTTTTAATACATTTTAGTGCATAGGAAAGTGGACTAAGGGAGTGTGACATCAACCATAGTGTTCGGCTTCAGTCAAATGAAGCTCACTGATGCCGGCAGTTACAGGAGTAAATTTGAAGCTATATTAGGAATAGGAATTTTTTTATGGACAAAATAGTGAAATAAAAACACCAGGATCATGTATAGTAGGTTAATAACGTTTTAAGACCAAAATGACGAGGCTCACTGCAGTGGTTACAGAGAAGGGTGACAATTTTTCAATGTAAAGTCAAATGTCGATGGAGACGGAGGTGCCCCCATGCTTACTTCCTATTTGGAAAGCTGCAGTTAGGTTGTACTCTATGTTTATATATGTTTTAGCATAAACTTGGCCTTGTTCTAGTCCTGGTTTAGTTCTGGTCTAATCCAGTTCGTCATTGTGTCCTTAGGCAAGATGCTTCACCCACATTGCCTAGTATGAAAGTGGTGTGTGCACATTGGCAGCCTCAGTCCATCAGTCTGGACGGCTGTGGCTACAGTAGTAGCATACCACCACTGAGTGTGTAGTGAATGAATAATAAACTGTAAAGTGCTTTGGGTATCTTGAAAGGCGCTATATAAATGCAATGATTAATTAATTAATTAAATAATTAAAGTTCTATAAAATAGTACTAAACTGTCCAGAACTAAATCATTTCTCCAGACTTGAAATGTTTAATGTTTAAACTGATGATCTTATGCCTTCCCACAATGAACACCGTATAGGGAAAATTATAATTATAATAAAAGTGCATTTAAAGGCGCCTTTCTGGGCGCTCAAGGACACCCTACAAACAACAATTAAGACACACAATTAAAAACAAACTATGTATTTTGAAGAGGTACCTTGACATAGTCCATAGCCGTCTCAATATTGGGTCCCTTTCCCCCTGTCCTCTCTTTGGACACTGTCTCCAGCACCTCCTGTGCCTGGTCCCAGTGTCCCATACGAGTGTAGACTGCTGCTGCGTTATACAGAACCTATAAGGAAAAAAGAGCACATCAGTGTAAGATTAAAACATAGTGAGATCCTTACTAATAAATGTACAGCTTGCACACATTTTAGTGTCATTTGAATACAATAAATATGGCAATGTTTGCACGTGTCCTGGCGTGATCTTGACTTGGTTTGGTCCTGTTCTAGTCCTGGTTTAGCTCTGGTCTAGTCCAGGTTTAGTTCTGGGTTTTCAAGTATGTGGAAGGGCTGGAAAGTCTGTTGCAGTAAAGAAGGCGACAAAGAGGTCTGTTATTCCATGCCCCAGGGTTTTATGGGCCCAGAATTGGACCCTTTTCCTGTTAATTTATATGAGAGGGGGGGGCCCATGTGAGGCTTCTTGCCCCAGGCCCCCACATGTCTGTCGACGGGCCTGGGGAAATGTATTAGTTTTTGATTAATTAAAGTTTAATAGTCAATTAGCTCGGGTCTTTTTAACTGAGAGGTCTACAGCCAATTCTCTGTCAGTAAAAAATGTAGGTTAAAGCAGCTTTAGACGAGTAAATTGGTCTGATTAAAAGGCTGACTTAAAATCAATCAAATGAAATCAATACTGGAAGACATTTATAGTTTTGTTTTTAAAGGAGAAAAAGGGAAACAAGACAAAAAAAAATTAAAAATCAAACACATACAGAATACTATGACTGTGCCTATGAGCAAGACACTCACATTTACACTGAAACAAATCCGCGTATCACCGTATCGGAAATGAGCAGCGTCCACACATGTCTTTTGTGTAACTGCAATCCTTCCTTATCCACACAGCTTTGAGCATATGTGTTTACGTTTTACAGAAACAAAACTTAAAACCGCATGGCTAATTTGCATAAACTGAGTGCTCAAAACAGCTCGGTATTGTGTGGTGATGAGGTTCAGCTTCTGTCAGAATAAAGGACACGACTTAGTGGATTATATGTGTTCTTTCTGTTGCAGAGGGGTGTTCTGCTGATGCTTCTATCGCGTTGGAGATGGTTCATGTTAAACTTTTCAGAGATTATATGTCTGCAGATCATAAGCACAGACCGTATATATGAATATATGTTAGCCTCTTAGAGTTTTGATGGTGAATTAGCTACTTCGCAGCGCATCGATCTACATCACCGTATCAGCGTTTTCAGGCATCCACAAAGTGCCGGATCAGACCCACACTCAGATGAATTCGTGGGAGCTGGCGGCACCAGTTCGTTCCGTCTCTGGAGCTGTTTTCAATCGGATTAGTGTGGACGAACACTGAATCCGTAACGAAAACGACTCAAATATGTACTAGTGTGTATGGGGCCTAACTTACTCAAGAATAACAAAGATGTGGCTGCCAATCTGCCTCTCCAACCACCACTGCCACTCACTGAAACAAAACACCCAAGGAAGATGAAGTGCCTTGTCCAAGGACACAACAACACACAGCACTGGTCGGAGCTGGAATTGAGCCGCTAACTTTACCTTAAGATGATGACTATACCAAATTAAGAAATTGATACAAGTAGAATTATCTCTTACACAAGTAACATTCTTCCTATTGTATACTTGTAATGATCATCCAAGAAGCTTGGTATATTTCCATTATTCCAAGTGACAGCATTTTTCTTTGTTTTCAGGAAATGTCATGATATTCTTGACAAAGGTTTTTGCCCTGTCATTCTTGACTTGTATCTTTGAGAAGCTCTGGAGCTTTGAGAAGAATGCGACATTGTATAACCTGTGTTTTCAATGGTCCTTTGTTCACTACAGGTGTGTCTGAATCCTCACCTGCTGTATGCGCTCTGACTGACAGCTCGGAGCTCTGGCCTGCATTAGAGTTTCTTATGAAAAGGAAAACTTAAAGGTGCACGTTGGAACATTCTGACATCTGCTTTGACATCTCCATGGAAATGTTTTGTTTGGAATGTTCACCAGTATAGAATGAAACTTATCTTGTTCCATATGTGTTTTTATTGCTTGCAAATACAGTGGAAAACCGGCATTGATACTTTTATTGGTGATCGAAAGCTCTGTCTTCAGTAACTCTAACTTTTAGATAGCTGAAAAGCATTAAAATAAAGTCAAATAAAATAAATAAATAAAAAAACTACAATATTCACACAAAATCAGCAATTATACAATGCAACAATATTTTGATTTGTATATATTTCCAATCATCTTTTTGGGAGGTTCTCTGTAGCCAAGCTGGCGGCACCTAGTGGCTTCACTTAATCTCATTTCTCTCCAGCAACTAGGTCAGGAATCAAAATACACTAGATGGTTTGCAAGAACCTAGAAGTTGTAGACCGTGCACCAACCCATCAGTGAAGAGCTGTGAAGCCATGACGTCAAACTCAAGCGCTTGTCTGGGTCCCTTTTGTGGTACAGCACAACAGTAAACAAAGTGGTCGAGGTGGATGTAGATGAAGACAGACATTCTGTGTTGGTAACGATTCCTGAGATCGAGGTTTTGAAGCCAGAACAAAGAAAATGTTTGGTGAATTTTATCAAGGGGAAAGACGTTATCGTCCTTCTTCCTACAGGATTTGGCACATTACATACATCACGACAAAATAGCAGCAATTGGTTAAATAAAAAAAGTACCTGCCTGTCATCGAGCGACCAAATTCTAATGCTGCGAGGTCAGACAGTTTCCACAAAGTTTGTCAAAAATTTTTTGACAAATATACTTTACTCACTGAAGGACTATTGAGTTTAAAGCAATATAAGATCTTGAGCTTGGACATTTGTCAGTAGGTAACATGAGGATTATAAAACTCCCAGATACAGACTCCATACAAAGTGGCAGAGATGGATAGAGAAGTCAGAATTATTGTCAATTAAGAGCCACTTTTTTACAGTAATATTACTTAAAGGTGCACTGTGCAACTTTTTTGGCGGAGGGTCCGTCAGCTGCATGTCTCCATGGAGATGTTACTGCTTTGCCTTGAATGTTGCATGGTGTGATTTTAAACACATCTATCTAGCATTTATTCATTACGGGTGTTTTTATCAATCCAAAATACAATAATTCTATCTGTGAATAAGGTTGCCTCTCCACAGATCTGACCTGTAATGTAGCCTGGAGACTTGAGATAGATTTAGATAAGTTTAATCTCTACAGTGGTACATTCTAGACTAAGCAATAACATCTTCATGAAGACAAGCAGGTGATGGAGCCTTCACCAGAAAAGTTGCACAATGCACCTTTAAGTACAGTCTAATAAATAAGTCAAGTAAGAGTAAAACGTATTTCAGGAAACTACTACTTAAGTAAAAGTATCTGTAAAGGTATAACATCTAATTTATAATTTCAAATGAATGAAATTGGATAAATCACAAAATGAAATCTGTCCATTTCAAATTAAATACCATAACAAATATCTGACTAAATCATATCCTTTGTCTATGTCAAGGTTCTTTTTTGGACCAAAAACAAGAACAAGAACAAACAAAAACAAACCCTTGGTTTGAAAAAAGAACCTAATAACATAAATTATCGAAAGACCACATGAACCTCACTGGACATACACTACCGTTCAAAAGTTTTAGAACACCACACTTTTTCCATTTTTTTACTGTTTCCTGTTGACCAAAACATATATCATTGTAGCCACCTTTGGCAGATGTAACAACTGTACACACTCGTGGCTCGTTCTTTTTACAATAGAAATCAAACATTCTTCAGAAAGTTCTTCCCAAGTCTGTTACAGAAGTTCTCATAAATGTGTGGCACTTGTAGGTTGCTTGATTTTCACTCTTCTGTCCAGTTCATCCCAAACCAGTTCGATGGGGTTTAAGTCTGGACACTGTGCTGGACACTCCATGTTTTCAAGTTCACCATCTTGTTCTTTTTTCCTGAGGTAGTTTTGGCAGAGCTTGGACTTGTGTGTTTTGTATCTTTTATCTTATTTTTAACCTCTGTCTGTTCAGTTCTTACCTTTGTACCATTTCAAGCCCTTCATTGGACTTGCATGACTTGAATTACAATAAATAACTGGAAAAATTCAGATATTCTAAAACTTCTGACTGGTAGTGTATTTTTTGTGAAGTTTTGAGAAGTGACCACGTGAGAGTAATTTTGCAATGTAAATTTGAAGAGTGAGAGAATGGGAGAACAGGGGGACAAGAAAGAGTGAAATCCGAGTATGTGTGAGTTTGTATGTTTGTGATGAGTTTGATATTTGATTCTCTTGACACATTCACTGTATTTATTGCTTTTTCATCCAATAATCCCAGTGCTTTTTTAGTTTAAAGCCCTTCAGGGGACTGGTGTAATACCTGCATTAGATTACTGAATTATTAATCTAAGTAAAAGTACACTGTCTGAAAACTACTCAGTCACTCAAGTAAATGTAGCCCACTTGAGTAAATGCACCTCTGCAAAAACACAACACGTGATTAGACCTCATGACTGTTGTGCTGTATGGTGAGAGCATGGATCTATAATAAGATTTGATTACACTTCCACGGGTGAGACCATTTTGTGAGTGTCTGCCAGCGTGATCATTATGGGATGTTAAAGGGTGCTGACCTGCCAGCTGTAGAGCTTGAACCTGAGTCCCAGCTGTTTGTAGTCGATCACAGGGTTGTTTCTCATCTGTTTCTGAGCCCAGATACAGTCCGACAGAGCCTCCTCCAGCCTGACAAACACGCAAAAAATTAATACAAAACAATACAATTAAAGGTGCCTGGTGTAATTTTTCTGGTGGAGGGTGCATCAAAAGCTTTTCTCCGTGAAGATGTTATCGTTTTGTCTGGAATGTTTCACAATATGGTGTTAAACCTTTCTATCTTCATGGAGACCAAACTAGACTGAGTTACAAGTCAGATCTATGGAGAGGCGACCCTGCTTACAGTCAGAGTGCCTGATTTTATAGGTCATTTTTGAGTTTAAAAACCACCAGCATCTTAACGTCATACCGATGGAACATTCCAGGCAGAGCAATGACATATCCATAGAAACAAGCAGGGACGGACCCCCAAAGAAAAAGCTATATAGTGCACCTTTAAATTAAAAAAAAAGAAAAGAAAACTCTACTCCTGTTCTATATACTATTCTATACTATACCAATTTGGTTAGAATAAATCACAAACTGGAAATTATGTGGTTACTTTTTTGTATGTGTGTAATACTGCCTATGTAATAGCTCAGTCGTGCAATTCAATTTTACTCAGGTTACTTGTGGGACACTATAGACAGACATAAGGCAGTGTCCTCTTCCAGCTGAATTAAATGTTCATTTTCTGTTACTAACACTTTGTATATTGCTTTTGTCATGTAAGCCTGAAATATTCTTTATGCTCTATTGGAGATATAAATGTGTGAGACTGCATATTACAGAACTCTTGCATAACCTTTCATAGCACTGAAATATAACAAGAGTGATTTTTTTTTTTATCTTCCCGACCTTGAAGGGGTTTAAAAGCAATCAATTCAAAGCACAATGCTGCCCCCTACCTGTCCAACAGCATCATCACAGTTGATCTCTGAAAGAAGCCAACAGCCAGGTGCTCATCTTTCACCAGCGCCAGGTCTAAAGCCTGAAAAAATGTAGAAACTTGTTACTATAATTTCCAGAAATTTTAAACACATATTTTAAATTATGGGAAAATTATGGAAAAAAATTGTGTTTAAAGTTTATGAGTTTAGGGGGAATTATTCCTTACTGATTTGAAGGATTTTATGAGGATTTTTAAATTTTTAAATGATATAATATTTTAGTCCAGGCATTCTGGAAAAGTAAAAGTCACATGAGGAAAATGTATCATTAAAAGGCCTTTATTTAAATAGCCAAAGCCAAAATGTTTTGACCATGAACAGCCTTCATCAGGGCTTAGTTAGTGTCATGAAACTAAAGGCAATTGAACTATACTTTTCCTCATGCAACGTTTACGTTTCTGGAATGACTGGACTTCATTTTGTCTAAAGTTTTAATCCTTTTTCCAAGAGTGAAATTTGTAATTACTATAACAGAGAATAGAGCGGTGCACATACAGTCAGTGCCAGGTCGGGCCGTCCCAGAGCCAGGTGGGCAGAGGCCATGTTGAAGAGCGTGCGGGCGGTGGGTTCTGTGATCTGCTCCAGAGTGGACACACAGCCCTGCCAGTCCTGAGCGTCCACCTTCTGAACAGAGGAGGCCCAGAGCTGGAGGAATTCTGTGTACAGCATTCTGAAGGGAAGAGAAAACGTACTACATAAGTAAATACATAAATTAGTGTTTCCAAACTCTATTTCAATACTAAGGAATAAACTCGATACTAAAAACCTATTCCGATACCACAATAATAAAAATTCACAAAAGAATATGATTTTCAACAGTAAATCGTAGTACTTTTTTATATCTGTGTAATCCTTCAGTGGTCCAGCTAGTTCCATAGTGGTCCATATGCTCTTATACTTGTTCTGATACACCTCAAGATCATTCTAAAACTATTCAAAAAAGGTTCATTTCTGTCCAGTGAATGTGCCTTTTTTGTATCGACACCTGCTCAAATGAGTATCTAGTTTCAATACTAGTTATAATACTGATTAGTAAGTGATTCGTTTGTATCTATAATTAGTCAGATGTTATTTATTCAACTCTTCTCAGCTCAAATCTTATTATAGTTCAGAAAAATAACCAAAAAATCCCCACTTATACAAAGAAAAAGTACAGTGGATAGATATTATAGGTCCTATATTATGCAAAATTGTGAGCTTTTAGTCATGTTCGAATGTTGTTATCTCATCAAAAACATGCCTGGAGTTGTTTTGTTCTATTTTCTTTCTTTTGCACCTGTTTGTGTAATCCTGCATTATTAATTTGTTTACAGCTCCAAAGCTCAAAATGTTCTGTTCCACTTTGTGATGTCTTGAAATGGTAGTTTTTGAACAAACAACTACATTTTAGTTTTTGCTCATGAGAGAATGGCAATTCCAGGCTTAACATTATCCAGATCTTATGCAGGGTTAGTAAGTTAAACATGTGTGAAGAGAGAAGAAGATATAAACTAGGGTTGTCAAAAAATCGAGCAGGTATTTATACTAATGTAAGAAAAACAAATAAATGGGACAAAACTGGGCAAGTAGATTTTGAATGGTCTTGACCAGTAGAGGTAGGACCTCACTGTGGTATCAAAAACGGCACTAAACTTTCTTCTTAGCAACAGAATTGAGTTTGAATTTTTATATTACAATGGATTACTATAAACTAAGAATACAAGCTTTTATGAGGAAAAATAACGCAACATCATGCTGGCAGCCCCACTGTAATATCACTTTACTATATCCTGGTCTAAGTCACTTCTGTGTAAATCCAGGTGAGGCTTTATCATCAATTCTGGGTATGTTTTTAATGAGGAAAAAACATTATAATATAAGCCAGAAAATAGCGTATTATGGGCCCTTTAACACCCAAAAATTATTGTTTCGTCTAACTTATATTGTCCAGAAAACTAGTGTAGTTTTCTTGTGTTATATAGTGAATACACAGTGTTTCAGGCTATACAACAATCACTTTTATGATTAGTAAGTACTCAATCTCAACTCCCATATCTACTTCTTGTACTTCTTGCACTACTAGCTACTGGCTCCACAGATCTGTCATGTTATTGTAGTACCAGTCTACTATACTATTATTATACAGTATAGTAATTACTGTAATTACTACCTGTTAGTTGGTGATTACAGAGCTGAAGAGTGAAAGCGGCATCTTATTTTAGAAACGTACACACTTAAAAAAAAAAAAAAGTTTTAAAAAAGTAACGTAACAAGCAATTCCAAATATAAAAAAAAAAAGCACTAGCACTGCACTTGTAATACAGGAATACATGTGTGCATTTCCAAATATGCAAGCAACGTACTGTTCATTGATACTAAATTAAAACTAAAACTAAAACAAAACTTTTAAACGAAGAAATACACTTGATACTCAATACCGAACACTCTTTCTTAAGACAATAGTTCCACAGTTCCACGTGTTATAATACTGTTATCTCATCAAAAACATTCCCGGGGTTGTATTTTGTTTCATTCAAACATTTAAGGTCTTATACTCCTAGTCCTATTCAGGAAAGTTTAATTTTTGTCCTGTGAATGTGATTTTTTTAGTATCAAAACCTGCTCAAATGCGTATATAGTTTCGATATTAAATTTGGTATAGATTAATATCTGATTTTCTAAATTTTGACAATTCTAAGTGAGACTAGATAGTACAGATTCTTCTAAACAACATCCTTAGGTACTTGCACCGCCCCTTTAAGTAGATGAAACAGATAGGAAAATCTGTATTCAAATCAGCTGTAACTCTATGGGCTATTTTCAAATCACACAATATAAATATAGTCTACTTTCAGCTTTACAGTACGTTCCATAATCATCATATCCTTACCTTTTTCTATTATCCGTCATCTGTGCTCCGTCAGTATCCAGCGCTGCGTGAAATGTGTGCGTCTCTCTCCAGAACAATACAGATTTACAGGAAAGTGTGGCTCACAGACAGACACCGCCCCTTCAGCTCAAACCAGGAAGCACTCCAGCCACATTCCCGAGCAGGTGAGACAGGTGACAGGTGCAGACAGCAAGGCTCGACTTTCACTTTATTTGGCATGTAAATACAGAGACAGGTGCAGGGAATTATAGTATGACCAGATCAGCACAGCTTCCTGATGGAAATCTCAACAATAGATGCAACATAACATTAAAGATAACATAAGATTTAAATTAAAGCAACATAAAATTACTACTTTTAAATTATAGCAGAAGATATAGTTGATTAAAAGTGGAGATACATCATTATAATACATACTTTGGTGTACACGTTCATTGTTTATATTTGGGTATGTACAAGATATACAAGATAATCAAAGTGGACCTGACATAACATGACATAAAGAACCTCTTTCTAAATCACTTTCATATATTTCAGACCACAGAAATGTTCTTTGGTTCTGAACAAAATGTTTTTATTCCCATAGTCTTTTGAAAACACAGTAATAATCTGGGGATATACATTTTAATTAAAAATAACAAAAAACTTATTCAGCAGCACTGGGAACTGATTGCACTTCTAAATCAAGGAGGGTTCAACTTGATGTTAAAGGTGCATTGTGTAACTTTTCTGGTGGAGGGTTCGTCACCTGCTTTTTTCTATGGATATGTCATTGCTCTGCCTGTAATGTTCCACAATGTGACATTAAACAGTTCTATCTTACATTTATCCAATTACAGATTAGAAAAACTGGCATTCTGACTGTGAGTGGGGTCGCTTCTCCACAGATCTGTCCTGTAACTTGATCTGGCTTGATCTCCATGAAGATATAAAGGTTTAATACCGTACTGTGAAACATTCCAAACAAAGCAATAACATCTCATTCCACCAGGAAAGTTACACAATGCACCTTTAATACATAAACTAGGATTGTCAAAAAATATAGAAATAATATATTACTAATAGATATATAAACTACTCAATTGAACAGGTATTTACACAGAAAAATAAATAACTGGAAAAGTATTTTAATGGCCTTGATCTTTATCAGAGGTAGGATAAAAAAAAATACTATAGTTTGTTTATTACTGTGGTATCAAAATCAGCACTAAGCTTCCTTCTTAGAAACACAATTGAGTTTGAGTTTTTGTTATTATGACAGAATTACAATAAAGTATGACTACAAGCCTTTATGAGGAAAAAAAAATTACATCATACGGGCAGGCCCACTGTAATATGAGTTTACTGTGTCCTCCTGGTGTACGTGACTTCTGTGTTAATCCAAGTGAGGCTTTATCATTGTGCAGCTCTGGAGGAAGCTTTCATTTAAATAACTAAGTTTACCTAAGAAATACATTATCTGTGACCTGACCAGTTTGACCCCAGTTTAACAAGGAAACAGAAAATATACTTATGGGAAACATTAAGCATTAACCATGTGTTTGTTTATGATAAGAAACTAAACATTGATCTGGCCTCTGGTTAACTTCACATAGCTTTTTTTCCAATTAAATTCTTCATTACATAACATTCTTGTGGCCTTAACTCCATTTTAAACATTTCCGTCACTTTGGATATAGTATTTCATATTTTATAATTTCAAATAATGTGGAAAATATACTTTATAAACTACACTTCTGTTTCCACTTATGTATGTAGGTGCTGCAGCTCCCTCTGGTGTTAGCAATGAGAATAAACTGGGAAAATGAACAAATGAACCCCCAAGGCAACCTGAATGCTATGCTACTAGAGCCATTAGGTGTGAACACAATTTGAATAAAGAACAAGTCCAGTCAGGGTTTATCATCTTAAAAACTGCGCAAGAGGGTTTTTACCTATGACGCAACAGTCCAAGCAAAATGTGAACAAAGCATTCAGTGAAGATTTGATCACTGAAACTACCAAGAATGAAGCAAAATACAATTCCACGTATGTTTTTGATGAGGGGTGTTGGCTCTCTATATTTGATGAGTATATATATCTAGTTTCCAAATGTGTATTACCTCCTTAGCCAGCAGATTATCAAATGCTTTTTTGCTTGTGGATTGCAGGATACAGCCGTGGGACTATGAATAAAGACGAGGGGGCTTTGCTACTCTCATACACCTGGGATATGGTCCAGAAGAAGTCCACCTGCAGAGGGGAGAGAATATCAAAGCAAAATCCTGAGTGAATCAAGAAATGACACACAAGCATGACATGGGTTAATAAAAAAGTATTTCAAATAAACCAGGTCTAAATTGTTTAAAACAGTAGTAGTAAATAAGTAAGTAGTAAATCTATTAAAATGTTGTGTATATCTTAAAGTACTTTTACTATCTATGCAATATTTCAACCTCAATCATGATATTGAGGCATGTTTTAGCACATTTCTGATTGACTCCCATTTGCCATAACATTGCCGGATTATAATTATCTGGAAAATTCTGAAACATATATTGAGATATTTAATTTGATCAAAATGGCTTACTCCTTTTTAGTAGACCTAAAACATAAATGTATGCATTTGAAAAAAAATTAATGGACAAAACTGTTTCTTGTGTGTATATTGCTTACACTTTTTACTTCCTGTTTTCTTTCCCATATCTCATAATACTACTGAATCAGAAATCAGGAGCCCAAGAGATGAGATACACTTGTACGTGCTCCATTTTCAGAGTGAGTAAGAATAGTTTTGTAGCCTACAGGGTGAACCGGCCCCACAGGCTCAGTCTGAGGTTTGCTATTAATATGGAGCAACAATGTGGAACACCAGTGACACACCCACACACCCAGGATACACGACAATAGAGAACAACAATGCACCATGCACTACAGGGATCAGCAGACATGTTAAACAAATAAATCATGTTCCAATTAACATAAAACTGTGAGTATTATGACAGAAATATTTACAAGCTACATTACCATATCATTTTTATTTATTTATTATTTTTATTTTTTATTGTAATATAATGTGACGTGTGAGGTATTGTGTCCAAGTAATTTCCCTTGTGGATCAATAAAGTCTGTCTAAGTCTAAGTCTATAACCATCAGTTTGACAAAGTTATGCCAAATACAGCAGTAGCCTATATGTAATATTTAGGCTTAAATGCAGAAGCCTAAAAGTAATATTTGTATGTAAAGTGCGAATACTTTTACTTTCAGTTTATAAATCAAGTTATCCCGTTGCAACTGGAAAATGTTAAAAGTTGGTTAGTCTATAGCAGGCTGTTGAATGTTGTTTAAATCATATATATATATTTAAAGAAAATATTATGAGACATCGCTGTAACAGATTTATAATAGATCCATGGGCTGACTTGTGCTAGCAGGCTATTTTTTCTTCTTCATGCTTCATTGAATATGAAATTAATTACATTCAGTCAAGTGCGCGCTATTCAGCAAAAGTGTGACATTAATAAATAGTAAAAAGCAATCTTATGTGTAAATAATAATCATAAAAAATGTGGTCCGGCAACTCACCTAAACCGTGGAGTAGTTTCCCTGATTAGTTGTTCAACTCCGCACTTTTCACGGTTTATAAACGGGACAGAAGAAGCTAATCCTCAGATGTCCCGTGGCACATGAACGCGTCCCAATTAATAACGTTGGTCATGTGACACGTGGGACTGACGCATGCGCAGTGAGGCTATTTAAACCACTTCTGGTCCTTTCCTTCAGCTGTTTTTCACCACTTTCGTCCAAAATGAGGAGGATTTTGGACATTTTAGCGCTCAGTCTTGTTCTTTGTTTTACAGTGGGGCTGGACGCTGTACCATTTCAAAATCTGATCAAGGTAATAATGTTTAATGTCAAAGTTTATTCCCTAGCCTCGTCTGATCATTCAAAGTCTCACGTAACAGAAGTTATGTATGTCAAGATTATTAATAATTTGATTTATTTATATTGAGTTATGTTAGTCATCACACCCACGTCTGCTCATCTATCTGAATGTATTATTACTCATGTTAACAGTTCCTCACAGGTCCAGGTTCGTTGCACATTTAACAAACATGCACTAAAAGGCCAAAATAAGCCAGGAATAGGTATATATTTCTATTTTTCACCCATTTACACAGTTAATCAATAAAAAGTGTTTTTGGCATTTAGTGGTCCGGTGGTTTGTAAAATTGTTAGTAAAATGTACAGTATCCTCCTATTTATTTAATGAAATTTACTCAGTAAAAAGCAAGATAATTCAATAAAAATGGGAAGACAAATTTTGATCATTCTTGAAATGTACACTGCATTGATAAGTAAAATAAAACCAAAATAATTACAACTTTGAAACTGCACTAGCCTCCTCAAACAATTAAAGCGAACACGTCCACACTTCTTTATGCATTTCTTCTCTTTTTTATGTTTTCAGTCTAAACAGCATCATGTATCCAGCACAGATCCACAGTTTCACAGAGAAGTATTTCACTCAAATCATGGACCACTTTAACTTCAACAGCATGGGCAACGGCACTTTCCAACAACGTTATCTCATCACAGGTATAAAAAAAATTATGAGATTATAGATTTTTTGTATTCCTAACCCCACTGCGTCTGTGCTTGTCTAGATAAATACTGGAAAACAGGCTACGGCCCTATATTCTTTTACACCGGTAATGAAGGAGACATCATGGAGTTTGCCCTGAACTCTGGATTCATCATTGAACTGGCGGCTCAGCAGGGGGCCTTGGTCATATATGCCGAACATGTAAGAAAGAAAGCAGTACTATTTCTTTATTTAGATATGATGACACTAGCTTTATTTGAATATCATGGTATGTGTGAGTCTCATTCTCCTTTTAAATAAATGCATTTTAGGATCATATGACTTCAGGAAATAGGAAGTTGGTTACACATTGACAGTATCAGCTGTACTGTGTATGACTGTAATCACTGTTACATAATCAATATTAAGTCTTACACATATTTGGCTCTATGAAAACACAGAGGAAGTGAGAGCTTCAGGATATCTTATAGGGATAGGACAAGATCTTGTGCCACAAGATTTTATGAGACAAAATTGACCACATGCTGAAAATGAACTCATGAGATTTTCCCCCCATGTTTTTACATTTGGATTGGTTAAAAAAAAAAAAAATGAAGTACTGGTGAGTTACATTTTATGAGAGTCCCAAAAAGCACTGCTACAATAACAGCAGAAATATTAAATAAACTAAATAAAAAATAGTGAGGCTAAAATTGGGAACTGGATTGTACAATTTATTTATTATATCATTTTCGTAGTTCTAATCTCGTTTCTCATCTCTTGAATTTATCTTGATCCATTCCTAATATCTTTAGTTAAAAGTCCACAGCAGGTGCTCCTCAAAGACTAGGCTCAAAAGCTAACAGACAGTGAAGATCGCCAAGCTTGAAGTGTAAAAACTTACTGTGATAAAGTAAAAAGCAGTCAAAAAAGTCCAAGCCACTCTATTGGAATTAGAATAAGTCCTTTAATGGTTTGTCCCATGTACCGTAACCATGAAAGGATTTTCTAATTCCAGCAGACTGCCTCTGACTTTTTTGACCGCTTTTTACTTTATCACAGTAAGTTCTTTATTTTTACCCTACAAGCTTGGTCATATTCACTGTCTGTTAACATATTTAGCTCTATGGCTTGAGGTCCATGTATTGTATTGTTGTGTGGGCTCTATTCACGCTTGCACCACAAAACCGAAAGACGTTTGGAAACATGCAGATGATGACTTCTGGTGGGCTCTATTGGTGGTAGTAACTTGTAGTAAAAAAAAAAAAAAAGATTCATTGTAGAATTACATTATGTTCGGTAGATCAACATTTACTGAATCCATGGTTTTATCACATGCACACTCGACATCCTCATGTTTCCAAACGTCTTCCGGTAAACGTGAATAGAGCCTATTGTGTTGTCAAACTGTCAGACTTGTGAAGGGTTTGTCACCTGCTAGTCTCCATAGAGATGATCCTGCTTTATCTTAAAAATTCCACAGTTATGGCATTAGACTTGTCTATCTTGCATTTGTTGATACAGGTGTTTTTATTGGTCAGAAATACCAAAAAAAACCCATGCATTTTTCGTGTGAGTGGGGTCACCTTGGTGGTGCTACATTCTTGTTTCAGTGTAAATAGATAGGTTTAATGCTGTACCGTGGAACATTCTTTGCAATGCAATAATAATCTTCATGGAAACAACAAGTATGTGATGGACCCTCACCCGGAAAAGTTACATAGTGCACCTTTAAACCAAGCTAAGTGAATTATGTGTGAACCATTAAAACTGTTTCACAAGAATTATTTCTTAGTAATATAAAAAAGAACAAACATTTTTTCACACTCCTAAAATCTATATTAAAGTTGCACTATGCAACTTTTTGGTTGGGGGTCCATCACCTTCTTGTTTCTATGGATATGTCATTGATCTGCCTGGAATGTTCCACACTATGACATTAAACAGCTCTACCTTACATTTATTCAATTACAGGTATTTTTTTAGCTCAAAAATGCTTAGAAAAACAACATTCTGACTGTGAGCGGGGTCACCTGTCCACAGATCAGACCTGTAACTTGGTCTGGTTTAATGCCAAACTGTGAAACATTCCAGACAAAACAATAACATCTCCACGGAGAAAAGCGTTTGACGAACCCTCCACCAGAAAAGTTACACAACGCTCCATTTAATGTCTGTTGTTTCAGAGATACTATGGTAAGTCCCTGCCTTTTGGAAAGGACTCGTTTAACATCCCAGAGGTGGGGCTGCTGACCGTGGAGCAGGCTCTGGCAGATTACGCCGTCATGATCACTGAACTCAAACAGGAGCTGGTGGCTTCAGACTGCCCAGTCATCGTGTTTGGGGGAAGGTACTGTGCCATAACAAAGCAACTCCTCTGGCCAATTTTCTCACATTTTTCTATTTTTTCTTTATTGATATGAATATACAGTATACCCATATATGAATTTGGGTGTCATACTGGTACGGTATATTGCAAAAATAGTGAAATTGCAAGAAAATAAATATATCACAAAAACACTAAGAACTTGGCCTGACAGAAAGTTTCTATTTTTGAAAAACAGAAGATTTCATTTGTTATTTTCATTATAAAGTTTTGGTTTAGTCCATGTTACATTTTTAGGTTGCCACATTTTGCTTCACAGTCACAGTTTAGTTTAAATTTAATTGAACCTTTTAAAAGGAGTTACATGTTAGGTGCTAATGTTTTGGAAATAACGTTTGTGAAGACAGACGGTTGTGGATAGGTCGAGACTAAAATCATATTGTATCAAATATATTAACAAAAATGCTTCTCCTGTTTCATGTGAAGTTTCTCTTTCTAATTTAGCTCTTCTTTCTTGGTAAGGTGATACTATCAGAGTCATGCATCTGTAACACTTTCGCTTCTTCTCTGCAGTTACGGAGGAATGCTGTCTGTCTACATGAGGCTCAAATATCCCAATGTAGTAGCAGGTGCTTTGGCTGCTAGCGCCCCCATCCTGTCAACAGCGGGACTAGGAGACCCCCGGCAATTTTTCAGAGACGTTACAGCTGTGAGTTTAAATGGTTAATTATACGAAAAGAAATATATGAATTTGTTATTTACTGTGTACTTTGTGTGTTTTTGTTTTTGTGTGTAGGATTTCCAGAACATTAGCCCAGACTGCAGTGAGGCTGTGAGAGGAGCTTTTGGACAGCTGAAGGAACTAGCAGAAAAACAAGGTAATGTGAATGGAAAAATCATCTAGTGTGCTAAATGCTATGAATGAAATTAAATGAATGAAAACAAATAAAACAAGCAAAATCAACCTGGTCCCCCATGAGGCATCGGTGGGGGCAATTCATCAGCACAGAAGCAGCTTATGAGGAGCCCAGCCCATATTACATGATCTTTCTATCCACAATGCAATGTGTGTATCTGTACAGTGCCCATGAACATTTGTGTGATATTGGTCACACATGAGAATGTCTGTGTTTACTAGTGTGTATTTGGGTAAGACAAAATTTGGTCAAATACATGGGAAAAAGTCCTGTACCAGCACTTTAAACCATAACCAACCATTTAAATCATTAACATCAGTGTAAAGTATATTTATTGAACTAGAAATTCAAGAACAAGAACCATAGTCCACACTGAGTTCATTACTCAAATTTTGTCTCTAAAAAGGGGAACAGAAACACCTATTATTACCCGTCAAATGTTATAAATATTCTAAAAGTTATCATCACTGCATGATTAATACTTTAAAGTCTATGAGGTCCTTATTGGGTATCTCCCTTTTTTCAGAATTTTAATATTAATTCTCTGACAACAATCCCTAATCTCAGAAAAAAATAAAAAATAAATAATAGAAAGCCACTTATTTCATATTTTTTATGACTTCTTCTCTTCACCGTCCGTTATTAGTGTAACTTTTAGTAGCTGCAATGCCATTTAAAGTTCTAATCTACAAGTTGTAAATGCCAGTCTAAATATACTGTTTTATCCACTGTAACAAACTAGAAATCTGAGTTCTACCATGCAGGGGCAACTAGCATAAATACTGCATACATTTGTCTTGGTTCTCATTCTTTAGCTTACAAATAAATACATAAATAAAGCGCTTCTATCATTAAAGGCCATATATTAAGCAAAATTTACTCTTCTGAACTTTAAACCATGTTATAATGCCATTTCCTCATAAAAAACTTACCCGGAGTTGTGTTTTGTTTCATTCACACATGTTTGGAGATATAAACCGACTAATAATGCAGGATTACTCAAAGATCAAAATGCTCTGTTCCACCTTGTGATGTCATGAAGCGGTAGTTTTCAAGTTAACCGCTAGTTTATTTTTTTACTTTTGTTCAGTAAAGATTGGCAATTCCAGGGCTGAATTTATCCAAATGATTACTGTGAAGGTGTATGTTTAAAAATACAGTGGAGCTCTTCCTATTATTGAGAGAAAAACTTAGCCTAAATATATGTGTGAATGAAACACAACTCCAGGTATGTTTATGATGAAGAAACTGTAACTGTTTCTTCTATTTTGTTGACTTGTATGTGAAGCAGTTTGGTCAGCTGAATGCGCTATAAAATTAAACTTGAATTGAATTGAAATAACATTATAACATAGATCAGAAAATTGTATAATATGGGCCCTTTTAAATCTGTAAACAATCACTGTTGACAATAAGAATGACTGTCTCCCATTACGTCTCATCTTCATTTCTGTCCTCAGATTATAGTTCGATCCAGGAGAAGTTCGCCCTGTGTAAGGCCCCCTCCTCCCCCCAGGACGTGCACCAGCTGAACGGCCTGCTCCGAAACGCCTTCACCCTCATGGCCATGTTGGACTACCCCTACAGCACGCACTTTATGGGGAACATGCCAGCAAACCCCGTCAAGGTACTTTACACTCAATATACTGTATGTGTTCAAGCCTGTCGCCAGAAATGTAGGGGCCCGGGGCAAGAAGACTCAAATGGGCCCCCCTCTACTATACATTAATAGGAAGAGGGTCCAATTCTGGGCCCCTAAAACCCTGGGGCCCAGGACACCACACCCCTTTGCCCCCCTCCTGTCTATTGCCCTGTATGCGGTCAATCAAAAAGATTCATTTAAAGGTGCACTGTGTAACTTTTCTCTTAAGATGTCTTCCACCTGCTTTACTCCTTGTAGATGTTATTGCTTTTTTTCCTGGAATGTTCAGTATGGCATTTAATTGAGCTATGTCCATGGAGACAAGCAGCCGCATCACCAGGACAAGTTACAGTCAGATCTGTGGAGAAGAGGGGCCACTTCACTCACAGTAATAATAAAAACTAACTAATTAAATAAATGTTTATTTAATGACAGGTAAAGTAATAACATCGGAGATAAGAAGACCCTCCACAAGAAAAGTTACACAGTGCACCTTTAATATATATAGCAGAGGTACTTTTTTGGATGTTAATGATTGATATAGACTATAGAGTTAAAAAATAAAAAAAATAAAATCTAATTGTAATTGAAAGTAATCATGATCTATATTTAATTGACATATTTTAGAACACAAAATTGTATAGAGTGACACAGGAGCTCATTCTCTAACAGGCTCCTGTAGCTCTGCTCAAACAGTGAGAGATACTATAATACTCCCTACAACTGTACATAAGGGTGAGTTGTTGTAACAGATAATACTCCATTCAACTGTACAACAACTCACCCTTATGTAACAGATAACCCTATGTCCTGTCAATCATATCATCTTTTTACTGTTTCTCCTTATATTTTGTATTACTGTATTTCTATTATTTCTGTATTTTTATTTTACTTGTACAATTATATTATTATATTTTCTTTGACCACCACACTTTTGATTTTATAATACATTGTGATGTGTGAACTACTGTTTCCAAATAATTTTCCTTGTGGATCAATAAAGTTTTTCTACTGTCTAAATCTGAAATAATCCACAGCGATTTAAATTGTGCGGTGGTTATTTTTATTTATTTTCATTATTTCTTTAGGTGGGCTGTGACACCATGCTGAGCGGACCAGACCTGCTCACCAACCTCAGAAACACTGCAGGTAAAGACAAAAAAAAGACATTTCCAAACTATTGCAAGTTGGTTAAAATAGTCATGAGTCCTTTTAACCACAAGATGGCAGGAGCAACAACTGAAAAATGAATCATCTTAAAAGTGCACTGTGTAACTGTTTGGTCCGTGGTCCGTTACCTGCTCGTTTCTATGGATATGTCATTGCTCTGCCTGGAATGTTCCACAGTATGACATTAAACTGCTTTAGCTTACATTTATTCAATTACAGGTGGCTTTATAGATCAAAAATATGTAGAAAAACGGGCATTCTGAATGTGTGGAGTTGCCTCTCCACAGATCTGACCTGTAACTTTGTCTGGTTTGGTCTCCATGAAGATTGAAAATTTTAATACCATACTGTAAAACATTCCAGACAAAGCAATAACATCTACCTGGAGAAAAGCATTTGATGGACCCTCCACTAGAAAAGTTACACAATGCACTTTTAATGTAATAAATAAAATAACTGAAGTGTTCAAATCTTCTCCAGGGATCGTGTACAACTCGACTGGGGAGCTGAAATGTTTTGATCTGTACAAACTGTTTGTGGAGTGTGCTGACCCCACCGGCTGTGGCCTGGGCTTCAACAGTATGGCCTGGGACTATCAGGTACGTCCGTTTTGTTTTTTTTGATAACTGCATTGTTTATTGGAACTCCTTTAACTCTTTCGTAACTTTTTGGTCTGGGTCCTTCACCTACTTGTTTCTATGGTGATGTCATTGCTCTGCCGGGAATGTTGTGTATGACATTTACCAGCTCCTTACCTTACATTTATTCAGTTACAGGTGGTTTTATAGCTCAAAAACACCTACAAAAAACAGGCTGGTGGAGGGTTTGTCAAATGCTTTTTTTTGTTGAGATTTTATTGGTTCACAGTACGCTATTAAATGAATGGTTCACAGTATGCTATTAAAGGCCCCATCTCATGCCAAATAACTCTTTTCACATTGTATCTTCTGCACATAAACAAGCACAATTTGGGTTTTGGAACATCCATTACACAATAGTTATGAAATCTTACTGATTTCTTGGAGTCAGTCACAGACCAGGAACTGTGAAAGGACGACTATTGCTCATCCCCCCGCCCGTCCTGAGAAAACACAGGCCAAACGTGACGTAGACTCTGAGTGAGCTGCCCTTCCTCCGCCCATCTCAGGGAGGGAGGGGGAGACAGACGTGCACCCTGATAGTGGTAGGAATAAACTTTTATTCATCATGGAGATTCAGCACGTTCAGCCGCAATCAGACGAGGACTTGGAGGTGCACGAAGCACAAGCACCGCGTCCACATCAGCTGAACATTACTGATTGGTAAAGTATTAATAAACGCTAGTAGATAAACTTATTATATACACTGCAGTTTACAGGGAGGCGGGGTGGAGGCGGTGGAGCGGGGGAGGGGGGCGGATGTGAAGCGCTTTCTGCTACATCAGATGCATCATAGGTGTAGCTGCCGCGTCATCGTTGTAGCAGCTTTAGTTTCGTTGTCACGTGGGAGGGTGGCAGAAATACGCTGCAATTTGTTAAAAAAATGCTGAATCAATCTAAAAACCACTTTGGTTACATATAAAAGGCTCACACATCACTCTTAGAAGGGAGAAAGCTCTGAAAAGTTGATTTTGCATGAGATGGGCCCTTTAAACTTTTCTATCTTCATGTAGATCAAACCAGACCAAGTTACAGGTCAGATTTGTAGAGAGGTGACCATGCTCACAGTCAGAATGCCTGTTGTTCTAGGTATTTTTGAGCTATAAAACCACCTGTAATTGAACATTCCCGGCAGAGCAATGACATATCCATAGAATCAAGCAAGTGACGGACTCCCAACCAAAAAGTTACAAGGTGCACCTTTAAATCTAACTGTATATCCGTCTCTCAGGCTTGTACTGAAATCGACCTGTGTTTTGAGAGCAACAACGTCACAGACATGTTCCCCCCGATGTTGTTTACCGAGGAGCAGAGGGAGGTCTACTGCACCAAGCGCTGGGGGGTGGTGCCACGCCCAAACTGGCTCAAAGTACAGTTCTGGGGAGACGGTACGAGCTTTATCATATTTATTATTTTATTTTATTTAATTCATCTTATTTCTGCTCCCTTTGCACATATGCCATATTTTTGTATTCTTGCTTTTAATGTATTGTTTCTAATGGCGGTTTTAGTTCCTTTAGCCTGAACTTTAAACACTATGCAGATGTTTGTAAGTGAATGAGTCACTGCCAAACACAATTTGCCTGTTGACCTTTGAACCATTGGGCATTTATGTTAACCATCGTCTTGTATTCCAAAGTACTCAGCTGTTAATGTATAAATAGGCTGAATATGAATTATCTTTGTGTGTTTATTTATCCAGCTTTGTCCACTGCCAGTAACATCATTTTCTCTAATGGAGATCTGGATCCCTGGGCAAATGGAGGGGTGAGTTTTATCTGTGATTATGGGGAGGGTAAAACATTTTGGGGTTATGTTGTGTCCTATGTTTTATTTTATTTTTGACCTTTTTGATTTTCTTTATTTTTTTTCATTTTTATTTTTTTTATTTGTCTTACCATGCAGACAGAACCATGATGACACTGTTCTATAAAACGTTTATGGAATCAGTTTAAACGTTTTCATTGGTCTCGTGGTTTGGGAGCATTTCTGCTAAAAACAAGAACTCCCAGAATCAGTTGGTTAAATGGGCGAGTAAAGTGATTGTCCATCCTCAGAGCAGCCTGGACTCCCTGTAGTCAAGACAGGTACAGAGGATGTCCCAGAGTATTTTAAAAGACGTGCAACATCCACTAAACTCAGAGTTTCAGCTGCTTCCCTTTGGTCAGAGGCTTTTAGTCCCAAGATCTAGAAGGAATCGTTTTAAAAGGAGCTTTGTTCCGGCTGCTATCGTACTTATGAATAAATTGTAATCTATCTATCTAAAGATTGTGTGTTTTTATTATATTTAATATTTATTGGTTATTTGATTGTTTATGCAACAAACCATTCTGCACTGGAGCACGGTAACACTTTATTTTGTAATTGTGTTTTTATACGTCTTAATGTGGATGAGTGAAATGTGGAACTCAAATGTGCAAAACAAATTTACCTACGGGTACGAATAAAGCAACCTAACCTAACCTTTTTTTTTTTTTTTTTTTTTTTACACAATTACATTACAATTTTATTTTCAGGTGAGGAAGTCCCTGAGTTCATCTGTAGTGGCCATTAACATTTCAGGAGGAGCTCATCACCTGGATCTGAGGTATAATGCATTTAGGTTAAAGATGCATTGTGTAACTTTTCTTGTGGAGAGTCCGCTCACTACTTGTCTCCATGGAGATGTTAATACTCTGGTTTAAATAGTCCAGAGTATGATAGTGAACTAATCTATCTTGCTTTTATTTAACCAATCAAAGTGCAAAAAATCTAACCTGTAATTTGGATTGTGAGTCTCCATGAAGATTTACAAATTTATGACCATACTGTGGAATATTCTAGGTACATCTCCATGGAGACTGGCAAGGTGATGGTCCCTCTACCAAACAAGTTACACAGTGCACCTTTTAATATATATATTTTTGACAGTTGTAAGAAAATCTGTACTGTACTGAAACTGTATATATGTTTATTTTTATTTATAGAGGGTCAAATGATGCTGATCCAGGGTCAGTGATCAAGGCCAGGAAGACAGAGTCCCAGCTCATTGAAGAGTGGGTGAAGATGGAAAGACACAGACTAATACACTACCGAAAACTTGGAGCGTACAAAGACATGTGAGACTGCTGTTGTGAGAGGAGAAATCGTCAAGGACACAGTATCTTCTGAGAATTAACAGTCAAATTAGGAAAAAGCCATAAATCATCTTCACTAATATTGATTACCCAGTAGTATTTACAGTTTGTGGTTCTGTCTCACTGTACTCTATTTGGACATCTGTGTAGCAATAAACTAGTGGGTCAAGCAGGGAAATGTTTGTTTTAAAACTAAAACTACATAAATGGAGCAGTCCGACCCACTTTGAAGTCCACTCTGGTTTCAGAAGTAAAGTTCCCTTAATATTTGAATAAAGTCTATGGGAAAATTAAGAGTTCAAAAGCAATGCAGAGTCTAACAACTAGAGTCTGTGGTAACAAATATCCATAATGCAACTATTTTAAGTCCAAAAAGCATGTTTAAAAACAAAAAAAATTATGTGAAGTCTTGAAATTATGTGTTTGAATAAATTTGCTGTTTATGCATTTAAATGATTTTTTTTGTAAAGTCTGTGTAAAAAATGAACAGGAAATTTACTTCTAGAATCGGGGGTGGGCAGTATTGAATATTGTTTTGAATATTATGAAATACCGTGTCCCTTTTTCGAAATACTTGAATGTACATTGCATATCTGTCGCTGCTGTCATCAAGCTGCACACTTTTGTTTTAATAAACCTTGATTTTTTATTTTTTACAAAATTAAAGCAAAACATGCTGTCATTGAGAGATTTTTAAAATAGCAAAACATTTACAATTTCAGCACTTTATCCCCACCCACCAAAAAGAACCCAGCCCTTTGATTCACCCCGGTATTTAAACCCCTCAGACGTTACACATGGCTGTATCACAGGAAGCTATGGCTGTCACAGAGAATGAAATGACAATGGGAATGTTTTATGAATCAAAATATGAATAATCGTAGAAACTATAATTGCAGAATTTCCTAGTAAGGAAAATGTAAAAGTATACATGTAGTAGTATCTTTTACAAGGGAGGCATTCATTTGCTAGTGTAGTTATGGAAAGGCTACACACTCAGTCAAAAATAACACAATCAGGGTAAACAAAAAATATGAATTGTTAATAATTGTACAAAACTATAATTGTCTGGAATGAAAAACGGCATTTGCACACATTTGTATACATGTAGTAGTATCTTTTACAAGGGACCCTACATTTACATTTGTCAATAGAAGCATTCATCTGCTGCTCATGTATCTATGCTAAGACCACACAATCATTAATAACAGAATCTGGGTTAATTGAATCAAAATATGAACTGTTAATTGTACAAACTATAATCGCAGAATAGCCTAGGATGAAAAAGGCAGTTGCAAAAGTATACATGTCTTTTACAAGGGTCCCTACCTTTACATTTGTCAATAAAAGTATTTATTTGCTTGTGTATCTGTAATAATGCTCTCAAAAATAACAGAATCTGGTTTAATATCATTTAATACACTGAATTCTGAAGTATCTGACTCTCAAAATGCCGTATTTTCCACGCTATAGGGCGCGCTCTTGAGCCTCCAACGCCATCCAAAAACGACTGCGCGCCCCGTAACCCAGAGCGCCCTATACACAAATCCATTCGGGTGTCCCAGCACGACTTCAGTAAACTACAAAGCTGCACCACCCGCAGCACACACAAACACACACGGAGCAAACAGCGACCGAGCAGCGAAACACACCTGCAGCCACACTCATCACTAGGGGTGTGCAAAAATATCGAAATATCGTAATGTGATGATACAGTATCGATATCGTGGGCTGCTGTAACAATATATCCGCCAACAGTATTTTTTGGCATATTTTACTACATTATTTTGTTACAGTGCTACAGTTTAGTTGCTTGTTTGGAGGAAGGAAACTTGTTTATGCAACACATCTGACATTTTTACTGTTTTAATTATTAAAATGGGTGTGTTTCATCTTAACTTTGCACAAGAAGTGTTTTAACAAAGACTTTTAGTATCACAGCCATGATTTAGCCTTTATTTTTATTGAACTGTGTCGAATTGATTTGAAATATATATCGAATCGGAAGCTCACTGTATCGATATATGTATCGTATCGTGGCCTGTGTATCGAGGTATGTATCGGTAACTTCTTGATACCCAGCCCTATTCATTTCTAAACGCGGACGAGGAATGGAATGGAGGAACAAACCGAAAAAGCGCCACGCAAAGTCCAACTGACCCATCTAACTGCTGTGTTTCGTTTAATGCGCCTTCTAGTCCGGTTCGGGTTACATGTGAAAAACATTCAAAAATAGACCATTCAATGACAGCGCGCCTTATAATCCAGAGTACCCTATAGTGCGGAAAATACGGTAATAAAATTTGGGATAAATCAGAACTTTTAATTCTGACAGATTCTAAATAATCGCTACTTATTTTTTAGTATAGCCCTTGTTACTTTTAGGCTAATTGGAACGAATACAATCTTTAGCCAGGTAGATGTATTAAAATGTGAAAGTAAAACACTGTAAGAGAAAAGGCAAGTTAGGCATTTTTCACATTCCAAATGAAACTGAGTCACTGTTTTTTTGTAGAAGTCCCTCCAAAGTGTTAAAATCTACCTGCAAAAACATTACAATGCAAGATGACTGGTGAGCCTACTCTTAGAAGACTGTGTAGTATCTTCAAATGGCCATTTAGAGCGAGTTTATTACTACTATTTTTAGGCATGTTGCTCACCAGACTAGATTCACATTTGTCAGTGCTTCCTGTGGAAAAAAAACAATGCAATTGATCCTTTTTAGTCTAAAAATATCTGAGCTAAAACTGTATCAAAAGCATTTAAACGACTTTGCTTATTCCTGAAATTTGGAGAAATGGCTTTGTATCATAATAAACACCAGTATTACATCATCGTTCAGCATATCTTTGGCTCAGAAGTTATGCTGAAACACACTGGGATCGTATAGTGAGCCCTTGTGGATATTGAGTATGTGTACAATTGCTGTATCCATGGTCCACGTTGTCACAATACTAAAATTTCAAACTCGATTTCGATACTAAATACAGATTCCACGAAAAAAAAAAAAAAACTTTCTTTCGACAACAGAATGTGATTTCCAACGTTAAATCGTAGCACTTTTTCATATTACTATGAGGTCTTATATCTGTGTAATCCTTCAGTGGTCCAGGTAGGTTCCGTAGCGGTCCATGGGTCTATATACGGAAGCCGAGAGGGGTCACAACAAACAATTACAAATGCGACAACACAACAAAAAGCCACAACACACCAAAAAAAGCCACAACGGAAATGACCGCGGGACTCTATTTTAATGCAAACGCCGCAACAAATACAAACGCCACAACACAAACGCAAATGCCGCAACACATTAAAAAGCCACAACGGAAGTGACTGCGGGACTCTATTTTCCAACGGACCGATCAAGCGGCAAGTGAAGAAGAAGAACTACAATGTGAAAAGTAAAGAAACGGAGAAGTTGGAAACGTAAGTAAAAGTCACGTTGTAGTTCTTCTTCACTTGCCGCTTGATCGGTCCGTCGGAAAATAGAGTCCCGCGGTCACTTCCGTTGTGGCTTTTTGATGTGTTGTGGCTTTTTAATGTGTTGCGGCATGTGCATTTGTGTTGTGACATTTATTTTAATGCAAACGCCGCAACAAATACAGAGTCTCACGGTCATTTCCGTTGTGTTTTTTTTGGTGCGTTGTGGCTTTTTGTTGTGTTGTCGCATTTGTATTTGTTGCGGCGTTTGCGTTTGTTGTGACCCCTCTCGGCTTCCGTATCTATACTAGCCTATGTACTCTTATACTTTTTCTGATACAGCTCAAGATCATTTTAAAGCTCTTCAGGAAACGTTCACTTCTGTCCTGTGAATGTGACGTTTTTTACCTGCTCAAATGAGTATCTAGTAGCTTCAATAGCGAGTACAATCTAATTTTTGATACTTTTGTCAGACAACCCTAATCCGTGGGTCTCAGCTTTTGTTTGACGCACCATTTTGAATACTTTTCCAATTAAAAAAGATAATATTTCGTTTTAAATTGTTAATCGCTACGGCAAAACAAGCCCCAAGTTTTCCGCCGTTCCGAAACCCATGGATACTGCAAGTGAGAATGTGGCAGTAGAAACAGCTTGTATGGACAGGACAATGGTCAATGGTCTCTGAAGCAACATTAAAGGCACAACAAGGACATTTCCGGAAAAATTAGCACGAAATACAAAATTTGGTCTCGATACAAATTCAAAAAAGATGAAGCGAACTAAAGAGATTTACAAGAATTCATAGCGGACTATTTTACATTGTACAAACACTACAAATCAATATATTAAGATCCAACTATAATCTGACAACACTACAAATCAGGACTACAATAAAATTACATTCAAAATAGCAGCTGCTCAGACAAAAAAGCGCAACATTTGAAAATATTTGTAAAAGAAGAGAAAAGTCTTCACAGTAACTTGTGCTGATTGGCAAAAACTGGGAGAAGATGGAACACGGATGCTACATTTGTGCAACTGGTTTCCCTCTTGAATGTACTGGTATTAAACAGAAACAGGAATTATATCTGTACTTATACGTGTGTTTGCCCTACATCTGACAATTCAAAAAAAAAATTATACTAGAAGGGGGCCCATGTGAGTCTTCTTGCCCCAGGCCCCCAAATTTCTAGCGACGGCCCTGACTGTAATGAGCTTTTGATGGTTTCCCAGTTTCTCCGATTGGTTTCACAGTCAATAGTCCCACCTTAAAGTCAATCAAAGCTACATTTTTAGCTCCATCCATTACAGAGAACTTATTGTATTTTTTACTTGGAAATTTTCAGATTCTAAAATATAATAATGACATATTTTACTTCCGAATGGGGGGCAAGAGACAGTTTTCCCTAGTTTTCTACACCACTACAACCAAGAACTCACTGTATTACAACTAATTAAACTATATTAATTTTAGCTGCTCCCTGTATGTAATATTTCATAGTATAATATTGTCTGAAACCCTGCAATATTGTGAGTAAGTAAACAAGTACTATGCAAAACTATCAATCACTTTAGTTCCACGGCTGGCTAGACAGCTTGTCTTGGAATACTGCGAGGTAAACTGAGGTATAACAATGGTACAAATAGTCAAATAGTGGATAGTTAACTACAGCATAAACAATGTAAACAGGTAAAATTTGACAATATTCTGTTTTAAGAAATTAGATAATGCATTAGTTTTCTATACACCAATGGTTTAAAGGTCCTATATTACACAAAATTGACTCAAACATACAAAAACATACCTGGAGTTGTGTTTTGTTTCATTCACACATGTTTGAGTAATCTTTTATTATCAGTGCATTTTCAGCGTTTAATATGAAGACAGACTGTTCCACCTTGTGATGTCATGAAGTGGTAGTTGTCAAGTTAACGGCTAACTTTTACTTTTTGTTCAGTAGAGATCGGCAATTCCAGGACTGAAATTATCCAAATGATTCTAGTGAAGGTTTATTAAGTTTAAAAACTAAGCAGATCACTTCCTGTATTAACATGACATCATAAGGTGGAAATGAGTGTTTTCTGTTTGAGAACACAACCTAAATATGTAGGGTTTGTGTGTTAAACTTGTGTGAATGAAACAACAACAAAACACAAGTCCAGGTATGTTTGTGATGAGGAAACACAGATCAGAAAACAGCGTAATACAGGACCTTTAAAATACAAGTTAGATCAGTTCTCGTAATATTAACGTGGGAAATAATCAGCCTTTTTATTTATCAGTGTTTGTAATAAAAATATACTAACACGACCATAACATTTTGGTTTTCTGTAGTTTTTGGTCACAGCACTTTTAGAAGGGTTCTGTCTTGCTTTTGTCTGCTTTGCGTTGCTAGGACACGCATCTGATAAATGGAGCCTTTGTTAGTTTCTTGTTTTGACTAAATCGTGCAAATTTCTTCCAAAAATACCAATTCAAGGTCGCTCACTTGTTGTTCCTAAACTTGTAAGGAATTTCAAACCATGACATACCAAAGGAGCTTCAGTTGATTACAATAACTTCTTAAAATACCTATAGATAAAAATACACGCACTTCTCCTTTAAGTACATCAGATCATCAGGTGTAGGGCAAAACACATCTTCCATCTATTCTATGCATTGGTGGAAGGTAACAAAGTACAAAAGTAAAAGTACGCTACTCAAGTACAATTTTTCGGTATCTGCACTTTACTTGAGTCAGTTTTACAGTGGATACTTTTTACTTTTACTTCACTATTTTTTAAAGCAGATAGCAGTAGGTACTTTCGACTCCAGAACATTTTAGATCTGGAACAAAAAGTAAAAAGTGCTTTTTTATTCGCTGAGACTTATTTTTAGCACATTTAATTTGAGTTAACGTCTCAACTTTGAGCAAACCAAATACACAAAACCAGATAGAAAAATTAAGAAATCTATTGAATCACTTAAACCACCAAACATTTTAAAATAACTACATTTGATGCTTTAATTGTTCAAAATACTTTTACTTTTAACTTTTTTTTTTATTTTTAACAGGTACTTCAATAGCTTTCGTGAAGTCGATTTTTTCATGTGAGAATAATCTTTTGCCACTGTATCTGTACTTTTACTTAAGTAACAAAATTGATTACTTCATCCACCAAAGTTTGCTTGCTAGACAGTGCTAAATGCTTTTACAAAACATCCTGCAAATTACGCGTTACATAAATATAATTTTCTTAAAACCTGCGCAGGTCCTCTATCACTTTCATTACACACAATTAAGATTTGAGTTTTGCTGAAATCACTCAAAACATTCCTCTGCAAAAAAGTTAACATTTAAAGGTTCAATGTGTAACTTTTTGGTTTTGGGTCCATCGCCTGCTTGTTTTTATGGATATGTCATTGTTCCGCCTGGAATGTTCCACCCTTAAATGAAGTTAAACATGTCTACCTTACATATATTCAATTACAGGTGGCTTTATAGCTGAAAAATACCTTGAAAAACGGGTATTCTTGGCTGTGAGCGGAGTTGCCTCTCCAAAGATCTGACCTGTAACTTGGTCTGGTTTGGTCTCCATGAAGATAGAAAAGTTTAATACTGTGAAACATTCCAAACAAAGCAATAACAAAGATTTGAAGGGCCCTCCACTGGAAAAATTACACAATACACCTTTCAAGAGGGGGTATTTTACTTTTTTTTTTCCCTATGGGGTACTAACTGCTAACACATAACATATTTAGATCACTTTTATCGTTTTTAAAATGCTATATTTGGCGAAAACAGCGTATTGGCTTGTTTTATACATTTTGCTTTCATTTTTGTCACTACTCCTTCAGAGCGCTATCACAACACAATGAGCGTGCAGCTGGTTAATTAAACTACTGCACGTCACATCAGGTTTATCACGTTGTTCAGTTGTAGTTTTATATCATGTTTTTTGTATATTTATGGAGAATTGTCGTGTGGGAGCATCAGGTCCGTCTACAGAAATTTGGGGGCCCAGGGCAAGGAGCCACACATGGGCCCCCGCTAATATAAATTAATAGGAAGAGGGTCAAATTCTGGGCTTCTAAACATGCATGGTTGACCTATCAAACCTCTTCAGGCATGTTTCTGATGAGAGAACAACTTTACAACTAGGTGGAATGCTAAAAAATAATAAAAATAAATTCAGCATAATACCCCCTCTTTAAAGAAAATGAAATAATGCTTTGACGCCCAGTTTTGCCATATTTGCTGTTTTAGCCATGGCTCAACAAACAGACTTGAGTTCAGGGTAAGAAAAGTCCTGCTCCTCCATGTTGGACTGACCCTGAGATTATCTTGTGCGGTTGGTTTGTGTGCGTCCATGGCTCACGCGGCAGAGGAAGGCCATATGGGCAGGGGGTGGGCCTCGGTGTTAAAGACGTACTCGTCCAGGTTGATGAGCTTGAAGTCGTCGGAGAAAAGCAGGTACAGGTACTTGAGGGTCTCTCCCAAAAAGAAGCTCTCCATCTTGTCCCGGGGGCTGGGGTAGTCCGGGTCCCGAACGTTGTTGACGGACGTGTAGCCGCCGGAGGAGACCTGAGCACAAGTATGATGAAAATATTACACATGTTTAAAGATGCGCTGTGTCACTTTTCTGGGAGAGAATCTGCCTCCAGCATGTCTCCATGGAGATGTTATTGCTTTAAAGGTGCAATGTGTATTACTTTTCTGATGGAGGGTCCGTCATCTGCTTGTCTCTATGGTGATGTTATTGTTTTGCCTGGGATGTTCCGCAGTATGGCATTAAATACTTATATCTTGTATTGATTCAATTAGAGGAGTTTTTGTTTCTCTTTTATTCTTACTGAGTGGGGTTCCACTTCTTCACAGATCTGACCTGTAACTTGGTCTGGTGATGTAGCTGCTTGTCTCCATGGAGATGATTAAATTAAATGCCATACTGTAGAACATCCGAAGAAAAAAAACAATAGCATCTACAGGGAGTCAAGCAGGTGGCAGACCATCTACGCAAAGCACCTTTAACTGAAAAGTACATCTCCATGGACACTGTGAAGAGGTGGACCTGCACACGGAGAGAATGCATGCTTTTCAAAGTATTATTGAGTAATACAGTACCTGTGATTGAAAATATCTTTACAATACATCTCCATGGAGACAAGCGTATTGTATGTCTGACCCCTCACCAGTTATAGTGCCAATATTGTCTTTTTCTAGGGATACACCAATACCGATACTGATATTGAGTCAGAAACCTGTTCCAGTATTCTTCTTGTATTATTTAGCATGGGGCTGCCAATCTTGAGAATAAATAAGTTCTATATGGACTACAAAACCTTTTTGAAGTGCCCCAGATAATCAGCGCATTAACTTGTTGGTGCGCATGAACATTGGACATTTTACACAAATTAACCTACTTTATTATATTTTTTACTATATTTTAGCATCTTTTCTCAAATTCTCCATTGAAATTCCTGCTTAAGTAAGTGCCAGGCAAAAGTGGGTGAGTCTGAGGTCCGCTGTTGACCAAACCTCTCATTAAATAAACAAATCAAACTTTTATTTGATTAATGCTGTTCCATGTTAGTTGTATAACAGTTAAAACGATTGAATCAGTTGCTGTAAGTTATTTGTGAGAAAAGAAATCTGCACCTTCATCTCTACCTTAAGAAGGACTCACCTTTGTATACTTATTAAAGTTTTGCAGTATTTCCCAGCCCCACTGCCGGTACTTATGATCCTTTGTGAATCTGTAAAGGTAGAAGAGGCTCTCCACAGTCTCTGGTCGCAGCAGGTTGTGTCTGTCAGCCAACTATGGAACAAAATAAGAATACAAAAGTAACCAACTTGCCATATTTAATCTCATACAGATCTCAAATATCTGTAATTCCAGCAAGAGGCACAAATGAAGAAAAATGGGGAAAACTGGACATCGCAAAAGTAGAATATTCAAGTGTCACCAACTGTTTTTGTTTCCTTTGCTTTCGTTTTCTCTTATGAAAAAATGCACAGATCCCAATTTTTAAAAAGTGACAAAAATATATATATCTATAATTGCTAACCTTGACTTCGATGTCACGCACGCTGCCTTGGTGCATGTTGAAGTGGACTATCTCTGGACTCAGCCCGGTCTCCATTTGTTTATACATTTGGTAGCACGTCTCCATCATCTGTTTGGCCAGATCCATGTGGTCCTGGGGAAGGCCATTGTGAGTTCCCAGGGCCAGAGTCCCAGGCAGGAAGCAAACAAGATGGTCCTGAGGAGAGGAAAGGTTATTATTATGCTATTTTCTGATCTAGGTTATAATGTTGTTTCATCATCAAAAACAGACCTGGAGTTGTGTTTTGTTTCATTCACACATTTTTAACACACAAACACACAATACATGTTTAGGTTAAGTCCACCTTGTGATGTCATCTAGTTATACAGGAAGTGCTCTACTGTGTTTTTAAACGCCATACAATTTCACTAGAATCATTTGGATAATCTTGGCCCTGGAATTGCCAATCTCTGCTAAACAAAATGTAAATTGTAGCTGTTAACTTGAAAACTACTGCTTCATGACATCACAAGGTGGAACAGAACATTTTAAGAGATGTGTACAGACTAATAATAAAGGATTACTCATAACAGACATGTGTGAATAAACTGAAACACAACTGCAGGTCTGTTTTTGAGGAGGTAACAACATTATAACCTGTCTTAAAGCTCACAAGAGTCACTTTTGCGTACTATAGGATCTTAAAAAAAAAAAAAAAAAAAAGTATAGTACGTGAAACTGCTATACTGTTGAGTACTTTCTACTTTATGTGGTAACTATCTGGGGTAAAAACAGAGGAAACATTGGAGCTGTGTGACCCACCATTTTGGGGCTGAACTGTCCGTGCGAAAGCTCTCCCACAAACGTGAGTCCGTTTGGTGAAGTCCTCTGCACCAGGTTCTTCTTCACTCCCTCTATGGCCTGAAGATAATCCTCCAGAAACCTAAACACAAAATATTATTCAGACAAATCACACAGATACTATAAGAATTCTCCCAAGCCCTGCAAAACATGCCTCTTCTTATCAAATCATACCACGTTATATGTTTTTTTGTTTTTTTTTTGGGACAGAGTAGTAATGTGTCTGTCAGTTCAGCTTTCACACTTGATTAATTAAGAACAGGCTAATTCTTTAAGTTCAAAAATGGATGTTGGTTAAAGTTAGGGTTAGGGAAATGTTTTGGGTTAGTTAAAGGTGCATTGTGTAACTTTTCTGGCAGAGGGTGTGTGAAATGCTTTTCTCCGTGGAGATGTTATTGCTCTGTCTTGAATGTTTCACAGTATAGCATTAAAGCTTTCTATCATTATGGGGATCAAACCAGGCCAAGTTGCAGCTCAGATCTGTGGAGAGGCGACCCCACTCAGTCAGAATGTCTATTTGAATTATTTTCTATATATTTTTGAGCAATAAAACCACTGCTGTTTAATGTCATACTGAGGAACATTCCAGGCAGAGCAAAGACATATCCATAGAAACAAACAGGCAAACAAAAACTTACACCATAAAATACAAATGTTTAAAAATACAACAGTTTAAGCCTATTCACAGCACGAAACAGAAGCTAATCCATTACCGTGGCAACTGGAGCTATGTGATCACTTCTGTCTGTTTATGTGGCACTAACCTTCACACTTCACAGTCCCAGAGCCAGCCATGCAGTCTTATTTTCATTTGTGTGGCACAGGGCTCTTCTAGCAGTTAGGTGCAGTATTTATGTTTGATTTCAACGATGGTGGAAGAAGTAATCACACACACTCACATGCAAAATCTACTCAAGTAAAAGTGTTAAAGTACCGGTTTAAAAATGTACTGAAAGAATAAAAAGTAAAAAAAAAAAATATGGCTTCAAATGTAGTGATTTTGATAAAGATTTATGCAAAATTTTGTTCAACAGAAACAATTGAAGCAGTAGTTTTGTGTCCTAGCTGTTTGTTTTTTTGTGTATATTTGTGTTTGCTCAAACTACAAAAGTGTTAAAAATAACCCCTCAGCCTTTTCAGCAGGTCTCAAACTATAATAGAAAATACTTTTACTTTTCAGTCCTGTTCTAACACATAGTGGAGTCGAAAGTACAAATACCTTCTTTCAAATGCAGTGAAGAAAAAGTAGAAAGTGTCCACTTCAAAATCTACTTAAGTAAAATACAGATACCTACAATTTCTACTTCTTGAAAACTTCAACAGTACTATGCCACTTCTACTTCTACTTTGTTAGTTTCCACCACTGGATTTAGAAAACGTTTTTTTGTTTTTTTTTAACAAGATACACATTCATACTGATACTTTAACTAACGTAGACATGTAATGAAAACTGTGTGAAAAGTGTTCTATTAAAACAGTGTAATTAAGGCAAAAGCTTCATGTTTTAGTTTGAAGCCAGTAATTATGGGTAAGTCACCTGACAGCATATGGTTACAATGACAAATTAGTATTGATTGGGGTTGGCGATATTGACAAAAATGTATATCTCAATTTATTTATTTTTTTATAACAATATCTGGATATTTTCACAAGGCATCAGAAACGTGTGAAAAAGTACCTGTGAATGTTTTGGTGGAGGTTCAAATTTCTGTATTTTCAGTAGTTGTGATGTCTTTAGTAATTTTAATAATAGAAAAGCTACTCAGTATTCTAATTATACATATCTCCAAAACAACAATTATTACAATATTATCAAGTCTGTCTGTAAACAGCCCTATAAACAGAATTGTGTAGTCTGGACTCACTGCGTCTCCTTCTTGCCCCCCTGGAGCCACTGCTTGAGGAGGTACTCGTAGTAGCTGTCAGCGCGGGCCCCCAGAGTGAAGGTGCCCTGGTGGGTGAACTGCCCGCTGTTTGTGTTTATGAACATGGGGACCAGCCCGTCCAGTTTACCGTCCAGCTTATGCACTTTGTTCATCACCTCAGCCACCGCCGCCTGGAAACCACACGTCAATCATGAGTTTATGTAAAGCAGATGAAAAACAGATCATTATCGTTTTTAGTGGTAAGGAAAATGTAAACACTAACAGGGAGAACATGTAAACTCTGCACAGCCTGCACAGGAAGGTTTAAGTCACTTTATTTTATTAAATTAATATTTTAAATGGTAAATAGTCATGCTAAATGGTCACAGTTTTATATAGTGCTTTTCCACCTTTAGGGCACTCAAAGCAAAAGGATTATGTTGCCTGGAATGTCCCACAGTATGGCATTAAACTTGGATATCTCTACAGAGACAAGCAGGTGTCACCACCAATCCCACTGACAATAAGAACAGATATTATTCAAGGTATTTTTAAATAACCTACAATAAACAGTAAACTGAAATTAAATAATGCAAGATAGATAGATTTAATGCCATACTATGGAACACTCCAAGGTAAGAAATGACATCTCCACTGACAAACACACACAAGCAGGTGACAAGCAGCAGGTGACTCTACACCAGAAAGGTTACATTGAACACTGGGTTTGCAAAAAATAAAACACTTTTTTAGATGCAGACAGTACACAGCACTGATTTTGGTTTCCCTTTGAAACAAATCAACCCATATCATTTCATAAATTCAATCAAACTATCTTAAACAATTTAAGCTTTAGTATAGCGGCATTATTGTTGCTGACCTCGTACTGCGGGTCCTGTGTGAGTCGGCTGAGCTCTCTGAACTCCAGCTGGATACTTGTGACTTCTGCCACGGTGCTGTCTGAGGTCCAGCGTGGAGGGTGGGCGGTGCCTTTGCCAATGTTCACGTCCGAGTACGGGATCTTAGACGGGGTTTTGAACGCTGGCATCAGACGAGAGCCTATGTCCTTCTGTAAATGCACAAGAACAGCTTTAAGTGTAAGGCAGATATATCAGGTATTATGAAGGTATATTATGATATATAGTATTTTTAATATGTTAACGTGAAGAATCACTGAGATAAGGTTTGTCCCACTTATTCAGCCATTAAAGTTTGACCCATACAAAGCTTACAGAATTCATACCTACAGTTGTAACTGTGCCTATTATATTGTTAATGTTTATGCAGTTTTATTTTAATTACCAATAAAAGAAAAGAAACTAGGTATTAACAAGGTCCAACTCAAGAGAACACCACCTCTAAAAAAAGGAATGAACTATGATTTAAAGGTGCACTGTGTAACTTTTCTGGTGGAGGATCCGCCACCAGCTTATATAAAATATTATTGCTTTGTCCTGAAAGTTCCACAGTATAGCATTAATTATTATTATTTCCATGAAGACAATCTGGTGATGCTACCAGGTCAAATTACAGGTCAGATTTGTGGAGAGGCAACCTCACTGAAAGTAAGAATGCATGTTTTTAAAGATATTTTTTAGAAATAAAAACACCTGTAATTAAATAAATGTAAGATAAATATGTTGAATGTCATGCTGTGGATCTCCATGGTAGCCGACCCTCCACCATAAAAAGTTGCATAGTACATCTTTAAGTACAAATAAGGAATAAACAAAGACTAGAACTCCAGAGGGCGCTGCATACTACCAGAACCAGCCCGAGTACCATAGTCTGAGAACCACTGTCCTTTCTTGTCACTGTCATATTAAAACTTCACTTTATTTGTGATCTGGTGGTGAGTAAGTTTAGAGCAGGCAAACAAAGCTAAACTATTTGTGAAACCTCAAGGGGCATTGTCAGTCCAAGTTAACTTCAAATAATCTTTTGTTTTCAGTACAAATTTAGAAACACTAAAAATAGTTCCAATTGAGACTTGACAGACTAAAATGCTTTGGGAGATATGATATTTATAGAGCAATCTTCTACCATCATGAACAAAAGATATCAAGGTTAAAATAGCAAAAAAGTATAAAATGTTTCAAATAAGACAAACGTACAGCTTTTTCCAGGAACAATGCGTCTCCGGTTAGGTGATAGGTGCTGAGCAGTCCTCCAAGGATCCGAATGGTGCTTTCAAACAAGTTCACATCCACGTTTTTGTTAAAGGAGAGTTCTGTGGCCACCCAGGCTTTTGCTTCTTCAAATTCTGTCAAAGAAAACACAAATTATTCAGAACGTACAGATGATAAGAGCCTGACATTGCTACTAATGAATATTTATCAAACTGAATCTTTTGAAATAAATTATCTTATGAAAAGGCTTTCAAGGTAGGGTTTTTAACAGTGCACAATGGTCTGCTACATGCTCATCTCCATGGAGATGTTATTGGTTGATGTTATTTGCCTGAAATGAAGTAAATTGATCTAATTACATGGATACCTGCATGACCAAATTATAGTTCAGACCTGGGGAGAATCAAGTCCCTTTACTGAAATGGAATAAATGCAATATAGATACATACATTTAATGCCAACCATTTCAGGCATCTCCATGGAGAATGCTGCAGGTCTGTCAACTCTGCAGTTTAGAAACTAAAACTTTTATATATATCTATATATCTATCTATCTATCTATCTATCTATCTATCTATCTATCTATCTATCTATCTATATATATATATATATATATATATATATATATATATATATATATATTTAAATAAAATTAAATATATAATATAAAAAAAATGTAGACTACCTTATTTCACTTATTTTTTAAATATTTATTTTATGTTTGTTATGATGAGTCAACCCAAAATAATTTGTTTAAAACAAATTATTCTTTCCTTATTTCAAGGATTTTGTGAAGACCTTTCCCTTTTCATAAGATACACTATTTTGATGTGAATGTATTTATAGCTATAACAACGAAGGGCCATGGATAGATGTATGGATGGACATCAGAGGACTGTCACCAAGCCAAATCCTTCAAATCAAGGAGAAATCCATATGCCTGAAGCCTGAATAGAGATGTATCTTTTAGGAATGGGCCAAGATGCTGTGCCAAAAAAATGTGCACACATGAGAAAACTTATCTCCCAAGATTTTTGTGCAAGAGTTTATATTTGGATTGAACAAAAGAGAAGTTAGGGAGTTACATCTCTTACAGTTCCAAAAAGCAGTACTAGGCAAGGCTGAAATTTCTCATGGGCCTAATCTCATATCTCGTCTTGCGAAAACTGTCTCGTTCCATCCCCCATATCTATATTCCTCCATCTCTAATCAGAAGTCAGCACTCCCTACACCACAAAATGACACTCCTGTAGAATACACATGCAGCCACAGTACCAGTTTTGAGCCCCATAATCCACATCGTGTCCAGGGCGTCGATGAGGGTGAGCCCCAGGCCGAACCACTCGCTGTAGGATTTGGAGATGGGCCGGAGCTCATCATGACCCCAGGCGAAGTCCTTGTATCCCTGCCATGCATGTCTGAAAGAGTCCTTCACCGCAGCCAGCCAATCTGCTTCTGAAAATGCACAAAATGTTAGCCTGCTACATCTAAGCACAATGCAGAAACAGATATTTAAAGGGCCCATATTACGCTGTTTTCTGATCTATGTTATAATGTTGTTTCCTCATCACAAACAGACCTGGAGTTGCGTTTTGTTTCATTCACACATGTTTAACACACAAACCCTGCATATTTAGGATGAGTTCTTACAAAGACAAAACACTCTGTTCCACTTTGTGATGTCATTTGTTAATACAAGATGTGCTCCAATATGTTTTTAAACTCCATACACCTTCAATAATATAATTGGAATAATTTCAGCCGTGGAATTTCCAATCTCTACAGAACAAAAAGGTAAAAGGTTAACTTGAAAACTATCACTTCATTCCTGACATCAAAAGTTGGAACAGAGCACTTACAGAGCTTTAGAGAAGCAGACAGACTAATAATAAAGGATTACTCAAACATGTGTGAATGAAACAAAACACAACTCCTGGTACAGTATATTTTTATATACTGTACCAGAATAGATAACAGTATTATAACATGACTTAAAGCTCAAAAAGAGTCTATTTAGTGTAATATAGGACCTTTAAAGAGAAAAGATACAGTTTAGTTCTATTTATAATTATTTGGGGAAAATGATTAGAATCACCTGTCATATTGTGATTGGAATGATCTGTGAAGAAAACAACACTTTAATACAGTTTATAATCACGTTCCCAGTGGTGGATGTTCACTGCATGCCAAAACAAATTAGCAACAACCAAAAAACAAAAAAGTCTAATCTATACTGCAGAAACAATTTTGCACTATTACATATCAATTTATTCTAAATAATTGCTAAAAAATAACAAGAAAAGTAGTAAGGGGATTGGGAATTAAACTGGCATGCAGACAATTACTGGCAAAGCATCCACTCATCAGTGTTTCCCATAAATGGAGAGTTCAGTGGTAAGTTAATTATCTCCTTTATAACAAACAATGGCCCTTACTGAACCAATCTTAAAAAATAAATTGGTATAGCATAGGGATGCACCGAGCTTTTTCAGTTCAGTTTCAGTACTAAAGCTTTAAGTATTTTTCGCCGATGCCCGATATTGACCGATACCAGTGCAGAGACCGAAAACAGCATTTATTTCCTTAAAAGGTACATTATGTAACTTTTCTGGTGGAAAGTCCGTCCGTTTAATGCTTTTCTCCGTGGAAATATTTTTGCTTTGTTTGGGATGTTTCAAAATATGGTAAAAAACCTTTCAATCATCATGAAGACCAAATGAGACCAAGCTACAGGTCAGATCTACGGAGAGGCAACCCCTATCACAGTCAGAATGATTTGATGATCTGATTTTCTAGGTATTTTTGAGCTATAAAACCTCCTGTAATTGAATAAATGTAAGGTAGAAGTGTTTAATGCCATACTGTGGAACATTCCAGGCACCTCCATGGAAACAAGCAGGTGACGGACCCCCCTACCATAAGACAGAACTGATCCAAATGTGTTATGTAGCTGTTATTTATCTACAGTTACATTTGTCTACAGCTCCAGATATCTACAGTAACAAGAGAAAAACTTTGACCAGTAAAGAGTCATATTAGTATTACATCAATTTCTTGCCCCAACCAGGATATCGGCTAAATCGGTATTTGAACACTGACATCCAATCCAGCAAATTATTCAAAATTGCCAATATCCGATACCAGTATTAGATCGGTGCATCCCTAATATAGAAGATATGTTTCGCTTCTTATACTGTGGTCAAATTTGTGAAGACAAGCCAAGATTTTAGTTATAGCTTAGATGTAAGATTGCATATAATAATGTTAACAATGTTTGACTTTTTCCTTCAGTTGTGTATTTAATATAATTACCACCATTGTCTCCAAATATGGGAAATACTTTGTAAATACTGGGAAATAATGCGGTCCTTACTAACGGTACATTCTAGTCTATTGTGGGATGTGTGGTAAAGACATGCTGTAAACAGTAGGGATGTAAGGATATGTAAATCACATGGTATTTTACATTTCACAATACGATATTTATTGCGATATTGTGATGCTTGTGATGAACAGATTTGAAGAAATGCTTCTTTTTCCTTTTAAAAGCCTTGAATTGATATTTCATTCAATTATTGTTACATCCCTAGTAAATAGTGTGAAGTATTCTTGTGTAAAACAGAGATTTGAAGTATAAAAATGTTACAGTGCATTTGACAGATTGATATATTTGTTCTAATTCTGACTTAGTATGGTGGGATAGTACCTGTACCTGAAGAAAATAATATTCATCATCATTTTATATCAGTTAAGTACCAGTTTGTGAAGAAAAAGTTGGGAAAAAAAGTTGAAGAATCAAGGAAGTAGTGTGAGTAATGAGTTCTAAAACGAAATACCTCTCATCAAATCCATCCAAAATGCATAGACAATTTACGCACAATTTGTCAATTCATAACTATTGTATGTAATTTTAGTTTGGGCCTAGGTGATATAACTCGAAGTATGTCCATGTCCAACTAAAATGATAAAAGTCACCAAAATTACAACACTAGAAAAGCCTAGGTAAGCTTTAGTAAAATCTTAAAGGGCCCATATTACGTTATTTTCTGAGCTATGTTAAAATTGTTTCCTCATCAAAAACATACCTGGAGTTGTTTTTTGTTTTATTCAGAAATATTTAACACACAAATCCTGTAGTTTTAGATTGTGTTCTTCTCTCAGATGGAAAACACTCTGTTCTACCTAGTGATGTCATGTGGTAAAAAATGTCTTGAAACTTCATACACCTTCACTATAATCATTCAGATCATTTCAGCCCTGGAATTTCCGATCTCTACTGAACAAAAGGTAAAACTGATAACTTGAAAACTACAGCTCCATCACAAGGTGGAACAAAGCATTTTGAGCTTTGGAGATGTAGACAGACTAATAATAAAGGGTTACTAATGCATGCGTGAATGAAACAAAACAACTCCAGGCATGTTTCATAATGTTCTAACATGGCTTAAACCTCCCAAATCAATTTTGCTGAATATAAGACCTTTAAATATAATCAAGGTAACTATGTCTAACCTGTCATATGCACTTTAAGTCGGTTTTGTGTGTAAAATCATAAAATAAAAATATATATATGTGCGCTAAAAGAAAAAAAAAGCATTCAAAATATCTAACCCGACTCCTTGACTGTTTTTGCTTCCTGGTTGCCTGCAGCGTCATCTTTGGCCCCTACATCTTTGGCGCCTTCTGTTCCTTGTTCAGTTTCAATCACAGCTCCTCGCCAACTGAGAAACAAAATATGAGACATAAGTAAAACAAACTGTCTATTCACTGGGATAATGAACACATCACGCCTATTTTATCCTCATTGTACTGCTTCTCCATTCATTTTAGAGTTGATTTTAAAATGTTTTTTTTTTTTTTTTTAAAGCACTTAATGGACTGGCCCGCACATCTCAGACGTCATTGTTAGGGCTGGGCATAATTAAGAAGTTGCCGATACGATACATACCTCGATACATAGGCCACGATACGATACATATCTTGATACAGTACGCTTTCGATTCGATACGATATATTTCAATTTAACTCGATACGGTTCAATAAAAAATAAAGGCTAAATCATGGCTAATACCTAAAAACATTCTTGGCACTATATCAATACAGCAGCCCACGATATCGATACTGTATCATCACATTAAATTATACAATATATAACAATATTTCCATATTTTTGCACACCACTGCTCATTGTTCCCTACACTTCCGTCACCTGCTTGTTTCTATGGATAGGTCTTTCTATGGTTCTGCCTGGAATGTTCCACAGTATAACATTAAACAGCTCTACCTTACATTTATTCAATTAATGGTGTTTTTATAGCTCAAAAATACCCAGAAAAACAGGCATTCTGAGTGTGAGCGGTAACTTGGTCTGGTTTGGTCTCCATGAAGATAAAAAAGTTTAATGCCATACTGTGAAATATTCCAGACAAAGCAATAATATCTCCATGGAGAAAAGCATTTGACAGACCCTCCACCAGAAAAGTTACACAATGTGCTTTTAAGACTCGTTTAAAAACACTCCTTCACTCATTGGCTTTCAACACGGCTTTAGAATTGTGTGTCTTTTACTGATATTATTTCCTGTTTTTCTGTTAATAATTATAGTATTTTTATGTTGTTTTTATTGACATGCTCATTTTATTTTATTCAATATGTTAAATTTATATTGCGAATACTCTGTGCAGCACTTTGGAGACTTTTTGTTGGTTTAATGTTCTACACAAAATAAGATTGGACTGAAAAGTGATACAACAGAATAAGTGGACTTGCCTGATGACTCCTTTCTCGTCTCCCTCCTTACCGCCCCCGGCCTTGTCTTCAACTGTGTTCGAGGCATTTCCATTCTTTGGCTGGAGATTTTGAAGTAATGGTGGTCCTCTCTTGTTGGATAATTTCCTCTGCAGAAAGAAATACAAGTATAAAACAGTGTCATCAGCATTAGGATTGCAAAAGTATTAAAAATCAGATACTAATCGATCCTAAAACTAGAAACTTGAAACTGGATGCGAAAACGTATTGATCTTAAAAAAAAGTCACATCAAGCAATACCGAAATTTTTATTATCGGAAATGGTATTGAGCATTGACTTTATTCCTTGGTATCCAAATCGAGTGTGAAATTTTTAGTATCATGACAATAATTTATTTTTATATAGCAATTTTCCATCTTTAAGACACATCACATTCACACACACACATTCATATACTAGGAGGGTTAAGTGTCTTGCCCCAGGACACACCTACAGCTAGAGGTGTACAAAACAACAAAATATTGTATAATTTAACTGGATAATAATGTATGGATATCATGGGGTGTTGTATCAATATATTGTGACTGCATTTTACCCAATTATTTTGACAGTGCAACTGTTTCGTTGCTTGTTCAAAGGAAGGAAACAGTTTTTTGCAACACATTTGACATATACACTGTTCTGCTGATGAAAGTGGGTTTATTTCATGTTCACTTTGCAGATAGTGGTTTAAGAAAGACTTCTTCTGGTATCACGGCCATGTTAACACTTATACAAATAAATGCTGAGCTCGTATAAGCTGTAGATGAATCAGCAACACCAATGCAATAGTTTGATGTATTTTCCTAGTTAGTAACATGTAAAAGCACCAATGATGTTGTCAAAAGCAGGATTCGAACCGCCAACCTACAGATAAGTGGACAAAACTTTACCAACTGAGCTACTGTTGCCCCCACTAAATATCATACTAAACTACATAGTACATACATATCGTAGTACTGAACTGTTTTGGAAATACAGTTAAAATGCAGTCATTTTCTTTACACAATTATTAGAACTTGATAGACAAGAAATAATAAAGATGCACTATGTAACTTTTCTAATGGAGGCTCCCTCACCTACTTGTCTAAATGAAGGGGTTATATCTTAGACTAAAATGTTTTCCAGTTGAACATTAAACATATCTCCATGGAGACAAGCATGACCAGGCTGAGTTACAGGTCAGATCTGTGAGGAAGAGACCCAACTCACAATAAGGATTTATGTTTTTCAAGGTATATTTGAGCCATAAAAACACCTGTTTAAAAGAATGCCAGACAGAAACGTTTATGCTTTATGCTAATGCTACACTGGAAAACATTACAGTATATGCAAATGAATAGCATCTCCATGGAGTCCAGCTATTAAACTGACAATACCCTGTGCATTTACAAAGGATTTTACAGCTACACAGTCCAGTGGAGATGGGACAGTAGGGGGGAACACAACATCTCCTCCACATTTGCTATCTTGATTTGTTTTGCAAAATAAAGCCATTCAAATAGTGATTTAAATCCAAACTAAATTCAAACTTTTCAGAACTCTAATGAATAGTGAATGAATGAATCACACAAAGCAGGAGGCAGTACTGTTATAATTAGGGATGTAACGATATCCAGATCTCTCGATATGATACTTTCACGATATGCAGCTCACAGTACGATATTTATTGTGATTGTGAGTAAGCTATTTTCCTGATAAAAGTCTTGAAAAGCCTTTGATATTGTTATAATATGAAGAATTAAGATTTAATAATAGTTCAGTAATAGTTATTTCTTCATGTAGTCTGCTCTGACAACACCAAAGGATCATGGTCTCTGTAGTTCTCTGTGTTTTCTTTAGCTATTGCTGCACCAAAACAATGTGATTCGATATATTGTGACGTTGTGTGAGCCCATGATATTATAGTGAGAGTTTTGACAATACAATATAATGATATTTCAGTTGTTGCAGTTGTTGTTACATCCCTATTTACAATGATGCTAACAAAGTGGAAAAAAGCATGAGGCATTAATTTTTCACTTCTCGGAATACCCTACAATGCTTTACTGTTACTGTGAAACTGATCAGTGGGAGGCTTACTCACACAGGGAGTAAGAGGCTGTTTTTCTGTTTCATTACATTGTCATTCTTAAGAAATATCGAAAGGTAAATTCACAAATGTTCAAAATGGTAGCTTCTATTAGTGGCAAGAGCTATCCTAGAACTGTCTATTTTACAACAATGTATATTAACAACATTCCTTTGAGCTGCATATAGCCTGCGCTCTTTCAGTTTAAAAAAAATAAAAATAAATTCACAATTGAACCTGAGTTGCCTGTGCCTTAACCTGTATATAGGGGAAGTTTTTCTCATTCTCACTATACGGACAGCTTAGAGGCACTGAGCAATGACTAGCTGCAGGTGGTGGGGTTTAGATAGTGACGATTCAGATCAGAGAGAGTCCTTTTAGGTTTAAAGGTGCATTAAGCAACTTTTTGGTTGAGAAAAGTTACACAATGCACGCTTAAGCCAACTGGACTTCAGTATTGAAACCAGCAACCCAAATGAGCGACTTATGCGAGTCTCATTCTACTTTCTGATCGGATCATTACCTTGAGAACATATAAACAACAATAGCCATTATGTCCAATATTTTGTACGAATAAATTGCAGTTGTTAGCAGTAAAAGCTACATTTGATTTGAACATGTCTACCTCATATCTGGGAACATAGTAAGATCATGTTTATGGAATTTATGACCAAAATCTTACATGAAGTTGCTTCAAAGGTGCGCTATGCAACGTTTTGTTTGGGAGTCCATCACCTGCTTGTTTCTATGGATATGTCACTGCTTTGCCTGCAATGTTCCACAGTGGGCCATTAAACAACACTACCCTACTACTTATTTATAGAGTTACAGTTGGTTTAACAGCTTAAAAATATCTAGAAAAACAGGCATTCTGACTGTGAGCAGGGTTGCCTCTCCACAGAACTGACCAGTAACTTGGTCTGGTTTGGTCTGATGATAGAAAGGTTTAATACCATACTGTAAAACATTTTAGAAAAAGTATAAACATCTCCATGGAGACGGACCTTCCACCAGAAAAGTAACACAATGCACCTTTAAATAATATTGGCCTACAGAGTTGTGATGTCACCTGAACGCCTCTCCTAACACATTCCTGTAATAGTAGGGTGCTGTGTGGTGTCTATATAAAGCCTGGGTGATGTACAGACCTTAGATGGTTGTTCAGGTCGGGGGAGTAGGGGGAGTTGGCCCGGTTTAGCTGGCTCTGGTAGAACGCGAGCAACGAGTGGGTGCATGGTCTCCTCCTCACCTGCTGAAAATAACAACACACAGACTTAGCTGGAACAATGCTGTAGGGCTGTAGTCAATTATTAATTATTTTTATTCAGATTATGCACAACAGTAGAAAGAAGAAGGTAGAGGGTGGATTATCTGAAGATTTTGGAAATCTTTGTTTAATTCTGTGTTTAATTCAGTGGTTTAGCTGAAACATAGTTACAACATCTGCACATTAGTCACATTAGAGCACATTGTATGTTTGCCATTTTATCAGTTTCACATCATTTATCAGTTTCACATCATGTATTTATCAGTGTCAGTAACTGTTATACTTATATACTATATTAAAGCCCGGTACATATCTTTTTCACAAACACCTCCAGGAACCCTTTTTGATAAGGAGGTGAATAGTAAACCAACCAGCTATTTCAGAGTTAAGACAAAATCTACCGGACTTACAGTATATATACACTACACCTGTGCCAGGTTGGGGGTCACTCATGTTTAATCTGATTAGTTTTCAAATAAATCACTGTCCACAATTTCATTTCACAAAAAAAAAAACTCCAAATGTAGACTGTGCCATTAATTTCCACTAATTCACCACTGCCAACATAGTCAGATTTAGTTAAGAGGATGCAGGAGCTCTACACTCCATACAGATTACGATACCACAATGCAAAAGATAAAAAAAATGCCCTTTTTAGTAATAGAATGTGATTTTCATATACAAAATAATAGTACTTTCTTTACCTTAGCACGTTATTTGCTCAAATTATTATTAGAAATTAGTTTTAGAATCAATTAGTATCTCATTTTCCGTAATATGACAATGTAATACTTTTCTGTATAAATAGTTGTTTTTGCATGAACTCACATGTAGTTGTGGTATTTTGAATGCAATTACATGGACAGGTCATGGAGATAATGAATTGTTTGAGAGCTTTTGCCACACCCCCTTTCAATCGACTACTCAATCAACAGGGCATGTTTCTAGTTGACCAAGAATTTCAGTCCTACAATGCTGAATGACATAATGAGAAAACATATTGAATTCAATGTTTAATTAAAAGATTCACACATGTCTGGGTTGCTGTTAGCTGTCATATTCTGAGGACTCATCTCACTCAAAGTAAGCATATTTGGGTTTATTTCCAACTGGTTTTATTCAAAAGGACCTGGCAGCGCAGAGTGAGAAGAAGCTGAGACAATTAGCTATCTGATTTGCAAAAACATATTTTTTTGTAATTCATGTAATACATCAGAATACATTTTTACCAATAAAATGTAATGAATATTTGATTTCAACACTTTTACTTCAGGGAAATTGTAACTGTTTATTTGAGCTATGAATTGAAATCTAATCAATTTAAGGTCACCATTTGAATTATATAAAAAATAATAAATATAAATTTGAGAGAGAGAGAGAGAGAGAGAGAGAGAGAGAGAGAGAGAGAGAGAGAGAGAGAGAGAGAGAGAGAGAGAGAGAGAGAGAGAGAGAGAAAGAGAGACAGAGAGACAGAGACAGAGAGAGACAGAGAGAGAGAAATTACTCCCCACTGAGGGAGTACAAGGTAAGACCAGCCCACTGTGCACTATCAACTCTCACTTTGTATCTGTACTACACCTGGGCCGAGTGTCCAAAGTTGTACATACCTTTTTAGTGTGTTGTTAATACATAAATATTGCATCAATGAGAATATGAACATCATGTTTATTTATCTATCATTGGCATCTATTTCCTTCCAACAGCCAGTACATCTGATCAGGTCTGGGCCATTCACTGTCACAACCCAGCCTCAAGTGAAGGAGCACAAGGTAAGACAAGTTCACAACACAATGTTCAATGTATATTAACTTTGAAAACAATAACAGTTTATGATCTACTTTGACTTGACTTTATTTTTTTCGATAACAACCTGCAAGGGTTGCCAGCAAGTCGAAATGAGCTACGTTTATAATCTTATATAACCGCATTTACTTTAATGTTAATATTCCTTGTTACCTATTAAGTGACATCTATTTTCTCCCAACAGCCAGTGCAACTGATCAAGTCTGGACCCTTCACTGTCACAACCCAGCCTCAAGTGAAGGAGCACAAGGTAAGACAAGTTCACAACACACAGTTAAATGCAAATTCACAAAAAAGGCAAACTTTAATGTGCCATCCAATATATAGTACATATGTGTAATTACATGTACTTTAAAGTTAATTGATCTAAATTGACATGTATCTTCTTCCAACAGCCAATGCATCTGGTCCGCTCTGGGCCTTTCACTGAGGCCTTCAGGACAACTGTCCTCAACTGTGGGTCTCCATCCACAAACCAGGGTCAAAGATGAGGCACCAAACGTGAGAGTGAAAAGCGGGATGAGAAAAGAAACAGATCCTCTGCTCTGGACAGAGTCCTTCCGGAGACCAAGAGGAGGAGAGGTCATGTCCAGGAAGTACTGGACACAAGCTTAACAGTAGAAGAACAGCCAGACAGTCAGACAAAAAAGCAAGTTCTGAAAAGAGTCAAGAAAGTAATCAAAACACTGGTCACAAGAAGAGCAGCAGCAACTCACAACTCACTGCTCAGGTATGTTCTGCTGAAAAAACTAAAGCAGAAAGTCCAAGACCAGAGCCGGAACCATGTCCAGGAGCTGTTCATGGAAATTCTCCAGGACCAGACCCAGGAGAAAGTCCACCCCTTCAGTCCCTAATAAATAGTCACACTATTCAAGTCTAATTCATTACAGTTACATTAAACATCACTACACCTCCTGATTCACTCCCCCACCACATTCAATCATTGTCTACACTTTGTCACTTATCTTCATCTTCATCTTTCAATAATGAATGTTGTGTTAGCCATTATTGTAGTGACTGCACCAACAAAAATCTAATGTGCTCTTTGTAGCCCATCTTCAGCGTGAGTTCACACATCTGCCCACACATCTGCCTAGTTACTGTGTCCACGGTGATAAGATGAGGCTAGTACTTTGTTATTTTTAAACAATGAATGAATGCTTTTGAATCAAGCATATGCGTTTATTTCATCAGTGTGAGGTACATCATGTTTTGAATGTACAGTACGACCCACTCAGCCTTAAGAAGTGTGAAAATGCCTCCTATTTACTCACTATTTACCTAAGCACTCGTTGTCATAATCTGTTTAGTAATTGTACAGGTACCAGGACATTACAACATTTTTAATTAACATAACAATTTAAACTAGTATTCTCAGTAAAATACACATTGTAAACAAACAATACACCAATTAGCACCTATATACAGATAAGCCTAATGGTGCCCCACAGGGTTTAAAAACCTGCTGAACAGTAAACTGGTGTAAGAGATAACAGGTGAAACTTCAGGTATGGTTGGATCCTAGTTTGAGCCCAGCTTAGCCCAATGGTAGTTTTTCTATCCTGTTCTAGTTTCAAAATTTGTTTTCGCGTGTGTAAGTATGTGTGCAAGTGAGCAAGTGTGAACACAGCTAAAGTATTTACAACTATACAGTAGAAAAAGAACAGTTTCACAATGAAGTATGAAAATGTAGTGAGTCAGTACAATGTAGGGCTGAATGGTCCTGTTTTGAGCCCAGATTTGCCCAGAGGTAGTTTTTCTATTTTGTTCTAGTCCTGGTTTAGTTCCAGGATTTGTTTGTTTGTGTGTGTGCGTGTGTGTGTGTGAGAATGAAGCATGATGAATGATTTGGGAAAACCATCTAATTAAACATTTTCTGACAAGCATTGTGATCATGTTTGTGTTTTATGGATTTTGTTCAGTGTTCATATTTTAAACCCACCCACAAGAATTGTACAAAGTAAGAATTGATAACAATCACAAGAATCACATGTATTTCAGAACATGTTGGTACAGATCTAAATTATAGGGTTACCAGATTGTATGCAGAATAACACAGTAAATGTTACAGTTAGTAAAGAAAATAATTGCAAACATTAGTATCCATTGCCATTTCGATTTGATTTCCCTAGTATAAAGTATATGATAAGAAAAATGCCTCTATTTCCTCAGTCGTGGAAAGAAAAACTGCAAACAATTTCTACTTATACATGGATAAGAATGATATCTGTATAAGATAAAGACAAAAAGTACAGAATTTCTCGTGGTTCATGGTTTAATGAAAAAACAGAGTCCTTTAGAAATCTCTTCTTACCTCGGAGGTGGTCAGTGAGGGTTGGGTAAGAGGCCAGTCCACAGATCAGAAGCAGAACCAGGGTGAAGAGGATGAGGCTGCGCTGGAGTCTCGACAGCTGCTTCCATTTCTGACAAACAAAATGTTGCAAAAGTCAACTTAACAGAAAAGAAAAATGATTTATTGAGCATATAACTTTAAAGGTGCACTGCGTGACTTTTTGGTTGGGGGTCCGTCACCAGATTGTTTCTATGGATATGTCATTGCTCTGCTTGAAATGTTCCACAGTACGACATTAAACAGGTCCACCTTACATTTATTCAATTACAGGTGGTTTTATAGCTCAAAAATACTCAGATAAACAAGCATTCTGACTGTGAGTGGGGTTGCGTTTCCACAGATCAGACCTGTAACTTGGTCTGGTTTGGTCTCCATGAAGATAGAAAGGTTTAATACCATACTGTGAAACATTCCAGACAAAACAATAACATCTCCACAGATAAAAGCATTCGATGGACCCTCCTCTACAAAAAGTTACATGACCAATACAGATAAACTAGTCGATCAAAAAACTCACCCTCCAGCAGGACTGCCTCCTCCACTGTTTACCATTGTTGTAAGTGCCACCCCTTTGTCCAAGTGTTATAGCCACATAGTCCTGTCGAGATGGAGGGTGCATGTCTCCAGCCCACCCTACAGATGGAGAAAAAACAGTATACTATAAATAGGAATGCACCTTAGTAGGAATGCACCTTAGTGTAAACAAAAATTCTAACATTATTTCTGAGCCAACCACTGCCTACTGCCAGTAAATAGTTGTATTACATTACTGTTTATGTTCAACCAGGATGAACCAATATTTGGAAGCTGATACTTGATCCAACATATTTTTCGGGATCTAATTGTAAAGAGACATAGTAATCAACTATAATAATTTGTAATATAGTCAGAAATGTCTGTTTTTGTTTACATTTTGAGAGTGAAAGCTATACCAAAAGATCATAGTTAGAGCTGACTGAATGCATTTATGAGGTAAAAAAGTAAAAGAATGAATCTGTATACCAGTTTGCCCACTTTACTCATGGAACATAGTGTGAAATACAACAGTAGATCAGCCAGTTGAAACAATATACTTATACCCTCAGAGCAATTTTTTAACAAAAGATTGTGTAGTAGGTTAAATGGTCATGTTACAACAAGTACACTGTTAAGACAAAATCCATAGCAAAATAGTTTTAAATGGTCTGAAAAGTAATAACTAAACAAAAATCTGCAATGCTAAACAAAATAACAAGCACAATTACGTAACTGTTAAACATATTTGGGTCCAGCTGTCTAGTGAAGTTCACATATTGATATTAGCACAAATGGCTAAAGCTGTCAAAACTACAATTCAACAGGCAAAAAAATTACAGAAATAAAAAAATATAAGCAATTATGACTTTAAAGTTACTGACAACCCCGATGCCTAAGTTTTTGTAGTCCATGAAGCCAAATTCAAAGCTTTGATGCCTATTTTACACTGACCATACATCTGACATCCAGCTGCAGCGGCTGATCGGCAAACGCACACCGGGATCGGCGACCTAAAGGCGGGTACAGTGTTGAGCGTGGACCGAGGCGTAGCTGAAGGCCTATACTTAATTCTCAGCGATAAGCGAGCTAAACTTGTGTTGTTTATATGGAAAACGTTCAGCAGGACACCTTAGTCGAAGGCGGAAGTGAAAAGAAAGCTATGTCTATGACAAGAATAAAATATTACCTTTGCACGGGACCAAGCAAATCCAGGGCAACTCCAGTCAATGAACCACCGGCTAAATCGGCGTTATTAAAGCCTCCGTAGCGTCGTCATCTCAAGAAAACATGACTAAATATGTTCATTTATTTAGATTTTCTTTGCAAATTAACAAGAAAATCTAAATATCATACGCCCTCCACTTGTAGCTCCGTGTGTGATGCTGCTGCTTGGCTGTTTGACTGGTAGGATACGGGGTTGCCAGATTGGATATGTAATTTTCAGATCTGCAATGTTAAAATAATATTTGGATTTGGGAACAATCTGGCAACAACGGCTTCAACCCCAGCAGGCAGGTAGGTGGGCAAATTAATGAAATCGTATTTTGTTTAACATTTTTGAAAGGTTAACTTACTGAAAATGAATAAACTGTAAGATAAGAGAGTGTTTATTTGGGCGACAATAGGGAAATTTCAGTGTTGGACCTCAGGAAAAGCAGATGAATAAAAGTATGCATTCATAATCAAATATGCATTAATTCTCACATTAAAATATACCCTACTTTGAATATAATTAAAATATATATAGAAAATATTAATACTGTATTTTCCATAATAGTGATAAAATGTTGGTCATAATAATACAAATTATAAGGGCCATTTGTTCACTACAAAGGCAAGCAGCAGAGGCGGAACTAAGTCGTTTTTGTTGTTATTGTTTGAGCTTCAAGTCATTTCAAGTCTTTAAACCAAAGTACCAAATATAGCATAGATTTTAGCAATTTATATGAATATTAAACTACACTTTACTTAAAAGTCATGATTATTATATATATATATATATATATATATATATATATATATATATATATATATATACACACACACACACACACACACACATATATATATACATATACACACACACACACACACATATATATATATATATATATATATATATATATATATATATATATATATATATATATATATGAGTATTTATATAAGTTGTAGAAATGCTACTTTTTCCTTTTTAAATGTCTTGACAAGATCTTAGTATGAATCATTAAGGTCAGAACAGAAAGAATTAAAATTTAAAAATGCTGTTATTTTGTCATGTAGTCTGCACTAAACTGGAAGGATCATGTAGTCATGTCATGTCATGTCATGTATGATCTATGTAGTTCCCTTTGTTTTACTGTATTGTACTGTATATTACTGTAGTACATTTGAGGATACCACATCACAGTATTTAGGTTACATGCAAAGTAACAAACAGAAGTGGGAGGGACATGTTCCAGTTTGTTCCTGTAAAAATTGAGCACCGCATGTATCAACTGTAAAGAGGAAAGTATTTTTCTAAAAGCATATATATTTTTTTTCAAGTCTTCTCAAGTCACAGGCCTAAAGTCCGAGTCAAGTCCCAAGTCAGAGCTTCAAGCTGAAGTCGAGTCCCAAGTGTTAATCTATTTTATCAAGTCTCAAGTCCTAAAAATAGTCAGTCTGACTTGCAAGTCCCCACCTCTTGTAAGCAGCATAAACAAATCTGAAAGTAATACAATACAATACAATGAGGAAATTACAGTAAACGTTTATTTACATTTCATTAGACAAATCTCTGACCCTGACGTGTTACTCCTGAGAAAGAACAGATATCCCTTAATTTCCTTGTAAAGCTGCACAAATCCAATGAAGCTATATAAAGAGACAAGATTCTGCGTAGCACCAATTCTTTAAATCCTGGATTAAGTGTGACAATAGGACGCACTATTTATGTCGCTAAATGTATTCCTGACAATAATATAACTGAAATAAAATGTACACCAGCTCATAAAATACACTATTTACATTTCTATTGTAATTTCCAGAGATCTTAGAACATTTTAAAATCTCATAATAAATAGGCATTAGGCACATTTTGTAAATACATTGTACACAAAACAACTTTTCTCCAAACTACTATTGGTAAAAATAAGAAAGTCAAAGTCAGCAACATAAATACACATCATTTACAAACTCAAAATGTACAAGTCAATACCTTTTACGAAACTGTGAAGTCTTTGGTCCACATACAATATTTTGGACACCCTTAAAGGTGCACTACTTCCTTGTCTCCATGGAGATGTTATTTCTTTGACTAGAATGTTCCACAGTAGGCCATTAAACAATCTCCCTTGGGTTTGTTCAATCACAGGTGTTTTATAGCTCAAAAATACCTTAAAAATGTGAATTCTTACCATGTGCAGGCTTGCTTCTCCATAGATCTGACCATTAACCTGTCTCCATTGTGATTACCAAGTTCATTTCCATACTGTGAAATAATCAAGGCAAACAGTAATCTCCATGGAGACAAGCATATGACAGACCCTCCACTAGAAAAGTTACACAATGCACCTTTAATCTGACACATAAAGTCCAAGTGTGGGAAAAATGGGCCCATAATTAGATGCTAGCTGAAGCACGCTGGTCCCACTGTGAAGCCAAAGTCCTGTGTTATGTCACGATTTCCAAACACAGCAATGTCCCTGAGAGGAAGCAACTCCAGGTCTTCACTCTCAAACTCAAAAACAGACTCCTGCGACCCTGAGCCCCAATCTCCCGAGGGCTGCAAAACAATACGAAATTATAAATGATCAAAATAGTGTACCAATTTTGTCCCAATCACAGAAAAAACTAAACAAAAAGCAGCATATCCTTAGTGTAATTTGTGGAGTGGACAGTAATTATTTAGTTAATTCTGGGCAAATTTGTTCAATTATTTACTTTGCTTCTGCTATTTATTCATCTGCTATAAAGTAGTGTTAAAAGGTCCTATATTATACAAAAAATGACTCTCATGAGCTTTAAGTTGTGTTAGAATGTTATTACCTCATCAAAAACATACCTGGAGTTGTGTTTTGTTTCATTCACGCATGTTTGACGTTATTACAAACTTTATTATTAGTCTGTCTACATCTCCAAAGCTCAAAATGCTCTGTTCCACCTTGTGATGTCCTGTAGTTTTCAAGTTAAAGTTTACCTTTTGTTTAGTAGAAATTGGTAATTCAAGACATGAAATGATCCAAATGATTCTAGTCAAGGTGTATGGAGTTTAAAACATAGTGGAGCATTTCCTGTATTGCCCCATGACATCATAAGGCAGAACAGGGTGTTTTGAGAGAAAAACCCAGCCTAAATATACAGGGTTTCCATGTTAAACAATAAAACACAACTCCAGGTGTGTTTTTGATGAGGAAGCAACATTATAACATAGATCAGAAAGTAATGTAATATGGGCCCTTTACATTGTATCTGAATTCTGATCAATTACGAATCAAGACTAATGTATAATGCAGAAGTTACATGTCCTTCACTATAGAGCTGGGCAATGTTAATTAATATCAATATTTTGGGAAATTATTCTGATATTAAAACAGTATTATGACAATCAATACCTAAGCATGCATGTCTGGGTCTAAGGTTGAACAGAACATATAAAAATGTGTAATTAAAGATGCATTGTTTAACTTTTCTGGTGCAAGGTCCATCAAATGGTTTTCTCCGTGGATATTGCTTTGTCTGGAATGTTTCACAGTATGGTATTAAATCTTTCTATCTTCATGGAGACCAAACCAAATTACAGGTCAGATCTGTGGAGAAGCAACCTCGCTCACAGTCAGAATGCCTGTTTTTCTTGGTATTTTTAAGCTATAAAACCATCTGTAATTTAATAAATGTAAGGAAGATTTTAGATATTCCAGGCAGAGCAATGGCGTATCCATAGAAACAATCAGGTGACAGACCTCCAACCAAACAGTTACCTAGTGCATCTTTAATATTCAAAAAAACAAAACAAAAAAAACAATTGCAATATTATCACTTCTTTACATCTCCGATCTCTATTCCACTTAGGAAATAAAAAAAAACAACTGAAAATTATTGTTGTCTGACTAGTATTTTTTTAACTTTTCCATTACTTTTCCATAGAATTAGTCACAAACCTCACAGTCCCGTAGTGTGGATAGGTAGCTCTGGTTTCTTGTATCAGATAAGAACTTGATCTCTCTCTTTTTTCCGCTCTGCCTGCTCCCGGGAGCACACAGATATCGTATCGTCTGAGAGGACAGTCGGCTGTGGAGTCTCAGGAACCTCATCTGAACCACGTCCACACTGGGATATTCAAACTACAGGGACACGTAAAGATGATTTAGCTAAACATGAAAAGTGAGAGAAGGTAAAGACAGTTAAAGTAAAAGTGTCATTCACTCACCTCAAAGCCATCTTTAAATTTGCTCAGCCAACTAAACGCCAAGCCAGCGCCGGATTCTTTTAGCCAGGGTTTGACTGGAACCTGTAGATTTAGATTAGAGACTAGATTACAAGTTACTTTACGGATATCTTTTTTTTTTTTTAAAGGTGCGCTATGTAACTTTGGTTGGGGGTCCGTCACCTGCTTGTTTCTATGGATATGTCATTGCTCTGCCTGGAATATTTCATAGTATGACATTAAACAGCTCTTGCTTACATTTAGTCAATTACAGGTGGTTTTATAGTTCAGAAATAACAAGAAAAACAAGTATTCTGACTGTGAGTGGGGTCTGACCTGTAATTTGGTTTAGTTTGGTCTCCATGAAGATAGAAAGATTTAATACCATATTGTGAAACATTCCAGAGAAAGTAATAACATCTCCATGGAGAAAAGCTTTTGAGGGACCCTCCACTAGAAAAGTTACTCAATGCACCTTTAAGTTATTATATTTTCTAAGTGATAGAAAAGAAAAGAAAACAAAGACAAAAGTGATGGAAAAATACATGGATAATTCTATTACAAACTATAATAACTAAACGATTTACCATGATGCAGTTGGGGAAGTGTTTAACTTACTAATACTGGTCTTAACTTTAAAACACACCTGAGACTGGAGAGGGGACAGGCAGGTCTTTGGCTCAGCTGTGAAGTCACAGTACACCTGGAAAGCATCAGCCGGGCTCCCATGGTTTGGATCAATGAAATAAATCCCTGAAAGGAGAATTGGACTGGATGTTAATTTACATAGAACAAGTTTACTTTTCCTTACACTTTTAATACCCCTAATCCTACTCAGTTCATCTCACCGTTTGTGACATTGGGTTGAGCCAGCCACAGCTCCATGCAGGTGGTGGCTGGGTGTTCTCTGGTGCCCTCTGGAGGACAGATGAACCAGCGCAGCTCTGTCTGCAGGGACTCCAGCAGAGTCTGAACCAACTGGTAGTTAGGTGTGTCTGACATGTAGATATCCTGCAAAAATGGTTCAAACAAATCTATGTCTTCATGTACATAGAAGTCTCCAACAGGCTCCTACAGCTCCGCTCAAACAGTGAGAGATACTGGACTACATTCATACTATAATACTCCCTACAACTGTACAACAACTCGCCCTTATGTAACAGATAACCCTATGTCCTGTCAATCATCATGTTATTTTTGAACTGTTTTCCTTACGACGTATATTTTTTTATTACTTATTTTCTATTTTATTTTTACTTGTACATATACTGTAGATTTATATAATTATGTGTTATTTGTCACCTGTCTCTTGCTATTTTTTGCTACTTATTTAGAATTTATTATTACCATTTATATATATTTTTTTACTCGTTCTTATTGTGAGCTACTGTGTCCAAGTCATTTCTGTTATGGATCAATAATGTCTGTCAAAGTCTAATATATTTCAAACAGAGATGGCTATAGAAGTCATTTGAAGAAAAAGTCATTGTAGGCTTGTACTTTAGTCTTAGCATAGTAATAATTTCAAAAGCTAAATCTATTTTACTGCTGCTACTTATTATTCCATCCCTTCTTGATAAAATCCACTACATACTTTACCATCATTGATAATACTTGTAGAAGATGGTAAAAAAAGAAAAACTTTATGGCAGTTTTTCAAAATGGAGATATTTGTTTTTGCTCTTGAATTCCTCATTTGCTTTAATAGCTGCAGCAGAGTCATTGTTGTTTATTGATTTAGTTCCTCAACTATAGCTGTGTAATCGAATTGTAGTTGATTCAGGATCCAATCAGTCACAGATGGAAAAGATTGGCCTTTTAAATGTCAACAGATAATCCTGTGGCATTAAAAGCATGTTTTTGGAGCTCCAAATTTTGAGAAACTATTTGAGATTCACTGTGTGATAAACTGCAATGGAGTGGAAGAATTTGTTGTTTCAAAAGTTTTCACGTTTATTTAAAAATATGGAAAGAATCGAAAGTAATTCATTTTTGTCATATTGGTGGTTTTCAGATTCCATAATGTAATGTCTGTTGTCATTCTCGCAGATGGGGGCAAGAGCCGTTTTTTCCCTATAGATTACAGTATACTTTCATGACAAATATATAAAAGTAAAATCACAAATGTTGAACCTGATCATTTCTATTAGAGCCTAGACCCCAAAACTCACTGTATTACAACAAAAAAAATTTTTAATAATAATTTTAGCTGCCCCATCCGTATTAAATATTATTGTCCTATAGAATGATGTCATCTGCAGCCCAGCAACTTCCCACCCCAGGTCCATCCATTACACAATCCATCATAATAGAAATGAAATCACATACTGGTACTTCTCCTCCCCAGCTGTGAGAATGCTGTTTGTAAAGGAGCGTGATGTGATATAGACAGAAGAAAAAGCACTTACAGCACAGGCACTTACCTTCATCTGATTGAGAGTGCGGTTCAGAGAAGGCCCTGGCGGTCCAGGTCGACCTGGAGGACCCTGGCAAAACCAACAGTAATATTATTTCCCAACCCACCCACCTGACTCATTACAGCTGTGGACATCTAATAAAAATTACTTAACCCTTTATCACAATATAAGATACAACGTACTGGTTTTCCTTTTTGTCCTTTACGACCCCGAGTGCCTGAAAATCCTTTAAGCCCCTTGTGAAAAAAACATACATGAATGAAAATGTAATCTTTTGACAAGGAATGTTGAATTAAGCTTTGTACTAACCTTTTGTCCAAACAATCCCTGTCCAATAAAAAAAATTAAATAAAATACATCAATAAATAACCCGAGTACATTGATAAATTAAAGGTGCACTATGAAACTTTTTCACTGGAGGTCAATGACTTGGTTTTGGATATGTCACTGCTCTGCCTGGAATGTTCACAGTATGACATTAAACAGTGCTACATTGCATTTATTCAAGTACAGATGGTTTTATTGCTCAGAAATACCCAGAAAAACAGACATTCTGACAGAGAGCGGGGTTGTCTCTCCACACATCTGACCTGTAACTTGGTCGGGTTGATCTCCATGAAGATAGAAAGCTTTAATTCCATACTGTGAGACATCCCAGACAATGCAATAAGACGGAACCTCCACCAGAAAAGTTACATAATGCATCTTTAAATAATTTACTCATGCTTACAGGTAACCCAGGTAGTCCAGGTGCCCCACGAGGACCAGGGGGCCAATATCTCCCTGGAAAAAAACAATGCACTTAATACTCCCAAAACTACTTATTTCAGACTTGCATTTCCAGGATATGTATTACTGAGCAGAAACAGAAGTGTATAATCACCTGTTCTCCTTTCTGGCCAGTTTTACCTCGAACTCCAATCAGGCCTCTAGCTCCCTGTAAAGTTAATGAATAGACTACTTTTTAACTTTTAATGTTTCGAACACTAAATATATCATTATAGACAGACGAAAATATCACCTTAACACCATCTCCACCAAAAGGTCCAGGGGGTCCCATTGCTCCTGGCTCACCCTGTGTGGTATAGGACATGAAACATTTTTATTTTCTTGTTAAATAAACACAGGTAGATTACTACTGCATGTTCTGCTTTATTTATACCTTCATGCCTGCTCGTCCCTTAACACCTTTTTGACCACGTGCCCCATGTTTTCCCTTTAAACAATGTTAAGATTACTCTTAGATTATTATAATTAATTATAAGATTATTATAATTAATACAATCAAAAAGTATAGCATGTGCAGAAGTTGTAATAACTTATTGAAAAACGTACATATGGGCCTCGTCTGCCCGGTGGACCAAGTGGTCCAGGGGTGCCAGGTTTTCCCTGTAAAGGCAAACAAAATGATAATGTTGGTTCAAACGAAGTAAGAAAAGGTAATTAAAATGTACAGACACCAACCTTTTCACCACTCTTTCCTCTGAGGCCTCTGCTCCCTGATTTCCCCTTTTTACCCTGTCAACAGAATCCAGATATAAAGTGAAAGTTGACATCTAAACTTGTGCTGCAAGATAAAGTCTGAGAGGAATGTTAAGAATTATTTTTAGAATATAAAAACATTCAGTCATTAGTTTTATTTCTTTGCGACTGGTTTGTCTCTGGTTCTTATCATTATAATCCAAGTTACAGAAAAGTAAATGACTTTCACTGTTTATGAGTGAAACGTAAAACCCCATTTAGCACACAGACATGCGTGCACGTGTCTCTGTTGATAACAGTCGTATATAGGATATTGAACAAATGAATTACAAGCTGTAAATGTGGATTTCTCCATAATTATCAGTCCTATCAACAGTGTAGAGATCCTGCTCTGAACACCCTGCTCTTTATGTCTGAAGTCCACCTGTCAAATCAAGATCGATCAATATGAAGAAACTCATCCATCATACCTTCCTCCCTTTGGGTCCATTCTTTCCAGGGTGTCCACTCTTGCCTTGATTGCCCTAAAGTTCACGCATCACCAAAAAAACAAAACAAAACCCATTTTAAATTAATGTCCACATCTAGATATGAAAAATCATTTCTAAGTGTATAAAAACTGACCTTTTGGCCTTTTATACCATTTTTTCCTTCCATACCGAGGAGACCCTTAGGTCCCTAAAAGAGTGAAACCAAAATTATGCAATATTCCAGTAATGTACGTGTCTGCAAAATAACTCATTAGGCATTAGTTCATTAGTTGAAGTTGGACAGACACAATAAGCATATTTCTGGCAAAGCAATAACACCTTTATGGAGACCAGAGAAGTTACTTAATACACCTTTAAAGAAACATTATAAATATTTCATGCATTAAAACTTGCTGGCAGTGGGGCAAAAGGTTGTGGAACTAAATATACAGAACAAGATTAAACAAATAACAACAGCTACAAGCCTTTGCATTATAAACCTAATGTGTGTGGTTGTACTGGATTTACACTGTACATTTATGACACCCACCTGTGGACCACGTGGACCAACTGGGCCATCAGGACCCAGGTCACCTTCTTCACCCTGAAAATAGACATTTAATATTTTCATTATCATGTTTATCTGCTGTCCTTGGATCACTCAGTAAGAAGATTAAAGGGGCAGACAAGAGCTGACCTGAATATAAAAGCTCTATGTTATAAATAGAAAGGAATTGTATGTTTATATGTGAATTAAACAAGGGATTCAAGTGACAACTCAAAGGTGCATTGTGTAACTTTTTTGGTGGAGGGTCCATCAAATGCTTATGGAGGTGTTAATGCTTTGTCTGGAATGTGTCACAATATGGCATTAAACCTTTCTGTCTTCATGAGTTACAGGTCAGATCTGTGGAGAGGCAAACCCACTCACAGTCAGAATGCTTGTTTTTCTATGTATTTTTGAGCAATAAAAGCACATGTAAATGAATAAATGTAAGGCAGAGCTGTTTAATGTCATACTGTGGAACATTCGAGGCAGAGCAATGACATCTCTGTAGAAACAAGCAGGTGACGGAACCTGAACCAAAAGTTACATAGTCCACCTTTAACAAATAAATATAATATAGCCAGCCTTGGACTTACCTTTGGTCCAGGTGATCCCTTTTGTCCTTTCTGTCCCTGAGGTCCATCAGAGCCCTAAATACAGTTACAAACATAATTAAACTAAACACTGTCAATTTCCAACATTAACACTGCAGTATTAACAGGTCACTCTAATCCCAATACTGAGTGTGTTGCAATTTTGTGGAGAAGCCCCTGCTAAACCTTGTGGGCAATTATTACAGAAGATATCCACATTTATTCATTTAAGATGCACTGGTGTTGACTGCATGAAAATTAAGGCAAAATATAATGTTTATGTTGTTTCCATTGCTTTCTAAAAATGCTCCTCTAACATGATGTATGAGCATTACATTGAAATGTAAGACCTCATGTAGCGCACAGACATCGCACGTGTTTCCAAATTTTAAATGTGTTTTCAAATATTAAATGTGGATTTTCATGGAAATATTGGTCCTATCAACATGAAATGTGATCCTGATGGTTCTTTATACCTGAAGTCCACATGTTGTTTATGTTTTTAAAAAGATGGAAGAAGATCGCAAGAAGATTATTTTTTTCCGCATATCCCCCAGGCCTAATTTGTTTGTTTTAAATGTTTTTTGTTCTTTTTTTCTGTGCAGAACTTTGGAAAAATTGTTAATAAAATGTACTATATAAATAAAATGGATTGGGATTGGATATTGTTGAAAACAGAACAACAAGTATTATAGTACTCCACTGGATCCTCACCGCGTCTCCTTGCTCTCCCTTTTTTCCAGGTTCTCCACTCGGTCCCTGAGCTCCAGAAAACCCTTTTGGACCAACATCCCCTGGTCTTCCTCTGACACCAGTGGACCCCTGAACAAATGAACAAGTGTTGACATTGATAAACTGATAACTAAGAGCAAAAGTGCACATGCAAAACAAGAAATGATAAAATGAAATGATGCTATAATGTTATTGTCTCACTTTACGTCCAAGCTGCCCTCTTTCTCCTTTAAGCCCTCTGCGTCCTGGCACTCCCTGTATTAGAAGTACAAACGATATTATTTGCAGATTTATTATTTACAATATCATGTTGTATATGAATAATAAGATATCTAATATAAAATTTAAAAGGTGCATTATGTAACTTTTTGGTTGGTTGTTTTCTATGGAGATGTTATTGCTCTGTCTGGAATGTATCACAGTAAAACATTAAACAGCTCTATCTTACATTTATTAAAATTTAAGTGGTTTTATAGCTCAAAAATACCTAGAAAAACAGGCATTCTGACTGTGAGTGGGGCTGCCTCTTCACAGATGTGACCTGTGATTTGGTCTGGTTTAGTCTCCATGAAGACAGAAAGGTGTAATGCCATACCGTGAAACATTCCAGACAAAACAATAAAAGCAAGAAAAGCATTTGACAGACCCTCTACCAGAAAAGTTACCTAATGCACCTTTAAGATACATACCTTTGGGCCAGGTTTTCCAATTTCTCCTGTTAAACCATTTGGACCCCTTTCTCCCTGCAATAAAAGTCCAGTTTAGCCATAAAAGGGTAATGTTAAAGGCAACAGAGTCTACAAAATCATGTTGACAAGTCTAGAAATGAGAAAGAAATTGGCAACAAGCGTGGGAAGTTCATAGATAAGGCCAACCTTTTGTCCTGATTTCCCATCACGACCTGGACGCCCTGAAAGTCCTGGAAAACCCTGTAAAAAATAAACTAAGTTATTATTTGTTCATTTGCCATTGGATCTTCCTAGTTCATGTCGGTTGTGTCTCACCAGTTGTCCTCTTAATCCCATTGGTCCAGTCTTTCCCCTCAGACCAGCAGCTCCCTGGCCAGATTATCAACATGTGGATTAATGCAGTTCTTACAAAATCCAATAAATAAATGAAATCTGTTATATTTACCATCACACCCGGATATCCTTTGTCCCCTGTAGCCCCTCTTGCACCCTGTTTTCCTGGTAACCCTAGGGGGCCATCTGATCCTGTCAAACCACGAGCCCCCATATTCCCCTGTAAAAAAACAACATAGCTGATAAATAATTGATTTACATATAGTGTCTTAAAAGATAACATCTGAAGATCTTTATTTTATATTTTGTTCAATGTGAATCACAATATTGTTTTAAAATGGCTTAATAATAGAAACAGAGCACTCAAGCCTTCAGTGCTAACCATGCACACCAAGATAGATTCTCATGATACTTGTGAATTCAGAATCCATCTTGGTGTTCTCCGGCTGTTACAAACCAGTGACAACAGTATTGAGGTTTTGTTTAATGAAATAGTTTGACTAATTATTTAACCAATGGGTTAAATATGATCGCTGAATACAGTCTTCAGTTTTTACAATTTTCTGTAGTTTGCAGAATATTGTTACTGGAGAGAAAGACAAAAATTCAAAATCAAATTGATTTTTTTTCTTTTTTGCTATGAACATACCTTTGCTCCATAAGGCCCGGCATTTCCACGCTTTCCAGGAATCCCAACTCCTCCCTAGGATTAAAATAGAGGTCAGTGAAATGAATACCCCAAACACATTCTTGTTCACATAATGGCTCACATGAAGCAGTTCACCTGACCTCTTTGCCCATGGGCCCAGGTTTGCCTGTCAGCCCCTGTGAGCCCTGAGGACCTGGCTCTCCTTTAAGTCCTTTGACCCCCTGTGGTCCTTTGGCTCCAGGAGATCCCTGTAACATGTAATGTCATATTAACAACTACATCTTTGCAGATCTTTCTATAAAATATTGGAAAGGAATCACTGGAGGAAGGAAAAACTGTAAATTAGAACAGTAATTTTCTATGAGGACAACTGGCTTGATCAGATTTACCATTGACCAGTGGTGGAATGTAATAACGTACAAAAGTAAAAGTACAATACTTAAGTACAATTTTTAGGTATCTGTACTTCACTTATACATTTTACAGTGGATACTTTTTACTTTTACTTCACTACATTTGAGAGCATGGATCTGTACTTACAACTCCACTACATTTTAGATATGGACTGAAAAGAAAAGTGCTTTTCTTTATGGTTTGAGACCTGCTAAAATGGCTTAGAGTTATTTTAGTACATTTAATTTACATTTTATGTCCAAACTTTGAGCAAACCAAATACAGAAATACATAAAATAGCTACAAAAATGAACAAATCAATTTAATCACTTAAAATCAGCTAAATTCTTTATCAAAATCACTACATGTAATGCTTTAATTTTCTAAAACATCTGCAAAATACCTTTACTTTTTACTCTTAAAGGTACTTCAATAGCTTTACTTAAGTTTTTCATGTGATACTTTTACTTTTACTTGAGTAATTCTTGCCCCTGTATCTGTATTTTTACGTAAGTAACAAAATTGAGTACTTCATCCACCACTGCCATTGACCACACAGGAGGAGGACATACCTGGTCTCCCTTTCTTCCAGGTTTTCCCTCTTCTCCAGATGGACCTGGTAAACCCTGTCACAAACCCATGAATAATGTCATTCTGAACTTGTTGTTGTGTTTATGTTTATTATTGTGTCCACTGACCTGCAAGCCGTCTAAACCGGGTGGGCCAATATCTCCAGCAGGACCCACAACGCCCTAAAACAAAACACAACTCTGCATTGTGCAAGTGGTATTTTCAGAGAATTTCTGAATTCTTAGCAATTTTTGGTTTCTTCATAATATTAATGTAGGTCAATAGAGTTTTTGATCTGGCATTTAAAAGTGCATTGTGTAACTTTTCAAGTGGAGGGTCTGTCAGATGTTATTGCTTTATCTGGAATGTTTCACAGTATGTTTTTAAATCTTTCTACCTTCATGGAGATCAAACCAGACCAAGTTAAAGGTCAGATCTGTGGAGAGTCAACCCCACTCAGTCAGAATGCCTGTTTTTCTGGGTATTTTGAGCTTCTATAAGAGCAATTTGTTTCATTTTTATAACAAAAAAGATAGAAAGATTACCCTCTCTCCTTTGTCTCCAGTTGCACCCATCACTCCACCAATCCCTGCTGGTCCCTGATAAGAAATAACACAATAATGTCTCAATAAATCAAATAAATCAAGCTGTTTGTAGTACTATGCTGGTATAATGTACATGAAGGAGGAAGGTAACAGGTACCCACTCACTGGAAACCCTCTGGCTCCCGGGGGCCCCTGTGACCCTGGGGGCCCCTGACTCCCAATGGGCCCCGCAGCCCCCACAGCCCCCTGAGCACCGGGACGTCCTGGAGGGCCCTAAATGAAAGAAAACATGCTCACCTACTGCATCTCAAACAGCTCCACTCAAACAGTGAGAGAACAGAACTGCATCCATATCATACTCCATAAAACTGTTCAACAACTCACCCTTATGTAAGAGATAATACTCCCTACAAATGCACAACGACTCACCTTTATGTAACAGATCATATATCATCTTTGTTTTTTTTCCTTACAACCTCTTGTATATAACAGTGATATAAGTTACTTGTACATATACATTTATATAATTAAGCCTTATTTGAGACCAGTGTTTTGCTAATTTTGCTACTTATTTAGAATTTATTATTATAATTTATATTTTTTACTTTATTCTTTACTTTGTTATTATATTATATTGTGATGTGTGAGCTACTATGTCCAAATAATTTCCCTTTGGATCAATAAAGTTTGTCTAAGTTTAGGTCTAGTTTGCCTTTATCCTGACTATCTTCCTAAGACTCTTAAAATAATTGTTACAAAACATTCATGTAATATCTTAATAAAAACATTACAATTACATGTTGACACTTACTGGTTGTCCCCGAAGCCCTTTTGGCCCCACTGCTCCTTGGAGACCCTGATTAACAAACAGAATTAAACAGATTGTTTCTTTAAAATTATTATCTGAAAATTAATGACAAATGAGCTTCTACCTGCAGTCCCGGGGGTCCTCTCTCACCAATAGGGCCACGCAGACCCTGTAAAGTACATGTTTATAATATGGAATTATTCATTTACTTAATTTAATTCAAAATAAACTCACTTGAGGTCCAGGTTTTCCTCGACTTCCTGGGGGCCCTCTTACCCCTGCGTCTCCCTGCAAGAGAAAACAACCAAACAAAAATCACTTGTTGCTGAGACAAAGGACAAAAGTGTATATGGTTTAAAATGGCTTCCCCTGTTTACATTTTAGGGTCAATATTTATTAGGGAGATGAAGCATTATCATTGGAGAAGTCTTACCCTCTGCCCCATGTGTCCTGGTGTTCCGACTGGGCCCACTGCTCCTGGGTAACCCTGGAGACAAAGCAGGTGGAAAGGGTCAAAGGATTCAGAAAGTATTTTCATTTACAGTTATTACATGTCAGGGTCTTCTTAATCAGTTTGGTTAGTCTTCAACTTAAAATCATATATAGATGTAGGATATGATTAATGAAATAATAAACATATTTACATCAATACTTCACATTATGAGAACAGACTATTTATCTATCTATTTATAGAAGTCACTTACATACATGCCCACTGGTCCCTGAGGGCCAGTTAACCCAGGTTTCCCAGTGAAGCCCTAAAGACATACGTAAACATAGAGAGAAACAAAACATAACTATTGTATATAACAATGTACATTTTATTTGATCATCTTTTATTACTAGCCTACATTTGAGTCTTACCCTCTCCCCTGTGCGTCCAGGTGCCCCATTTGAACCTGGGCTTCCAGGTTGGCCCTATAAAAATAAAAGGTTTTACTAAGCATTAAAGGTGCATTATGTAACTTTTCTGGTGGAGGGTCTCTCAAATTCTTTTCTCCATGGAGATGTTATTACTTTGTCTGGAATGTTTCACAGTATGGTATTAAACCTTTTCATTTTCATGGAGACTAAAACAGACCAAGTTACAGGTCATATCTGTGGAGAGGCAACCCCGCTCACAGTCAGAAAGTCTGTTTTTCTAGGTATTTTTGAGCTATAAAAAGACCTATAACTGAATACATGTAAGGTACAGCTGTTTAATGTCATATTGTGGAACACTCCAGGTGGAATAATGGCATCCCCACAGAAACAAGCAGGTGACGGACCCTCCATCAGAAAAGTTAGACAATCTTTCTATCTTTAAATAACATAGATATTAGTAAAAAAACAAAAAAAAAACATTTCGTTGGGTACTCACCACTGCCCCCTTTGGACCGGTCCGCCCTATTTCACCAGATGCACCTGGAAAACCCTAACACACAGCACACACAAAACACAAGGCAAGTTTTATGTAGCTTTATTTGTGTAACATTGCCTGCTTTGTGCAACTGAAAAGTATTACACATGGTTATAATTACCAAATGAAATCATTTAATTCATCCCTTCATTCATGTTTACTTACTCTGTCTCCTTTAGGACCAATGACGCCAATCACACCTGGAGCACCCTGCAATTATGTATATGTTTGTGTTATTCCAGTCATTTAACAATATAAAGCTAAACTAATGAATCATCTGAAGAGGTATAGAATGGGAACCTGTATACCAGGCTTTCCTTCTGGTCCCTCTATCCCGACTTGGCCTCTGAAACCCTGAAACCAAAAGAAATATTTTTATTATAATTAGTCATTCGTGAGTCAGATTTGTATGTTGCATTCTTGTTATTATCTTTTCTTACCGCTACACCAGGCAGTCCGAACAGACCAGGGACTCCAGTACGACCCTGTGACAAATCAAATCATGAAAACAATGAGTTATATGTACACTCTTATTTTAAATAGGTCACTGGTCTCGTCTTACTCTCTGTCCTTTAGGTCCTATCATGCCCTTCTGTCCTTGCACACCTCTGTTACCCTAAAATACAGAGAAAAATGCATTTTTGTGATATTATTTTATTTATTATTTTTTTGGTTATATTAGCATAGATTGTAAAACAAAAACAAAAAAAGAAGAAACAAAAAAGTTTTGAGTTTGTTTGAAGCCAGAACCTGATCTTAAAGTCTCCCAGTGGAAAACAAGGTGATGATACGAGTAGTAATGATGGTTTAGTGGCCCATAAAAGGCACTCACCTTCAGCCCCTGTCTCCCCAGTGAGCCCTGAAGGCCCACTTCACCATCTTCACCCTGACAAGACAAGGCAGCAAAGCTAGTGAGAAATGCATTATTGTGTATGTATGTATGTATGTATGTATGTATGTATGTATGTATGTAAGTATGTATGTATGTATGTAAGTTAAGTTTATAGACAGGTCTCATGTCAAAGATCAAAACCTCCAGAATTCCCTGAGCTGCAGAGGCTGCACTAGCACTGATTCATGACTGGCTGCAGGCGCTGGTGTTTGGGTAGTGACCATTCAGATCAGAGAAAGGCATTTTGGGTTCAAAATAACTAGATTTCAGCATTGAAACTGGCAACCCAAATGAGAGTGAGTGTAATTTGAACAGGACTACCTCATATCTGTGACACAGAGAGGTCATGTTTACATTTAAATACAAATATTATTGCCCCTTTAAATATATTATTAATTGTAAAAAGGATAACCTCAATTGCATTATTTTTGACAATATGGTGACCGTTATCTGCAAACTGCATTGAAAGAATGTGCTCTTCAGCGATGTGAGTGTAGTGAACATTGAGTGAACATGTTGTGAGCCTGTGTACCTGTTTCCCCTGTGGCCCGGTTTGACCCCTGTCCCCTTCGAGACCTGCTGGCCCTCGCTCTCCCCTCTCCCCCTGATGACCCGGGATCCCTCTACCACCTGGTGAACCCTGGGGACACAAGACACCATAAATTGCATCTTAAATTAACTTAAATCTTCATTAGTTGAAACAAAACACAATAGTTCTTCATAAATCTTACTTTGTCTCCTTTAGGCCCAGTTTCCCCTTTGTCACCATCTAGTCCTGTAAAGCCCTAGGAATAATGGATAAAAACTGTTTAGTAAAGAAAGTAACATAATCATATCAAAAATGATTGTGATTCTTACACATTGGCCTGGAAACCCCTTTGATCCAGGATTTCCAGGAATCCCCTGAAATAGAGAGACTCTTTTAATATCCTAATCGTAAATGTAAGAAACAGTGCACATTGTATCATGGTATGATATTGCATTGCATTCTGTCACTTACCATAGATCCCTCAAGGCCTGGTGGTCCCCTGATGCCCATGGGACCTATTGGACCCTGTTACACAGAAAAATACCCTTACTAGTATAGTAGTGTTTTGTTGATAAATAACAATTTTAGCATACATTATACTGTATATTATGATAAACCTTACCATTTCCCCTTTTGGGCCACATGGTCCATCAACTCCAGGCAGGCCCTAACAGGGTCCAAAGAAAAAGCTTCATCAATATAGTAAATTGTACCAGTAAAAATGATACATATAATAAATGACATTACCTGAGGTCCTTGAGGTCCTGCTACACCAATCTGTCCAATCAGTCCTATTGGACCCTGCCAAAGGTGCAGAGAGAGGAATCAATATTTATAAATTAATAGAACTACTCAGACTATGTTACTCAAAAATGAATCACATGTGGATTTATTTTTATTTTTCAATTTGTTCTATTGTTATTTTTCCCATTGTTTACATCACTGTTATATAATGTATACACTATTCTTTATAAATGAGGTACTGTTGCAGGAGTTGGGAAGAGGGCATGAGGGAGCAAATCTGTCTGTTTGTGTGTGTGTGTGTGTGTGTGTGTCTTGTAATGTAAGCCTGCAGGTTTTGTATTCTGTCCATTGTATTTGTGTTAGACTTAGACTTGGACAAACTTTATTGATCCAAGGGAAATTTGGAAAATTGGACACAGTAGCTCACACATCACAATATATAATAATAACAAAGAGTAAAGTTATTAATGTTTTGTGTGTTTTTGGATCACCTCAAAAGACTGTATAAAAATGTGAACTAGTGTGATGTCACCCGTAGCGTTCGGCTCCAGTCAAATGCAGCTCACAATGCTAATGGTTACAGGAGCAAATTTGGAGCCAGGCTCTATATTATGAATAGGGTTTTTATGAAGGACAAAATAGCTGAAAAAACACCAGGATAATGTAGAGCGGTTTAATACAAACATTTTCAGACCAAAGTGACGAGGCTCATTGCAGCAGTTAGAGAGAGAGGAGCAACAATATTCCAGTGTAAGTCAACATCCTATTTGCAACACGGCGGCTGGTGCGTTAGCTATGTCCATTTAAGCATACAATCTATGATTCCAATAAAATAAACAAGAAATAAATGTGTTAAAAACTTACAGGAGGGCCAAATCGACCCCTGGGACCAGCCGGACCTGGATCACCCTGAGAACAACAAAAGAAAAAAAAAATACACATGCAAATAAATACAATGAAATACATACGAATTTGTGGAATTTGTTGAAGTGTCCTCTGTCTTTTACCTCTGTCCCATTTCACTCCACGTCGTCCAATCCCCCCAGTGGCTCCGGGTGCACCCTAGCAGATCAAAATAATGAATTCAGAATTACAAAAAGCGTTATAAACATGAAAATTAACATGAAAATAATATTACACACTGGTGTTCCTGGTGGTCCTCTCATCCCATCATAGCCACACTCTCCCTGTATAAAAAGTCAGGCTCTTTCAGACAAAGAATAGATGCAACTCATATTTAAACTGTACAAATGTCCCACCTCTAGACCCGGAGCTCCTGGAAGTCCCTGAACGCCTTTTAAACCCAAAAAAACCCTGGCAAAAATACAGAAAATGTATCTCACACCAACCAAGGAGAATAAATATCACTCAATACACGATACCTGAATAGCAGGCTATGAAATGTATGAAATGTATTATATATTATTGTATTCTTAAAAGCTGGTTGGTTATAAATGACTTACAGGAGGGCCGACTGGTCCAGCTTCCCCAGGTTCACCTTTAGCACCCTAAACATACACAGAAAAATAACTAAAATAACAAAAACAACAAAAAAAATGCTATATATAAAGGCTGGAAAAATAAGTTAAAAGTAGAAATATAATGCGATAAAATTCTTTTAAACAAGGGTATTACATTTTATTTCTGCACTTTTCTTGGTAATTCTGCTGCCCATTCACATTTTCACCTAGTCTTAAGAAAATAAATGTATCATATTCAAACTTGCCACCGAAGGCAAAGATAAAATAAAATAAAATCGCAGTACAGTACTTTGTTTTATATTACCACATGGTCTTATATCAGTGTAATCCCTCAGTGGTCCCGGTAGTTTCCATAGTGGTCCATGGGCATATACTAGTCTATGTGCCCTTATACTTGTTCTGATACAGCTCAAGATTATACTAAAGCTATTCAGGAAAGGTTCATTTGAATGTGACTTTTTCATATCAATACTGAAAAGAGGATCTAGCTTCGATACTAGTTTTAATATCCATCAGTAACAGATTTTTTTAGACTTTTGACAACTTTGAAATCCAGCCAAATCCAGTTGTAGTTGTGACTAATTCGTCTCACCACCAGAGGGCAACATTTTTCAACTTGTGCTGAGGTTACAATTGAAAAGGCCATTGCTTTATTACTAATCATAATCAATAATATGCACCAACCTTTTCCCCATAGCTGCCTCTGTCTCCGCTTGGACCAGGCTCTCCGGTGAAACCCTGTGACCCCAGAAACAAGCGCAAGTCAGTTTTGCTTGGGGTAGGACACTTTAATATACATTTCATTGTACAATATTTGTTGCGATATTTTCTGGAGGATAACAAAATTGTGAATATACTACTATTTCCTTTTAAAATATCTTGACAAGACTTTGGTTCTGTCAACCAAAGTGCTTATAACAGTTATTTCTCCATGTAATCAGCACTAAAACAGAGCAAAGGATCATGGTCTATGTAGTTTCCTCAGTTTTTAGCTATATTGGTGCACTACAACTATTAATTCAAGCAGAGAGACTTGTAATTTGATATATTGTGATGGCCCACATATATGTGACATATAAGACACTTTTGGCATAGTATTTTTTATGAGTGTACACCTTGGGACGTAATGAGTTCAGAGTCTTTTGTTTCACCTCTGTCCTGTTTGGTCTCAGGAGTGTGTTAAAGTTACACTTTCTGATCAATGTTATAATGTTGTTTCTTCATTAAAAACAGACCTGGAATTGTATTTTGTTTGATTCACACATGTTTAACGCACAAACCCTGAATATCTAGGCCAGTTACTCCATAACAAATAGAAAACACTCAGGTCCCCCTAGAGATATCATGTGGTGATACAGGAAGTGCTCCACTGTGTTTTTAAACTCCATACCATCAGTTGAATCATTTGGATCACTTCAACCCTGGAACTGCCAATCTCTACTAATAAATAAGTAAATAAATAAATAATAAATAAATAAATAAATAAATAAAAGGTAGCTGATAACTTGAAAACTACAACTATATGACATCACAAGGTGGAACAGAGCATTTTGGAGATGTGGACAGACTAATAATGAAGCTCAAACATGAACAAATAAAACAAACCATAACTGCAGGTCTGTTTTTGATGAGGTAACCACATTCTAACATGGCTTAAACCTCACAAGAATCAATTTCCTGTAATATAGGACCTATAAAAGAGGTGCTACAACAATATAATCTTACAGGGCTATATGCATCTGTTTACAATTATTAGACTAATTATAGAAAAAAAATATTTTAAAACTGCATTCTCACACATATGCACTTTAGAGGGCTATTACAACCTGTTACATAGGACAGATGCACGCAGTTTCACTTGCAATTCAGAAGTAAGTAAATTATAATGTGAATATCTATCTTTACATGGACCTTTACATGGACTGTACAAATTTGAAAATCTGGTAGAAAAAGTGATACATTTTGTTGTGCTAACCCGTATCAGTTAATCAAAGGCTTTTTAGGAGCTATCTGGAAGACAAAGTACAATGAATTTTAAATCACTAAATCTTTAACATGTGCACAGATGTGAACAATTAGAAAGAAATTACTCACAATCAGAAAGAGATTAAGCACGTCACATGGAAAAATTTGTATGGCATTTCAGTAACCTGATAACTCCAGAAATCAGACAATGATCAGATTCTTTTACATCTTAACATTTGGTGACCCAATTAAAACAAACTATTTCCTTTTCAAAAAAATTGAAAAAGTCATATATTGTATTGCTTGTTTTTGAACTACTAGTACATGAGGCTAAATTGTTGTAGTATCACTAGACAGTGCAAGTAACCACTAGCCAGTGGTTACATGCACCCTCAAAAATTTAATTATTTTCAGATTTGTTTAGCTAAAAGACTATTCATATTAAAAGTAAACAACATTGTCATCTGATTTCTTCCTCATGATCCCTCTGATTACGCACAGTTAACATGCTCTTTAAGTAAGCTTAAGCCACAGCTACCAACTGAAATCCTAGTGAGCCAGAGTGCTGTAGATGTGCGGAGACACTTTTTTAAATAATCCATCCGGTCCTTGTATTTGGAGAGGTCGCTGGTGTTAGGCTAGCGCAAGTCAACGGTCACTGTTGGTCTGCACTACAAACAGTCTTACCCACTCCACAAAGCACCCAAGGCAAATCTATTATTGTCCATGTGAATGTCTGTGTCAATAGAATAATTTTAGAAGTAAAACTAACCTTGTATCTTAAATATATGTACTATTTTCTCAGCAACAGCGGAATTTTACTCTGCACTAGTTAGTTGTGATGTAATCAATTCACTTCAAAATAGAGTCGCGAGAGACCTGTTGTAGCTAGTTCTACTACTACTACAGTTGGATCGATCAGTGGATTACAAACCAACGATGTGGCAACATGGTAAATCAGGCGTAGGCTATCAGGTGGCCGCAGAGCTCCGCACTGTGGGGCTCAGCTCAGCCGTAGCCGAACATCCGAACATGGCCATATCTGGAACACGCATCTTCATGTGCTCTATGTGCTGCTATGGCAACTGCAGGTAAACAAACTATTATAGAGCCAGTAAGACAGGTGCCAGGTGATATCAGTCAGCCGCTACCAAGCTATCAGGAAATACAACTCACTGCTGCTGCTCAGACATAAATCCTTCAAATGCAAGGTTGGTTTTACCCTTACCCTACCTCTAACCCTAGCACCAGCAACCTCTCCAAATACAAGTACTGGATGGATTATTTCAAAAAGTACCTCCACACATCTACAGGTCTCTAGCTCACTAGGAAATGAGGCGCTATGTCCAAAATTCCGAACTGTCCCTTTAAAGGTCTAGAAATCAAACATGAATCAGATGTTTGTGAGTTTATAACCTGTAGTACTATGTAGTAGTACTATTTTTTTAATTCTTAAGAATTAAAACCTGAAGTTTCTTACCATGTCTCCTTTTTCCCCTTCTGGAGAATCGTCCCCTTTAAAACCTCTTTGCCCCTATGAAAAACAAAGAATTTTATAACCAATCAGCCCTGAGTAAAATATGCAAAAATCTGAATTCCCACCTTGAGTCCACGTAAACCAGGAGGACCCCGCCTTCCGTCCAGTCCTGGGGTCCCATCGGTGCCCCATCGCCCAGCCCGACCAAGCACACCCTTTTGCCCCAGGTGACCCTAAACACAGCAACTGTTAAAGGTGCACTGTGTAACTTTTCTGGTGTAGGTTAAGTCACAACCTCTTTCCATGGAGATTTTGACTAGAATGTTCCACAGTACAGCATTACGCTTATTTATCCACAGGGAGACAGCAGGTGAGGCTACATGTGTTTTAAGTCAATAAAAACACATGTTATTGAGTAAATGCAAGATGGATGGATTGTTTAATGCCACACAGGGACATTCCAGATGAAAGAAGAACATCTCCATAGAGACAAGCAGATGACAGACCCTCCACCAGGAAAGTTACACAATGCACCTTTAATGCAACAAATTCAGAAAAACTACACGTGTGCTTTTCTGATTAAAATATTCACCATGTCTCCTCTTTGTCCAGGCATTCCTCTGTCTCCAGGCTCTCCAGGAATACCCTAAACACAAAATAGGTCACTATATTGTTAGAAAATAAAGATTAAGTGGTGTTTTTTTTTCCATTTTCATTTAATTTATTGCATAGTTTTATAAACTGCAAAGAATGGTGCAAAGTATATCTAATTTATGAGATTTGAATTTTGCAAGTAAAAAGAAGGTATTTGAAATGGTTACCTTCTAAATGTACATGGATTTCAGTATCAGATAAGAAAACAAAGCAAAGTGGCATAAAGTTATTTTTAAATACACAAATTCATTATATAAAGCTGTGATTATAATGTACCAAATGTGGATCTATTTTCTTTGTCCATATGGAGTACTGTACACACATTATATGCAATTATAGTTAAAAAGACATTATGCTATTAAGATACTGTAGAATGATATTTTCAGGCATTTAGTATTGAACTATAACTATATATAAGTAGATTTTTTTTTTTACATTTTGTTCATTGTAAATCACAATATTGATCTAAAATAGCTTCATATTAAAAATTCACCTATTGACTTTCTGTTCAAAGCTGCAGAACTGAGAAGCCCCGGCTATTCTTAGTGGAATTTCACCATGGCAACCAACATATTTTCATTATTTTACAAGTTTATATTTCTGCCATGTGACATTTTTGAACTCTACATGTATCACTTGGAATTTTAAATATTCAAACAAGTGTAAGTATTCACAGAGAAGTGGGTGGAGACAGAGGGTAGGTGAAAACTGAAATTTTCTGAGTTGAACCCAAGATTACCCAAACATGCATGAATCAACTAAAATAAAAATGAAAGTAAGCTAACATTTTTGGTTAAAACCTTTAAAAGTCTTATATTGTGCAAAATTGACTCTGAGCTTTTAGTCGTGTGTTATAATGTTGTTACCTCCTCAGAAACATGTTGTGTTTGTCTGTCTACATCTCCAAAGCTCAAAATGCTCTGGTCCACCTTGTGATGTCATGAAGCAGTAGTTTTCAGGTGAAGAGCTATCTTTTGTTCGGTAGAGATAGTGAATTCCAGGACTAAAACATCCAAATGTTTCTCGTGAAGGTGTTTGGTGTTTAAAAACACAGTGGAGCACTTCCTGTATTGCCACATGACACCAGAAGATGCAACAGAGCTTTTTCCACATGAGAGAAGAACTCAGCCTAAATATGCAGGATTTGTGTGTTAAACATGTGTGAATGGAACAAAACACAACTCCAGGTCTGTTTGTGATGAGGAAACAACATCATAATGTGAATCAGAACAGAGAATAGCATAGTATGTATCCTTTACATAAAACAGATAGTGTGAAACTTACAGGTGGACCAGGTTTGCCCATTTGCCCAAGAGGTCCTGGAGGTCCGGGCATCACCTGGACGAACAAAAACAGTTGAAATACAGAGCTACTGATTCAAAAAACTGTCAAGTCTGAGCTACTCACGGGCCAGCCAGCTCTCAGCATCTGGTAGAACGGAGATCTCTGGAAGACACAAATATTTACATTTTTAAGATTCTTCATACACTTAAAAACAGTTAAATGCAATAATGTTTCCGACACCAAACTGGTTTAAAGTGCATTGATAACATTCTTGACCTCTCATCTAAAATCATCCAAAATTACACATATTTCACAGAATGTTCTTTATAGAAGAGGAATAAAATCAAAGCAAAGTTATTGTTGAGTTTTACTATTTTAAACTCACCTTCCAATTTTGACATGGCATTTATTTTGTCTAGAGGCAGTCAAACCTTTACACGCCTAACAAAACATCTGGCGTTTGTAGCACCACTAAATCTGAACCAGGACTACACCAAGTCTATATTAAAGCTTAACCAGCTTTGAAATACAACTAAATAGCATTGCTACAGAAATTCTTAACAAAGACCAACAATAGAGGACTAAATGAACCAAAAAAGGACTTCATGTACCACAGAAATAATCCATGTACTGTCACTTTGCAAACTAGTATGAAAGCATTTGCAATTGAGATTTTCCATTTCCTTTGTTGCCTAAAGCTGCACTATGTAACTTTTTGGTTGGGGGTCCAACTGTCACCTATTTGTTTGTATGGATATGACATTGCTCAGCCTGGAATGTTCCACAGTATGGCATTAAACAGCTCTACCATACATTTATTCCAATTACAGGTGGTTTTATAGCTCAAAAATACCTAGAAAAACAGGTATTTTGAGTGTGAGCAGAGTCACCTCTCCTCAGATCTCACACATAACTTGGTCTGGTTTGATCTCCATGAAGATAGAAAGGTTTAATGCCATACTGTGAAACATTTCAGACAAAGAAAGAACAGCTCCATGTACAAAAGCATTTGATGGAGCTTCTGCCAGAAACGTTACACAATGCACCTTTAAGGCACCTGTATCAATATTATTTAACATACCTCTATACAGATGAGTCTAATATCTTATTATGTATATTATTACAACATCTAAATATGAAAAGCTTTATTTTTATATCCGTCAGCCCGTGTTGTATGTTTTATTTAAGTCAATTTAGAAAAACACATCTTCTTCTGAGAGTCCTTTAAGTTTATGGCACCACCAAGAGCTTACTCCAGGTAGTGTTTGTGTTGGCGGATGTGTGTGGTGGTCCCATTGAAGGTCTTCGTGATGTAAGATGAACCTCAGACTGGCACTGCAGCCCCAGGACCTCCCATAAGCCTGGAGCCCCCCCACCACAGCCCCTCACAGCCCCTATAGTGTGCTCTAACGGGGCTCTAACACAGGGGCCTTTGACAGCTATAGCGACCTGCCTGGAGGAGCACCAGTCCAAGGCCCAACCAGGAGAGAGGTCTGGCCCCAGTCCAGACCCTGCCCTGAGAGAGACGTGCTCACGACAGGCTGAGCTCTGCAGTCTTTGTGTGTGATGCTGTCGACACATAGAGGCAGGGGCACTCAGAGCTGTCCAGGATAGAGTCCAATTCTACCCATGTGGTCACTATCTGCACACTCAGCATTTCTCATGTTTACGTTCAGAGACAACTGTGAATACAAGCAGGAAAGGTTGAAAGTGGGGCCACAAGATTCATAGCAATAAAAACAAAACTGTAATTGAATTGTTGCATCAAATATCTCAATTTTAGTTTTTCGCCTCTCGATGACAAAATTCAGACAGTATAATCTGATTAAATGTAGTGCTTGAGGTTCAATTATCACACACATTGTTAACTGTCTTTAAATTATTATAAAAAGGCAGAAATAATCCATTTACACCATTTTGATTTATTCATTTTTTGCTCTTTGTTAGTTGTTAGTATTATACACTCTGTACACTATGTAACTTTTCTGTTAGAGGGGCCATCAAATGCTTTTCTTCATGGAAATGTTCTTACTTTGTCTGGAATGTTTCACAGTATGGTATTAAACTTTTCTATCATCATGCAGACAAAACCAGACCAAGTTCCAGGTCAGATCTGTGGAGAGGCAGCCCCACTCACAGTCAGAATGTCTGTTTTTCTAGGTATTTTTGAGCAATAAAATGGCCTATAATTTAATAAATGTAAGGTAGAGCTGATTAATGTCATACTGTGGAACATTCCAGGCAGAGCAATGACATATCCATAGAATTAAGCAGGTGATGGACCCCAAACCAAAAAGTTACACAATGCACCTTTAATATTTTAATTTGTCACATTTCCAAAAGAACAATCCCGTCTCTATTCACAACCAACAAATAAAATTTGTCATGGGGACTGCCTCAAAAAATTACTTTATACAAACATGCTCTGAAATTAAATAAACAGAATTACAACATGGAGTATATAAACTACAGTAATGCACAAACCTCGGGTAAGACACTGACGGGCATTTTTAGTACATTTCTCTTAAATTGCCTTAAAAACATCTGAAAATTATTATCGGGCTACTCCCAGATCTAACTCTTGAATAATGCCAGTGGTTGTATTTGGAAGGGCATCCAGCATTAAAAAATACAAAGCACTGCAACTTCTATCCTACACAGAGATAAGACAGACAAATTATTTGGCTGAAGGAAATTGTCCAATAACATAACTTCATGGTGATATCAATAAAAAAAAAAAACACTGAACTTTTGGGTCCCTTTAAATCAAAGCCTAGTGTTTCCAAATCTCATTATTCCAGCATTGAAATGTTTAGATTATCAAAATGAGAGAGACACAGAGCAGATGCAGATCTCTACAGCACAATGACAAAAGTCTGTGCTGTTTTAGTGTTTACTTTATGCTTTAACTTTTCCAGGATGTCATGAGATGCAAGAAAGCTTATTGTATAAACATTAGGTAATGAAGGAAAGGTGGCTATATAAGTGCACTGTTGTCAAGAAGACTATGAAGCAAATCTGAGATTGAGAGTCTAAGATACAATCACAAGTTAAATGTGATGTGGAATTAGGATGCATTTAGAATAATAATAATGCATTTTAACAATTTCTCTAGGGCTGTCAATGCAAATGTGTCAACGGATGTGATTAATCAAAACAAATCCACAAATTAACACAAATTAATCACACGAGCTTACCTGACAGGAGAGACACTGTGCTCAAGAGCTGTGCTGATACATGCAGTTACATTTACACATAAAGTCCATCAGTCCTCACGAGGAGAGCACAGAGCGGTTGGTGGCTGTTTATGAAAGTGGAGCAAAAAAAGAGGTCTGACCAAACCAAACCAAACCATCATCAACCACTGAAACACCGCAAATATTAAAAGAGCCTTTTTTCAGTTTGACATTTAGATTTTGGTTATTAATAACAGCATCTAATTTGGGGATTTGGCTTCACCACAATGATTCATATGTTCTCTTTCCCACTGATTATACTGTATACTGTTTGGGAATATTTGTACATGGAGAAATTAGCTGTCAGGAATATAAAATCATGAGAACACAGGATCCACACAGGATATTTTTGAATTATTTTTACAACCTTCAATTGCCTTGAAAATGAACTATTTAATTTCTTCTAGTGGAGGGTCCTTACCACTGGATTTTCATCTCCTTTAAGGGATCCAAATCTTTTGGATCTGTGGAGCCATTCAAAAGAATGTCTCTTTTTACATTTATTTATATGACAGAAACCAAGGTGAGAACACATTTTATCTACAAAGTAATCACAGAGAGAATGAGAGAGAGAGAGAGTGTGTTTACCCAATGAAATGATGCAGAATCTAAATAAAACTCAAAATAACTGTTATTCTGATGTCAAATGTGTTTTTTGTGCAGAAAGCACAAAGCTCTCACTCATGTTGCCCACTCTGCATCTGTGCTGATTCACAAAAACTGGAAAAAAAAACATTTGGGGTTCCGGTTCCAACTATTCAGATTAAGGAGCCATTCAAAAGAGCCGATTCTTTCACAAACGTCACATCACTAGTCTCCACCTGCTGGTCTCAATGAAGATGTTATTTCTTTGCCTAGAATTCTCTAAAGTATACCATGATGACAAGCAGGTGATCCACCAGGCTGAGTTACAGATCAGATCTGTGGAGCAGCAGATTCACTTGCATTAACCTAATCTGATCCCCACCAGAAGAGATACATAGTGGAGATTTAACAGGTCTGTAAAAGTCTATACTACATTTGGGGGCTATAACACTAAAAATGTTATTCTCTTGAGGACATTAGAGTAATTATATTCCTTCATTCATGTTTTGTGATTGGCTAATTGTCACAATTCATATTTAAATATGCATTACCTCAGTCATTCAGCCCTAGTTCAGCACTCTCATAGTTTGGGCCAATGCAGAGTCTGATAAACAGAACAGTATATAGTATTTGGACATTTACACTCACCTTAAAAGCAGCCCAGTCCTCCTCAGTGTTCCTCCACAGAAACAGAGACGGGGCACCTGGCACTCCAGGGGGTCCTGGGTCCCCACGCTGCCCGTCCAGACCAGGAGGACCATGAGAACCCTGAAGAGAAGATAATGAGATGTCGTGTCGAGTAGTGATAAACAACAGAGTCTAGGTGGATTTCCTCCATCACTTTAAAGCATCCAGCTGCCCATTTCTTGCTCTCTGGTCAGCCAACATTAAACCCAATGTTGGTGGTGTGGAAATGTTTTCTTTTGTTTGTAATCCAGATAATCCCTGGTTAATTTAGGTAATATGATGCATAAACTACAACTGAATAAACTTGAACTATGATTTCATTGTCAGAAAGCACAGTATTAATCACTGTAACAGTGGCTATAGTAAAAAGTGAAGTAGCAGTTGTAAGTTTGTGATAAGAGAGTCTTACCTTGTCACCTTTTAATCCAAGTGGTCCTTGTATCCCAGGACATCCCTACAAGAAATATATGTATATTGTCAGAACCACCTTTAAGTCACTCAAAGAACTTTATATAAGGAACCACTCACCCATTCACACTGGGTGAGTGGTCTCTAACCCAATGAGAGCAGGATTCCCCAACCTTAGGATCAACTGAGCCCTCAATATGGTTTGAATATTAATCCAATATGACTTGCATAGTACTGTTTATAATTTTAGTCAAATAAAGCCCTTGAATTGTACCATGAAGAGTTGGCACATTTTGTCAAACCCGACCATCATAATAATGACTGTGTATGGGAATCTTACAATCCTCTCCCCACGAGCAGTGGACGTGCTCCAAGAGTACAGGCACAGATAAAAGGTCTGAAGGGACTCAATAATCTATTTATTTATTTAGTGTTTTTATTGGTATGGATGTGAGAAAGTGTCTATATTTATTTGTTTTAACTGCTGCAATTTTGCTCTGTTGAAGTTTCATTGTATTTTGTACAATGACACTAAATCTCATCTAATCTTACAGGACATCCTGTTTATGGGATTTCCAGAACTGAACTTTGATTACTTACATTGAGAACTTGCTGCTACTTTTCTTTAAAGTCTGCCTCTTTTTATATATTAATTTCACATTTATTTTGTGCTAAAATAAAAATTGTATAGCTTTGGAGTATACTACCACAACCATGGTTAATCTCATTTTTTTTTTTTCTTTTTTTAATTGCTGTTCCCAAGGTCAATTTATGTATTTACAACATTTATGCCCCAAGAACCAAATCTCAAAGAACCAAATCTCTCAGATCTCATATTGCCCACTCTGGCACCAGTGTTGACCAACCATGACCAGCACTGTGACTAAGTGGTCAGTGGTTCGCGGTTCAATTCCCAGAACGGACTGGGCCTTCTCTGTGGGTCAGGTTGGCCCATAGTGGCTGTGTTACATCCATCTATTCTACATACATCTATTTCATAGAACAGCGGTCTGTAATGACAAATGAAGCAGTCTACAGGTAATATTTTTTTCAAACCACAAAAGCTGCAATTTTTTAAAGGCGCAACTTTTCTGGCTGAGGTTCGGTCAAATGTGTTTCTCCATGGAAATGTTATTGTTTTGTCTGGAATGTTTCACAGTATGGTATTAAACCTTTCTATCTTCATGGAGCCCAAACCAGACCAAGTTCCAGGTCAGATCTGTGGAGAGGCAACATCGCTCACGGTCAGAATGCCTCTTTTTCTAGGTATTTTTCAGTTATAAAACCACCTGTAATTGAAGAAATATAAGGTAGAGATGTTTAATGTCACACTGTGGAACATTCCAGGTAGAAGCGTGACATATCCACAGAAACAAGCAGGTGATGGATCCTCCACCAGAAAAGTTACATAATGCATCTTTAAGCAACATAATTTCCTCCGCAAACAACAAAATCTCCTTTCTTATTCTCCATACATGTTCTGAAACGTGACTCTTGTATTTGTCTGTCAGTTAATATTTCAGTCTTCTTGTAAATTTTTCTGGATAAGCTTAAAATATGAACTTTGAACAGAATCCTATTATGAAAACAGAAATACTTGTCATAAAAATATCAGGTACATATTTTTTTCCACATCACTCAACCCTAATACATGTGACTCATAATGCTTATATAGTTTCGATAGACAGCCACATTATATTGTCCTCTGTAATCTTTAATTGCATCTTAACTAACATGATATGGTATTATTGGACACTCACTTGCTTGCCCGGGAGTCCCATGAAACCAGGAGGTCCTTGGTGAACTCTATACAGTCTCTGGTCAGTTCCATACACAATATTTCCACCATCCAGCTCTGGTATCTTTGATGGTAAATCTGTATCTAGAATCACTACATTGTCCGTCTCCATGTAAGGTGAAAGTGGCTCCTCCTCGTGGTCGGAAACTTCAAGGTCTTCATACAAATCAATGCCCATAATTGAATGGAAATCTGGAGTAAGTTCTTGGTCCATATCATCTCGATTCGTTGTAGTTTCTCCGTGACTTTGTAGCAGGTCATTCTGGGAGAAAAAACAGAAAATTTGAAAGTTATAGCAATGACGATGAAGCGGATGTTTTCAAGTTAACAGTTACTTTTTAATTTTAGTTTAGTAGAGTTTGGCAATTGTAAGGCTGAAGTCAACCAGGTGATTCTATTAAGGGGTATGGAGTTTTAAAATACAGTGGAGCACTTCCTGTAATACCACATGAAATCCCAAGGTGGAACCGAGAGTGGGCCTCAAACGGATGCAGCATTTGTGTGTTAAACATCAGTGAAAGAAACAAAACACAATTCCTGGTATGTTTTGATAAGGAAACATTATAACAGATCAGAAAAAAGCATAATATTGGCCCTTTAATCAATCATATAATAACAATAATATACCAATTTTTCTGTGTCAGAAGGACCACATTAAAAATTGTTTTTATAGGCAAATAGGTGTAAGAGTGTGTACCTTTTTATTTAAAAAAATAATACATTATTATTATCTGATTATTACTGACCATTTAAGTTTACCCACTGGTTCGTGGTGGTCCAGTGGCTGCTGGGACAAAGTCACTTTTTGATCAGTCAGCGTCAACCAAGAACTCTAAGATCTCTCAAATCTTCCACAATTCCTACTATTACCTACTATTTGAAAAAAAAAGTACAATATACTCAATAATTTTATATACTCTATAATTGTCACAATATTTGCCAAATGTGCAGAAATTTTTCATAATTACAATCATAAAACACAAATTCAAACAAATATTTTTTTTTACAAACGTGAAAAGTCCGTTTGAGTGGACCTACCTATAGATTTGAAAAAAATGACGACAACATGGGCATATACCAGTATCAAATGAAAAAAAAAAAACTAAACAAAACCGTGAAACACTGTTCTTGAAAATAAGGAAACTACTGACAGTAATAAAGCCAACTGCCTAAATGTCAGCTCAGATGACGTCATGTCTCATCTTTGAGCAAACAGTTCATTAAAGCGTCTTTATTTGAGACTGTCCATGCACGGCCCCTCTGCCCACACTGAGGTTAGGCCCTGGGCTGCAGTCAGAGCCTCACTGTAAGAGCTGCCAATGTCATCAGCTCCAGGGAGACCTCCTCACACCAGCCCACACCAGCCCACACCAGCCCACACCAGCCCACACCAGCCCACATGGACACTTTATCAGAATATTTATTTGTGCTGCTTTGGTTACCTGTCCTAGAAGAGCACGCATTCACCAGGGCCAGAAAGAGACCAAATGTACAGACTACTTTCATCGTTTACATCATATATGAATAACTTTGTTTACATTGGTTTATGTACAAATAATGGTAAAAGTATAACAGAGACCCTCATCCATCAGACATAAAGTATGACTCAATTTTTCTAAGACAAAAATAGTCACCTTGAATCATTCATTTTGGGGTACAGAGTATTTTTTTAAAAAGCTGCAGATGGGAACTGTATGAATAAAGCCATCCAAAGTCTGAATGAAGTTTAGTCATTTTGCAGCTATTTTATGCCCACATATTGTTTTTTATTACAAGACATGCATCAAATTAAACATGGATCTTAAACAGAGTTCCCAAATGTTCATTACTATGCAGAATTTACACCTAGAGCTACAGTGACACATAACATAGGCAAAAAATATATATTTGATGGTGTCAATTTAGAGGCATCAGAGGTGCCCGTGCTGCACCAGCCTCTGTAGGGCTCCGCTCTATGTCCCCACAGCTCTATGTTCCCACATTTGTTGGGTTGTATGATAATGGTTAGGGCCTGATTTTGAGTTCATGGTTAAAAGTGCATTGTGTAACTTTGCTGAGGGTCCTTCACCTGCTTATCTCTGTAGAAATGTTATTGCTTTGTCTGGAATGTTTCACAGTATGGCATTAAACATTTATAACATCATGGAGACCAAACCAGGTCAAGTTCCAGGTCATATCTGTGGAGAGGAAACCCCGCTCAAAGTCAGAATGTCTGTTTTTTTTTGTTTTTTTTTTTTTTTTTTAGATATTTTTGAGCAGTACTGTGAAATATTCCAGGCAGAACAATGACATATCCATAGAAACTGGCAGGTGATGGACCCTCCACCAGGAGTTACACAATGCATGTTTAAGGTTAGGACCAGGGTGAGAGTGAAATATCTTTTGAATGTGAGCAAACAGGACTGTGGGGACATAGGTAAAGGGAGCCTGGGAGAGATTGCAAGATCACTCAAACATGAATAGATGACATATTAAACCTCGTCAGGCATGAGAGAGATTTACATAATATGCATAAACTGCGCTGGTACACTTAGACTTAGGGCATATTGTAAGTATTTTGCCCTACACTCACAAAAGTTTTGGACTCATATTTTTAACCTTCATTAAAAGTGGATAGGGAAGCACACACCGTCCACGCAAGGCATACGTATGAAGCACAAGGTCACGGGCACGTAGATTTGAGAAAGTAGAATCCAACCTATTTTTACAGTCCATGATAAAAGTGAGAAAAAAGTGTAAATAGACTCAAAGGTTAAAGAAATAAAATAAGGTGCACCTGGTTCTATACAATATCATCAATGGGTCATTCATTTGGTCGGAAAAGCCAAAGCTGAACGCTCTTTGCCTTTGAACCTGATGACTACCCATAATCCCCTGGACGCTGATACTGTACTATGTGGCATTAATAGAGACATAATGGAGGTGCATATTTCCCGAGAGCAGTGCTGGACAAAGCTCCTTTATGTCACACAGGCGGCCATTGTAGGAGCAGCTCTGCAGGTCTACAGCAGACACTTGATCTGTGCACACCTGAGTCCATTTGTCCTGCTAATCTGACCACTGCTCAGACTCATCACTTCAGACATGATTGTGCATACACTGTACTTATATGCAAGGTTTAATATTCACATTATAGTCTCTTGTATTGCATAGCTTTCTCTCTTTATTTAATTTCTTTCAATACTTCAAGTCGAGCCATACTATACACATATGTTTTTAATTCCTTCCATTACTTCAAACTAGGGATCGTCCAGTATGGATTTTTTGAGCCAATAACTGATGCTTGCCAACACATTATGCTTTTGTAATCTATAGCATATACCAAATTTATATAAAATTATAGTGAAGTGCTTTCGTAAAAGATATAACTAAATGTGTTTATCTCTCTTTTATATCTCTTCATACACATTCATATTCTTGCTCTGTTCAAAAAAGACAAAACTGAAACTGGGAATGACACATTGGCACACAGAAACTAGAGCCATGCCATGGACTGTAATGGACATAGCCGCTAGCCGTCTTCCAAACAGGAAGTGAGCATAGGCGCACTTTTGGCTCCATCAACTCAGCTCCAATTCACTTTGTACTGGAAAAAAAATGCTGCTGTCAGACTCGTCTTGTTGGTCTTAAAATGTTCATATTAACCCGTTCTACATGATTTTGGGGTTTTTATTTCTCTTTTTGTCCATAAATCAATTCCTATTCCTAATATGGAACTCGCCTCCAAATTTGCCCATATAACTGAAGCCTTAGTGAGCTTCATTTGACTGGAGCCAAACGCTATGGGTGACGTCACACCAGAGTCCTGCACAGGTCCATTTTTGGAGACTCACACCCGCCCGCACCTGTTCCCACTCGGACCCGTTAACATTCCACTCGTTACCCGCCCATGCCCACGATAAATCACACACAGATTACAAGCTTTCTAACTGAAGCATCCATCAGAATACGAACTGAAACGTTACGACCTCAAGAATTACAATCATGAAATGAAATGAAACGGTTACACTTTCTTCAGTACAAACACGTATTCACAGACGCGACTTTACTGTCATCACTTCACAGGCAATATTTACTGAGCAAAAGAAACATTGATCGAGATGCCTCACTTTTGCGCTGCACACGCCACGAACTGAACCAGGACTAAACCAGGACTAACCCAGGACTGATTCCAGGACTGATTCCAGGACTATACCAGGACTAAACCAGGACAGAACAGGACTAAAACAGGACTAAACCAGGACTAACCCAGGACTGATTCCAGGACTAAACCAGGACTAAAACAGGAATAAAACAGGACTAAACTAGGACTAAACCAGGACTAAACCAGAACAGAACCAGGACTCACTGTTGGGACAGGTCCAGAGGTATGCCCGCATAGTCAGTCGGGTGACCAGGAGCAAAAGGACCGGCTCAGAGCTCCGTGCGCACAGAGGTAAATGCAGCTGTCGCCCGATCATGCTTTGCAGACACCCTGCTCCGTAGGCTCAGGGTTCTCTCTCTCTCTTAAGTCCAACATTAGTCCTGGTGTAGTCCTGTTTTAGTCCTAATTTAGCACTGACCCGCCTGTGTGTAATCACTACCCGCCTGCATACCCGCCCGTAAAATTCCACAACGTTAAAACCCGCCTGTTTCACCAACTATTTGCCTGTACCAGACCCGGTGCAGGACACTGCGTCACACTCCCTTAGTCTACTTCTTTAGGCACAAAAAATATCAAAAAATCACTGATAACCGATATACCATCCCTACTTCAAATTGAGCTGTACTTTACACTTTCCATTTTACATTCTCTGTCTCTTCCCTGTCTCTTCATATTGAGGTACTATAACCTTTATTTAATGCAGTATAGTATCTGGGACAACAGTAGTGCTATAAGAGTTCAATACAGAAGGTTGCCAGTTTGGTCCTACGGCACATAGTACAGACTGATGTGACAATCTGCCCAATCACGGTCCAACAACTACTGTGGAAATCCGTTATTATCAAGAAAGCAGACTTTGTTTTATTTAATTTTTTTTTTGACAAAAGTTATGCCACATCCAACCAGAAGAGGGCAATCAGGAAATCACCAGCCGGTTGTTTGGTCCATTCACCATCAGAAGGAAATCCATAGAAAGTAGATTAACAATATGTAAATAAGAATCTAGAAAATTCTAATTATTGTCAACTATAAATAAAGTTGGCAGTTGGTGTTGTTTAAACCTGAAACATATTCAGAATATTACATTTATAATCATTAGAATATTTTAATAAATAAAT